GAGTTATGAACAATTAAAAAAAAGTCCAGAGTGTCCATTTTACCCCACCCTTCCCTAAATTGATTTTTAAGGAAAGTTTTTTTTTTGAATTTGTCAGAAAACCAGAGAATTTTTTAGATTTTTTCCAATTAAAAAAAAAACAGACGTTTGTCTTGGAATTTCTAGGAAGCCGTGAAATTTTCTCTAATTTTTACATGAAGAAATGAAAGAGAATAAAATTCTGTCGTTTTTCTGAAACAAAGGAAAATTGAAGAAATTCAAATTTATGACAGATCATGATAAATAAAAATTCAACAAATAAGAACTAATTAATTTCGCACAGAACAAACATAAGAAAATCAACAATTATGACAAAAAAAGTAATTTCTGAATTTAGAGAATTTGAAAATTCGGAAAATACCTGTCTTAGTTAACGTTTGAAAAACATGAATCAGTTTCCCCCGGAAATCACTTATTCCTCCCCAAAATTCAATAAAATATCCCGTGTCAACTATAACCTCCCCAATTTAAAAACCTGAAAAACCGTGTACAAAGTTCACATGTCAAAACCCACCGAGTCGAAAAAAATTGAGTCCCTTGCATGGCAGAAGCAATTATTCTCCGGGCACTAAACCCATCAACCCATGGCAGATTTACTCATCTTCAAAAAATTACAAAAAAATGCTGGAAAATGTGAGTGCTCTTGAACCCAGTGGAATCACCGTATTTGCGATTTCACCGAAAAGACTAACCGGGCAAATGGTGATGGGGTGCAATCGCCCGGTGCAATGTGCTGTAACTCAACAACGATTGACGATTGTGCGTTGGATCCACTCCAGCCGGAGACAATCACAGTCAATGCGTTTGTTTTCATTGTAACTGAAATGCGTCAGTGGCGGCTGTGCTGAATGAGTGATAACGATTTGATTTTTTTATTAATCTTTAATTTCCCCAATAAAAAATAATTAATATACTTATTAATTTTTATTTTATTATTATTATTATTATTATTTTAATTTTTTTTAAATCGTTATAACGATTTTATGACGCGAAAATTGGGAGAAAATGCTGGGAATAACGGGAAATCAATAGCAATTTTTAAAATTAAACATTAATAATTAATCTCAAAATTATTATTAATTCAAAATAAAAATTAAAATAATAATAATAATAATAATAAAATGAAAATTAATAAGTATATTAATTATTTTTTATTGGGGAAATTAAAGATTAATAATTAATTATTTTTTAATAATTAATCGCAAAATTATTAATTCAAAATTAATTATTAATCTTTAATTTTAACAAGAAAAATTTAATTTCATAAACATGAGAAGTTTTTCGGCAGAACAATTTTTTAAAAATAATTAAACCTTCTTGCGGAGAGACGATGCATTAAAAATATTTATTATAAATAGGAACCGTCATGCCTCCACCGGTTCATGAATAATTCCTTCCCCCTGGATTCCAATACACGGTTTATTTCCAACTCTGGCCTTTTTTGCATGCAACCGCACGAATCTCAGTGTGGATTTTCCGCTAACACTCGAGATTCCCGGGGTTTTTCGCCCCTCCAATTTTATCTGTGCCGCTGTCTTCCACTTGTTTCCTTTTTTTTCGACTACCACTTTAGACTTCCCCCGAGTACTCACGTTCGCTTTTAAACGAAATCCCCGCAGTGTTTTCTAAACCGACCATCAGCGATCAGGAAAATCCTCTTTATCGATTCCCAATGCAACCCTCACTTGGTTCAATCTCTCTTTAAACAACTCTCTCCATTTTTCCGTCTTTTTTTCTCTGTTTTCAGACGATTTTATTTCCGGCAGTAGAATAAACTCGGGTTTAGCTTCATTCCTTGTGAGATAAAAAATAATTGAGCACTTACATGGCTTTTCCGCATTTATCATTTTATTTCAGAGCCAGACCTCAGCTAGATTCCGAGATTTGCTCGTTATTAAGTCAAGACGTTGATGATTTTTTAAAAATACGTTCTTTGATCTGTTCTAAAAACCTGTGCAAATTCCCACAAAGCTTAAGAGAACGGTTGAAACGCAGGAATTATTATAACAAATGCAATTTAACACGTGCCCCCATGGAAATTCAGACAGAAATTTTTCAATTGATAACTCGTTTTTTTATTCAGCGATCTACCTCTCACCTCCTACATGCCCATCTCGCTGTAAATACTGACTTCGAAATTTGAATTGGAAAATAAATTCCAAGTAAATTTGAAATTCGCATAAAAATCGGTAGAATCCAGAATTACGAAAAGTACCATGAACACCAGAATATTCTCACCCCCTCCATTTTTTTTTCATAAGTAAAAATGCGAACGCTGCATCAATGGGAAGACCCCCCCTCCATCCACCCTCTCCTCCCACGACGACATGAATTATTCCATGGAAGTGGGTCACGTTGGAAAATCCCGTGTTGCATCTGCACCTCTTACTCCACCACCTTTCGCCTTTACTTGTGATTCTCAGCGTTTAAAAAGTTGCAAACTCCCTCCCTCCCTCACCCCGCCCTCCGTCAGCTGCATGTCCATCCCTCTCGGCAGTTATGCCAATGCGATAATGCATTCATATGTACGCAGAGAGGTTCTATTCAAATAATAATAAAAAAAAATGAAAGGGGAGAAAAAATTGGAGAAGGAAGTCTCGCATAATTCAGCGCGTCATCACCACTTCAGATGTGATTATGTACGAGAATAGCGCGTCACTGTTTAAATGCTGTAAATTTTTTTCCTCATCCGATCGTGGAAATGTCATGCTGCACTGACGAATAAAAACAAATTTTTTTAATCCTAGAAAAAAAAAATTTTTGTGCAAAATTTTAAAAATTAAACGTTTTCCCTGAAATTTCAGGAAATCTTTTCATTGGAGAATGAAATATTCCATTGATTTTCCATTCGAGTGATCTGAAAATCAATAAATGCTGCACTGACAAATGAAAAAAAATTGAAAATTTATTTTTGGAAAAAGAATGATGAAATAATTAGAAAATAATTTATATTATTTACTATTCATTCATTTATTCAATATTTACATTATTTATAAATTATATTTTATATTATTAACCAATTAATAATCAATAATAATAATAATATTAATAATTATTAATAATAATTTAATGTGACAAATGGGATGGTTGAAAACGATCACTACCAAACTGTAAAAAGTACTTGAATATCCTCACAGAAAAAAATTTATGTATTCCCCCTGTGAGGTAATATTTTATTAAAAAATAAAGAAATAAATAAATGTATGGGGAATCGTGATACATCGATTCCCCGCAAAATCAGCGACTCGTCGTATCAATCAAGCTCTTATCCATAATTAAGACTCAATAATAGTAAAGTTGCTCACGTGAAATGTCCTTTTACTGCCCCAAGAGTCCCGTATAGTTCTATTCCCAGTTCTCATATCCGCATGTACGTCCCACGTTTCCATCCGTCAGAGCGGAGAAAACAGTAACCGTGATGAGAGAGGAATTGCGGGAGGGGCGAGGGGGAGATCGCCCGCAGAGAGTATTTCTTTTCTTTCACGGTAATCGGCGGTGACGAGCAGAGGCTGGGTTAACGATCTCTCATCGTTTTCCGCTTGCCCTGACACTTTAATGGCTCGTAAACTTATCCACTAAAGGTATCACCGGGTGTGTACTATTATGCTTCACATGTGAGGGATTTTTTAGGCTCTCCCAGTGGGGACAAAGGGAAATTACATTTCGCGTTGACTCGCCGAATTAAGAAAAAAGTATTACTATTTTTCCCTGATTAACTGGGACATTGACAGTATTTATTTTCCTCGTTCATTATTGCACTCAAAAATTATTATATTTCTCAGCACCCACTGCTTCCAAATTTTTTGAAATTTCGTGGACGATATGATAGGAATTTTCATGGGAGGGACGTTGAATGGGATTAACGGGAAAAATGGTTATGAAATTTTACAACTTGATTGAATTTTCAGTGGAACATGAACATTTCCTGATTTTTATGAATTTTCACGGAATAATTGACCTGAAAAATCAAGTGATTAAATTGCGTGAGAAGAATTTGATAAAAATTATAATATTCAAAACAATTTATAAACAATATAAATATTAAATGAATAAATAATAAGTAGTAAACAATAAACAACTAATAAATAAATGAATATGAGATAATACAAATTATTACGATTCTGAACAAATCATTTTCATTGTTAAAAATTGATTGTTTATAAATTTACAGAAAATGCTCGTAATTTTCAAAAACTGCAATTTTAAAATTATTTCAACAATTTTTCTCCAAACGTAAGCTTTTTAATTTTATTTCAGACTTTTAAAATGTTTTCTAACGATTCAATATCGAGATTCAAATTTAAATAATAAAATCATTGTAAAATGTCCGGAAACTGGGGTCAAATGGGGCTCAAATAAAAGCTCCGATGTTCGACTACAAAAGTAGAAAAGCCTTTCCCTGAAAAAAAGCTAAACTACCTAGATATCCTTAAAGAGATTCGCATTAAATTTCCGCTGTGGTTGCCCACAACTCCCCCATTCAGTAGAATAAAATATCCCATTTCCATGAGTCCAAGCACCATTTTCCCTCCCATCATTTTTTCTATGAATTGAACATCTATTCGCCTATTCTCAAATATTTATTCATATACATCCCCTTTGTGAGATACAACCGAGCTCTGAGGGCGAGAATACTCGAGGATAACGAGGATCTACTGAAGTTATCTCCGTCTATCCTCAAAGAATCACTCTACCGGAAAAACTGTACGACAAGTTGTTTTTTTTCCCATTCCTCCTCTGAACCTCCCCCCTCGATACACGTAGCCGTGTCAAAGGCGACTGAAAGGCCCAATGAACCTTCAATTCGAGTGAAATTGTGCGGGAATCAAGAGCCTCTCTTCATTGTTTGACTTTGGCTTTTGTTCTAAGAGATTTTTTTCACCTCCCTCCCATACTCTTTTCATCCTTCACCACACGACACACTAATTCATCATCATGGTGTATTTTTTTTTATTTTTCAGCTTCAGACCTGGACTGTATAAGGGCCCTATTCAATGAAAAGGAGAAGGAACTCTCGCTGGCCGTGGCTAAGGTTGAAGAGCTGACGCGACAGCTCGAGGAGCTACGCGGCCGACACAATGCTAATGGTGGTGGTGGACAAGTACCATCGGCAGCTAGTGCTGAACTTGAAAAATTACGCAGGGAGCTGATGGTAATTTTTTTAGTCACTTCTTTCTTTTTTTTCATCAATTATTCGCTGAAAATCGTTCAAATTCAATTTTAAAAAAATCGAATAATTATTGAGTCTTATCCATCGACATTAATTGAAATTTAATTCATACATTATTTTTTTAAAGAATAGGTTATCCCACAAAAGCTGAAAAAAGTTCTGAATTCATTGAATGATGGCTTAAAAAATAGTTTCGATGTCCCTTATAAATCCACCCCAATTGATCGAAAAAGAAATATAATTCAATCAAACAACATAAAATAAAATAATTTTTCTGAATAAATCTGAAACAATGAATTTCCCAATTTGCAGTACCGAAATAAAATGAATGAGCAGCAGAACCAGGTGGTATCCCAACAACGGCTTGTGCTGGCACAACGACAAGCGGAAATGGCATCGATTGACGCAAGGATAGCCCAGCTGCAGGGAAGATTACAGCGTAAACGAGCGCTGAATCAGCGTCTACTCAGTCAGCAGTTGAACAATCGCCAGTCTGGAACAACAAATACCCCTGGATTTGAGCCGACAACTAAGCAGCAGGACTTTACGAGTGCCCCAAAACTACGTCCAGCGGGTAATGTCGCTGCTATTGAGCCATACAGTCACATACCAAATGACAGTGACTTCAATTTGAACAAAAATGATCCGAAATACCAGACACTACCGTACAATACTAAATTCACGGTAAATCTCAAGCCCATTGAGGACGATGTTAATAAGAATAATATACAGCATAGTCAGAGTGCATCGCAGATTGGACAGAGATCGACGTTGCAGCAGTTGGGACATCAAATTGCACACAGCCAGTCTCAATCACATATTCAAGGTAATTTGAGAATAATTGAGTGGCAAAGGAGTTTAAGAATTGTTTGGAAAAGATTATTTTGAAATCAATAGTTAGGGAAAGGTTAAAATATGAACGTTGGGGCAATGTTGGCTGCCGACGCCGGCCAACGTCGATAGCTCGTTACTTTAATGTTGGCGGAATGTCGGCAGCCAACGTTGGGAAAAGGTTGACTGCCAACATTGAGACCATGTTGGTACAATGTCGGCTGCCAACATTGAGACAATGTTGGTACAATGTCGGCTGCCAACATTGAGACAATGTCGGGGTGATGTCGGCTGCCGACATTGGGACAATGTCGGCTACCGACGTCGGGCCAACGTCGGTAGCGAATGTTACCCCAATGCTGGCTCTATATCGGTAGCCAACGTTGGGATAATGTTGGCTGCCACCGTTGGGGTAATGTTGGCACAATATTGGCGACCAATGTTACCCGCCAGCATTGTTGCAATGTTAGGGCAATGTTGAATTAAATAAATCATTAAATTCAATTTAAAATACATCATCACAAAAATTCCATTCACAAACAAATGGCCAATTCATTACCAAAAATATATTGACCATAAATACATTGTGACCACAGCAATTTCTCCCTTCTTTTTCCCTAAAACGATGTACCCCATTTCTAGAACCATGCCTTCTAGAACCACGAGTTTCTTCAATTCATGGCCGTCCAATTCATTCAGGGTAAAAGTCACAAGACTTTTTTTTGCCGATGATAAATTTTTCTGCAGTTGTTATCGACATATTCGATGAACAATCGTTCCAAACAGTTACGCGTAAACCCATTCATTCTCCTCAACTGAATTATCTTTCTGGGTGGATGACAAGAATACTCATCCCTCCACCATCCAACTTGTCTTAAAAACTGGAACACCTCGAGTCATTTATACCCCGTCCTCGTCATCACTGAAAAATCAATGACCCTTATCACATATAGACCAACGATTCCATTTTCACTCGAATAACGTGATTATTTATTCATCAATTATCGCCATCGACAACTAGAAACTTTCTCATTGATAGCTAAAGTATTCACGTCTCATTGTTATTTTGAATCCGTCGAACGTGACAAATAAAAATTTAATGAGGGAACTACGTTCATCCCTCGGTCTATTATCTTATTCATTATTTCAATTTTTATTTTATTTCAATTCAATGTTTTATCGACTCTGAGGATGATCAATTAATTACGATTATCGATTAATTAATCAATAAACTGTCGACTTGAAATATTTCATTCGAAGAAGTCGTTCTAAACCAATAAATACTGTAATAAGAACACAAATTCTTCAATTAAAAATAAATGGCGCAGTTTTATTAGTTTGACACAAATCAGCTGTTCAATCCGAACTGCAGCACAACATACCCCTAAAAGAGGGAAGAGGGCATTTATTCATTTGAAGTATTCCACAACAGTATAACCACTTGGCCGAATTATGGGAACGAATAAATATCATCCTGGAATGCTCGCAGCTTCCACCGCAATTGAGTTACGATAAAACCCTGGAATTCTCTATTACCAGGTCAATCGCAACTGCTAGGACCAAGCCAGCCGCCGCAGTCTCCACAGCAGCCGCAGCAAAACAGTCCCCAGTACCCCACCTCCAACTTCCTCATAAACTCTTCCAACAACAACAATAACAACAACAACAACAATAACAACAATGCAGCCCCAACCTCGACCCCCTCGAACTTCCTCCAAGAGTCTCAGCCCCAGTTGACGAGGCACCAGACCCCCTCCAGCGTTCCCCAAAAGTCCCAACAGAGTACAACAAATTCCCCGTCGAGCCAGGCCCCCCCAGACACCCGACAGTCCATGACACAAGCCCACAATCATCGAAACCTCCAGAGCCACCAGAAGCCCGTCTCCTCCGTAGCCCCGAGTTTTCCAGTGAAATCGCCAATTTATCAGACATCATCGATAAAAATCAATCCAGTGATGCCCCAGACACTGAGTTTAATAGGCAGGGGTCACTCGGGCCCCCAGGGCTACAGCGACCGTTCCAACCAGCAAAACTCGAGTCCCCAGGGCCAACAGCAGTCTGGCGCAACGACAAACGACAACTATCCCCCGAGGCACCAGGGCTACCAGGGACAATTCAATCAAATCAATCAGGGATACAAAAATTCAAATTTCTCACAGCCACAGAACTCAATTAATGCCAATTATCCGGGTTACGCTGCGGGTAGTTACAATCAGATACAAAATACAGACTGTCAGAACGAGAGGGTGAAGGGCGATAAGTTCGAGGTAAAACACGATAATCAGAGATTCGAGGTGCCCACCAAATTGGAGGCGAATCACAAGTTTGAGCATGGAGGATTGGCGGGGACGCATCAGTATGGCAAGCATGATCATACGGGATTGGGAATGGTGAAGGGAGATAAGGTGGACAGTTTGGGACAGAAGTATGAGGGCAATCAGGGTAAACACGATCACGGGGTTAAGCTCGAGCCGCCGGTTAAGGGGGAGGGGGGCAAGGGGTTCGAGGGGGAGAGAAAGGGGAACTTTGGGGAGGGTAAGGAGGACAAGATGAAGCCGGCGTTGCCGCCGAAACCTGTCAAACCGAATCCACCACCGAGGCTGAACAACCAGGATAAGGGGGATGGCGGGGGAGAGACTGCGGGAGATGCGAAAACCACAGTCGCCAGGTGAGTTTTTCATTTTTTTGCTTGTGAAACCGAAATTTTTTATTTTTTGGACCATGTCCATGTCGTCCAGACCATGTCTGGATGGATGTGTGTGCGTGTGCTTTTAAGAAATTGTTTTTCGATAATAACTGAAAAATTAATTGCTTTGATGAATCCAATTGTGATCTAAAATTTTATTTTCAATTAAATCTTGATAGAGTTCGATCATGAGATTTATTGCATCATCTGTTGTTGAATAATCTCATTTTGAAACCAATATTCAGGGAAAGGTAAAAAAATTTTACGTTGGGACAATGTTGGCTGCCAGCATTGAAGTAATGTTGGAGTAATGCCGGCGTAATGTTGGGACAATGTTGACTGCCAACGTTGGGCCGACGTTAGCTGCCAATGTCGGGGCAATGTTGGCGGCCAACATTGAGGTAATGTTGGCGTAATGTTGGGACAATGTTGGCTACCAACATTAAGGCAATGCTGACTGTCAACATTGAGGCAATGTCACCTCCCAATGTTGGAATAATGTTGGCTGCCAGCATTAAGGCAGTATCAGCTACCAGCGCTGAGGTAATGTTCGCTACCAACATTGGGCCGATGTTGAATTCAATTTAAAATAAATCGTCATCTCCTATAAATATATATCTACCACTGAATCACGCTATGACGGAAGTTTCCTTAATTGATTACTGGTGAACCTCTCGTCCCGGTATTGAGTTACAGAGAAATGATACTCCGGAGTGAATATTCAAGGCAAGTGCGAGGTCAATACGTAATGATTATGTTGTCCCGTATCGCATTTCTTGAGTCGTGTCATTCTCTTCTCTGAACATGGGATGTGAGCATGCGGAGTGAGCAGTGGTCGCCATGAGGCGAACGTGAATTCTTCATTGCACTTGAAAGCGATTAATTTATTTTGGTCGAGTCATTGATCCAGTGGAACAGTGAAGCGTAACAGAACAGAAGATTTCCAAATCTTGCGGAATAATGACGATAGGGAGAGACTGCATTCTCATTCATTGAACATTGCATTTTCCAATTTAAATTGGAGACTCTCTCTGGTCACTCATTCACCGTTTTTACCGTACGTGATGTGTGAATCTATCACCAGTTTAATTATAAATGTTAATTAGTACACGATCGATTTGGCTGGTGAATCTCTGGTGTCGCGAATAATAGATACAGAAATAGAACAAAGTTAGTGGCAGGGAGAAAACAGTGTGTTTTGTAGGGTCAGTGATTGTGGTACTGTTGAAACAGACGCATCAAACGGAGAGTCGTGCTTTCATCGTAAATAAAAGCGTAGGAAACTCTTTTTTTCATTAAAAAATATCGGATAAAACCCGCGCCCGTATAAACCGGTACAATAATATTTTTTATGGCAGCGGAATATCAGCGGATTGGATGAGCTGGATAAAAATATTTCAACGAAGTGATAGATCAATTCAATGGAATAGATCAGTTCAACTCCAAATTGAGTGAAAGTTCAAAGTCAAAATGTCGCATGGTCTTTCACTCCGAAAAAAAATTAAGGGGAGCTATTGAGAGTGACATGGAGATGTCTCACATGTTGAGGATTATATGACTCAATTATACTTGCGTAAAAGCGGAGAATTAGTGTAAAAAAATTATTATTTATTGTTCGTTTGCCCCCAAATGTTTTAAATGTTAATAACAGTCTAGTGGACTCAGTGTTTCAGCTAGAGATTTTGTCATTAAAGATTAATTAATTAGTTGGATTTTTTAAATTAAACAAAATTCTGGAAAATAATTGCGATTTAATTTTTTTATTTCGATCTCTAAGTCGTCAATTTCGTTTTTGTTTAAATAATCATATGGGTTTTTTAATTCTTCAACGTTTTTTGCTGTCTTGAACAAATGAAAAATATTATAAATGTTTTGAGAATATAATTACTGGGTATTTTCCATGAATAGTGCAATTTTTCATTTAAACAGAAATGAAATTGACTGTTTAGGGATCGAATTAAAAAAAAAGTCACTCGGAATTATTATTTTGCAAAAAAATTTAGGATACTGAACTATTTTCAACATTTTATTTTTCTGAAGTGTCTGCGGGGCGAACGAACAATAAAAATTTACTTAACAAAATTTTTAAAAATCTCTAAAATAACAATTGCGAATCATTTCTTTTAATTTTGCTCTCCGAGTCGCCAATTTTTTTTTTCAATGTTTTTTGATATCTGAAACAAATAAAAAATGTAAAATTTTTTTAATTCAATTTTTGTCCATTTCACATGAATACTGAAATTTTCCATTTAAACAAAAATGAATTTGACTATAAAAAACTTGTGTAGCAAAAAAAAATCAGGACACCGGGCTATTTTTAGCATTTTAAGCCCCTCATATGCCGAAATACCCCTCTCATCGGCTTGCCCCCGGGGCTAAAGAATAATCGTTTATCCTGTAAACCTTTCAGGCCTGAGAAGGAAGAGGAAGTGCCACCGATTCCCACGAGCGAGCCTCCAGACTCGCCCAACGAAGCCCCAGTGACTGGTCACCAGATAATAAAAGCCCGCCCATTGACCTTGAAGAAGGCCCTCCTGTCGGAGCAGCCCCGACTCCGATATGCCAAATCAAATGTTCACGTATCGATAAATCGTAGAATTGAGATGCCCCCGGCATTTCTATTCCCAGAGACTGAAATACCCGCTGATCTTATGCAAACTGATCAACAACAAAATACCCCAGATGTAACGGATCACATAAGTCTTAAGCAGATTAATCACAGCCCTGAGGACACCAATTGCAACGAGAAATTGGAGGATTCGGATATTGTTGATGCACTCAATGTCATTAATATTGAGGATAAACTGAAGAAGGAGGTCAAGTGCGAAGTGGATACTGAGGGCAAGGGGAGTGAGGTGATAAGGAGGAAAAAGGGCAATTTGAAATCCACAACGGGTAAGGCGAATTTGTCGAGGCGGGTCTCCTTTGACCCACTCGCTTTGCTACTGGATGCCAGTCTTGAGGGCGAACTTGAGCTCGTCAAGAAGACGGCCAAGGAGGTTGCCAATCCTAGCTCAGCCAATGACGAGGGAATCACTGCACTGCACAATGCCATTTGTGCGGGACATCTGGAGATTGTCAAGTTCCTGGTGGAGTTCGGGTGCGATGTCAATGCCCAGGACAGCGATGGATGGTGAGTGTTTTCATGTTTCGGGGGTTGAGGGTATTATTTTACATTGAAGATCAAGTGTTGATGAGTAAAGGAAAAATTATTTTTGAGGATATCCAAGTAGTTTGGCTATTTTTTGCTCCAATGAAATGCTTTTTCTAATTTTGAGAATATGTTTTTATTTTAATTACGTTGAATATTCACTTTTTTCAAATTTTTATTGCGCGATTTGACTGACAAATCTGGGTGATTGAAAATCCGAGGACTCTAGCTATTTTTTGCTCCGGTGAAATGCTTTTATACTTTTTTAGTCGAACAGCGGAGCTTTCATTTGAGCCCCATTTGACCCTAATTTTCAGGAAATTTTACAGTGATTTTGGGATTTAAAGTTTGCAGGTCTAAATTTGAAGTTCGATATTGAACCGTTGGAAAATAAATTTTTTATTTGAGAAAAATTAGAAAATTTTGGAGAAGGATTGATGAAATAATGAAAAAATTGCAATTTTTGAAAATTACGAGCATTTTTTATGAATAATTTACAAACAATCAATTTTCAAGTATAAAAATCATTTGTTCGGAATTGTAACGAATTTATGGAAATGCAGAATTTTAGCAGGAATCGATTTCATGCTTAAAAAATTAGGTTTTCGAAAGTTTAAACAATTGCATTTAGTTATTTATAAACAATCAATGTTTAAAAAAATGATAATTCTGTGCAAAATGTAATTTTAATCAAATTTTAAATAAAAATTTTGAAAGTTGGAAAATGGGAAGATTGAATAATTCAAAATTAAATAATTCAAATATTGCAAAAAAATTTATAAACTATAGGACTCATTTGTTCGGAATCTCAAAAAATTTACTCATATCCAGAATTTTAAACAAGTTAATTTATTTATTTGCAAACAACAAATATTTAAAAAAATAATAATTCTGTGTAAAATGTAATTGGAATGGCGCTGAATCTCAATTTTTTTCTCAAATTATTTTCATTCGATATTTTCCCAATTATTGAAACAATATTAAAACACATAAAAAAACCCATTATTATCCCAAGACAATAACTCCTCTTAACGATCAGATATTTATTCTGGGATGCAGAGGGAGGAGGATGTGAGGAATAGAATCGGTAAACAGTGGTGAGGAATGTCGGAATTTTTGCCAAGAAAATTGTTTACCCGGTTGAGTGGGGATTTGAGTGTCGTCTATGTGCCGAAGAATTTATGATTGAGAAAATATTTTGGATGCGAACTTCACGTGAGGAAATTCTCAATTTAGTCCGGCGTTATTTCGAGCCTCGCCTGAACCCGCTACGAAGATACTTCTAATTCTCACCTCCTTTTTTTTTAAATTTTGCAGGACACCTCTGCATTGTGCAGCGAGCTGCAATAATCTCGCTATGGTGAGATTTCTCGTGGAACATGGAGCATGCATATTCGCAACAACACTCTCCGATCATGAAACAGCGGCGGAGAAGTGCGAAGAGGATGAGGAGGGATTTGATGGATGCTCCGAGTACTTGTACAGTGAGTACTCTAATCCACGTTATGCCTTCATCATTTTCAATCGTGTATTCTATTTATTCATTCATTTATTCATTCAATTATTTATTTATCGAGTCGATTTATTCATTTCCACACCCGTGGCTCTGCCAGCCTTGAACCTCCATTGATATTCGCGTGGTTTTCCCACAGGTGTTCAGGAAAAGCTGGGCATTATGAATAATGGACAGGTGTTTGCAGTGTTCGATTATGACGCACAACATAATGACGAGCTGTCAATGAAGAATGGCGATCAACTGGTTATTCTGCGAAAGGGAGATGACAATGAACGAGAGTGGTGGTGGAGCAAGCTTGGGCACAGAGAGGGATATGTTCCGAGGAATTTGTTAGGGGTAAATTTACATTATTCATCGCAATTTCGATTGAGGGGCAACGGAGGGTCGTTTATTTTTCAAATTTTTGATTAAATTCCCTGCGGAAAGGTATCTGTTGTCATTTGGGGTTGAAAGGTAACAAATTTTAATGTTGGGGCAATGTTGGCTGCCAATTTTGAGGCAATGTTGGCTGTCAATGTTGAGACAATGTTGATTGTTACCGTTGGGGTAATATTGGCGCAATGTTGGCGGCCAACGTTGGAATAATGTTGACTGCCAACATTGGGGTGATGTTAAGTGAAACCCTTGAGGCAATGTTGGGGTAATGTTGGCTGCCAATGTTGGCGTAATGTTGGCTAGGTGCATTGAGACCATGCTGTCTGTCAACATTGGCACAATGTTGGGGTAATGTTGGCGGTAAGTGTTGGCCGCCAACGCTGGGCCAATGTTGGGGTAATGTTGGCTCATTCTTCAATGTCAAACAATGCTTACAACCTTGATAAGAAAATTGGACCTTTCGTTACCCCTGAGAAAGGTTCACCCTATAGGAAAAACTTCTTCGTTTCTCTTGAAAAAAGGTTTGAAATTTTTTTCTTGAAAAACGAAATTTTTTTTTTCTCGGGATAAATCTCCCTTCAACAATGCCTCCTAAAATCTAATATCTTTATTATTCTTCTATTTCAGCTGTATCCAAGAGTACAACCATCGAAGACAGAGTAGAAGCTGACATATCTGCAAGAGATTGTTCTTTTTTCATAATAAACAAAGAAGAAAGAAATTAAAATGAAAATGAGAACTTTTATCACCACAGTATTCAATTTGCAGCTTTATCTTATTAGGTATTCGTAATAGGGTATTTTTAATGTTACAGAAATATTATATTATTTAAATCGTGCGTTAAAGCCGAAGTCAAAATCCTGCAATGTCATTTTTTTTTAGATGAAAATGTATTCTCTATTTTAATCTTCTTTCAATCGACCGATCAAATTTATTGATACGCATTTATCACCTCTGCGGTACTTAAATGTTTATTGAAAAATGAAATTATGTGAAGAAATTGATCTTTTTAGACAATCGCTCAATTTGTTTCACCTAAATGGTTTATGTTTAGATGAATTCAAATTGTTATTATTTTTTAATAATTTTTAATCCTCAATTATATATATATATATTTTTTTTGTTAATCTCGAATTTTTCTCAATCCGATGGAGATCAAGTGCAGAGAGTTATTCGGATTTGGAAAATATTCAATTCTCATGAATCTGTTTTCCAAGCTTGCCAATAGATATTATAAATATTGTAAAATTTCAAGTTTTAATTTTAGTCAGATCGATCGTCAATGGTTTTATCAGCATTCAAGAAGGGATAGAGCAAATGATAGAGATAGATGAAATTCTAACGATCGATCAAACCGACTGTTTTTAATTAATGAAGGATAAAAAACAATATGAGGCTCGATCAAACGGCGTTTTATGCCACTTTCATTTTTAATGTAGCTGTTAGGTTTCGAGAATGTGCACAGAGCGCTGCCTCGCCAAAAAATGTCGAAGGAATTATTATTGAATGGATATGAATTGTCCCAAGAATATTAAAAAATGTGTGCCTTTAAACGTAATAATGACTTTATGTAAGATTGCACGGTATATTGAAAATAATAAATTGTTTTTTTGATAGATTTTGTCTATTTATTGATCTTGGGTTTAACTCCAGTTATTTACTTGATATTTTCTCCTTTACCTAAAAAAGATGGTACTCTTCATGAGGGCAATTTATTTCATCTGGACAATCAACCAAAACAAAAATTACGATTACAAATTGTTGTAATAATTTCTACTGCATTATTCATAATTTAATGGGAGGAAAGAGTCACACTGTTGAAATAATTTGACCCTGAATTCGATTTAAGGGGAAAAGTCAATGGAATTGTAACGTCGCAATTTTTCAGCGGCAGGAAAACGAAAATTCCATAATTTACATGAATTTTCAAGTGAAAATGACTACTCACTGCTAAATTTCCTTGAATTTTTAGGGAATTCCTTTAAAATTCTTGGAATTCCAGCAATTTATCCAGAAGATTTATCCAGAACTTGATTTTAGTTTCCATTATTCATAAATTAATGTGAGGAACAGTAGCAGTGTTAAAAAATTTATCTGAATTTACTGGAAAAAGGCCTTGAATTCAATTCAAGGGGAAAAAGTCAATGGAATTTCAAATTTCGCTGAAAATTCAGGTGGAGCCCCAATTTTTTAACGGCCGGAAGTGGGAAATTTCACAATTTACATGAATTTTCAAGTGAAAATGAATATTTACTGCTAAATTCTGAACTTTCAGGAGAATTCCTTCAAAATTCAGGGGAATCTGGAATTCAAGGAGAGATTTCCCTGAATTTTCCGGATTTTTCAGCAATTTCCCAGAATAATCAAACTTAAATTTACAGTTCCCACGGAATTTCAGATAAAATTATGAATTTTCCTTTACCAAATTCCGGGAATTATCAGCGAATTATTAAATAAAATGTTTATTGATTTGCTAATTTTCATTTTCATTAGCAAACGCCCGCTTCAGAAATTTAAATTAATTCACCAATTAATTTCACCAATTCAATTTTTGCTGCTGCATTGCCCCTATTCCTGGCAAAATAGGAAATGTCCTTTGCATTAAGATGATTTGTTTGCCCTTCCTCGGTGAATTTGAAATTCGATCCATTAAAAAATCACTCTACCGGATGTCAGAAACCGGAACAGGGGCATCAACTGGGACATCACCGGCGCATGCACATATTGGCGCAACAAACTTGTTGATTTTCTCGCGCAGGGTGGAAGTTCAGTCGGGCGCATGTGCCTGCGTGAGCCCCCAGGACGAATGGGACAACACAGTTCAAAACCACTCTCCATATAAAGCTGGGAAAACTCGGTGGAAAACACTAGACGCGAACGCGTGGGCCAAACGAAATGTTGAAACCTCAGGATTAGTTTTCCTCGTGTTTTTCTCGTGGGTGAAAATGTGGGAGTGCTGTTTACGGGAGTTTATTTTATTTTTTTTGTCGCTTGTTGTCCATACGATAGGCTCAAGGAAAATTTTAGGTAATATTTACAATAATCTAAACAAATAGGAAATCAAAATTAATCATTTTAACTTTAGAAAACGTTCGTTTTCATAAATTTATTTATTTATTTATTTATTTATTTATTTATTTATTCATTTATTTATTTATTTATTTAACATGCTGGAACCCGTGATATGAGTGATTTGCATTGAAAAAATTTATTTTCCTAAACAAGTCTTGTTTAAACCCTGAAAAATCTCTAGTGAAACAAAAAAAAAATAGAATCCAATGGTGACCATTTGAAGACTGTCCTGAGATGACAAATTTTCATCAAAAATAGATTCAGTGATTCTAAAAAAATTTATTCTCTCTGCAAGCGAGAAATGTCATTTCTAGCACAACTTTTTTCCCCGTGAAACATTCGTTTTACGTTCAATATGGCCCGGTTCAAATTCCAATGAAATTTTTTCTCAAAAAAGAGCTTTTTCCTCACTTGTGCGTAAACTGAAATTTTACGCACGTCCGAAAAACCCCACTTTCCACACATTGTGATGAAAAATACGGTTCGACACTCGTGAGAAAAGTATTTCTGTTCCTCTCGAGGGTCAAAAAGCACTTTTACGCACTCGTATCGAAATATATTATTTGAGAACTCGTTCATTTTTCTCTCAGTGTACGGAAAATCTAGAGATTTCTCCCTGACGCACTCTATTCCGCGCGATATTCATAAACCCCCCGGGCGCAATATTCAACTAATTATGTTTTACCACTCGTTTCAACACAGAAATGACAAAAAAAATTTTGCACCATGAATTTTCAAGGACACTCTCCATGGTCCATTGAACAAACTTTAGTACTCTCTTTTGCACATTTCATTAGCGCGTGAAACTTCAATAAAGACGTACAACGTTGGAGTGCTAATGGCGTCTCACTTGGACAGTCCCTTTGACTTGGAGCGTTGTGGACCAGCAGTGGACCTGGCGCTGGCGGAAGTCAACGAATTTCTCGTCCTCCACAATGTCCAGCTGCGAAAAGTTCAAGCCAGGTAGTCCCTCTCAATTCTCTCTCGCCCCATTATCTCCGGGGCATGCAAATCCTCGGGGAGACTGTTAATCCAAAAAATCTAAATTCTTCAAATTCAGGTTTGGAAAATTCAGCGCATACTTTAGTTACAAATTATTCGATTTATATTCGCACGGGAGGGTATGCTTCGCTGCTTACGGGGGATTGATCTTGCGGTCGGGGAGGATAAAGGAGGACACGAGGGGGATTGGAATATGATGAAATTCAACTTCCTTGGAGGACTGGACGAAATAGTTGTTTTTTTTTTAGATTCTGAGGCTAAAATCAGATGATATGTAGACGGTTGCGAATTTTTTACTGAAATTTCCCGGCAATTCTGGGACATTTTTACTATATTGGAGGGTTTCTGGAAGTTCAAGGGATTTCATTGTTGATAACTCACAATTTTAGTTCAATTATTTTATGAAAATTAATTTTTTAAATCTAGAAAATTCAGCTAAATTTACATTGTTACAAAATTTTCAGGTGGAATCCCGGGTAAAATTCTTGGAAATGTTCATCGCATTATAGTTATATCGAAATTTCGAGGAATTTCATGATTGGAAATTTAAAATTTCATGGAAAAATCAATGGAAAGTCCAAATTCAATTCAATTATTCCCTGAAAATGAATCGAACCCAGGAACACTCAGCTAAATACATTCTTTAATTAATCATCAATTAATTAAAAATTTCCCGAACCCTCACAATTCCATTGAACCTTCAACTAAATTTCATAACGCCCCCACCCGCTGCCCAAAACTTTTGAATTCAATACAATTCCCAGTAAACTCTGAAACTCGATGATTTTCCCCCCTAAACGGAATTCCTTATTACTCTACCAGAATCCTAAAACCGCAACAATAAATAAATAAAATATTTAAACAATAAATAGTAAATGATAAATAATAAATAATAAATGATAAATAATAAATAAATGATAAATAATAAATAATGAATGATAAATAATAAATGATAAATAATGAATAATAAATAATAAATAATAAATGATAAATGATAAATAAATAAAAATAAAAAAATGAAATAAGGAATTCCCAATAATTATTCAAAGCAACATTTACGTCCCAAAAGGATGCGTTTCATCGGAACAGATAATTCATTTACAACCAAACTGTATTTCCAATGGATAATTTCCCAAAGCATTCACAATACTCCTGATTTTCATACGTGATATACCCTGAATTCCGAGTGACACTTGTACATCAGCCACCGTGATACGTGATGCAGAATGAATGGGCATGAAATTTCAATCTGAATGCATCCCTCTCGAAACTCTCGAGTGTGCACACACGCACACACCGGGCCGGCGGGGGGTGTTGTAAATAACAGTTGGATAATTGATCCCGGAGAATTAACGGATGAGAAATCAACGATGAGAAAAAAAATCATCGCAATTACACGTGCGATGGGGGTCAAGGTCAGCCATCAAGTGGATGGAGCTTATTCTTTTACTTCTCTTCATAAATTTTTATATTCAATTAAATGACTGGAGGGGAAAAATCGCGGAGTTCGAGTATTGAAAGTGGAAAAATGAGGGAGTGGTTTTTTTTGCAGCTATCCATCATGCAGCGGAGCTAGGGCACCGGGATTAGCGGCTGACATGCATTTTCGTGATAATGTAATTGCATTTGTCGGGCCAGCCTGTGCTTTTGCCCTCGAACCTGTTGCTAGACTCGCGGCTTACTGGAATACCCCCATTATCACGGGAATGGGTGATCAGGTGAGAGATATTGGTGCAAAGAGTATTCGTAGAAAACAGGGTTTTTTTCGATTGTCCACATGGTTTTCGCAGATAATATTTATAATATTATAAACATATTATAATATATATTATTAATATGTAGTTTCATTTATTTATATTATGTTACACTATATTATTATTATTATTATTATTATTATTATTATTATTATTATTATTATATGATTCAGCTATTGAAAAAAATTCTATCTAGCTGTACAGTACAGTTTAGGAGATAATAAATAATGAAATGCGGGCTTAGGATGTTCGATTTATATTTTTATAAATTATTAATAAATTGTCTTGAATATTCATAATTTTTTTCACATTTTTCTCACGCAATTTAAAAAAATTGAATAGTTCACTTTTGGAGAAAAATTGTTGAAATAATCGAAAAATTGCAATTTTCGAAAACTCGGAGCATTTTCTATGAATAATTTATAAAGAATTAATTTTCCGCCATAAAAATCATACTTTCGGAATCGTAACAAATTTATTAATATTCAGAATTTTACAGAAATCGATTTCATAGTTAAAAAATAAGGTTTCCGAAAGTTTAAACAGAAAGTTTAAACATTAAACTTTAATTATTTATTTATTTACTTATTTATTTGTAAACATAGAATATTTAAAAAAATAATAATTCTGTGCAAAATGTGATTTTAATAACGCAAATATTCTAGACCTTTTTTCAAATTTTTATCACGCAATTTAAGTGATAAATTTGATGATTGAAAATTATTGAATCTACGGTGTAGTCTGTACCAAACTGCAAAAGATACTTTGATATCCTTAAATAACGAGTCTGTGGTATTTTTTGTAAAATGCATAGTCCACAGTTCCTGCGATATTCAGCTCTAGAAATGAAAACTTCGTGAAATCATTTCCCATTTGATTCCAACAATGAATTTGAAAAATTGAATAATTCACTCGCTTGTCCCCCGATTTCACTCCAATTCGCAATGCTCCGGAACAAAACCCCATTTATTAAAACCTGACTACCGAATCGCGTGTGGAAAATTGCATTTTTTTATGCAAGCCTTTTAAACCAATGGATTTACCCTGCTGAAAATGGTAATTGAATGGGACCATTTACAGCCACCATCAGAGGGCGAATTATCCGTGACTTCCGGCATCCTTGGACGTCTCCACAAGTGGAAAAACGAGAGTTCGGTAAACGTATATCTCTCGCATTTCTTAATTTACTTCACCTTGCGTGTTCACTTGGACGTTAATTAACCACCCTGGTAGTCTTCCAACGTGTAATCAGAGTCTGTTTTTTGCTAATTAAAAAATGTACTCCGAAAATATCTCATCACGCTGTTGGCTTAATGGTCCCCAGGGCATTTTCAAAGACAAGAGCAAGTACCCCACCCTCACGCGGATGTCGTACTGCCAGTGTCGGCTGCGAATGGTCTTCGCGAGTATTTTCAAGGAGTTCGGCTGGGCTCACGTGGCACTCATCCTCGACAGATCGGATTTATTCTCGCTGACTGTTGGGAAAAATCTCGAGTACGGACTGAGGAAGGACGGATTGCTCAAGTTTGTGAGGGAATTGGATGGTAATTCCGAGGACGACTCTCATCATTTGTATCTGAGGGATGCCAGCATGTACGCCAGAGGTTTGTATCGACGATGGAGCAGTGACTGGCACTGTCCCAGTTTCCGACACCCTCAGTGTGTTCAGGATTTAGCGAGGGCGAGGGGACAAATCGTCTTGATGCAAAGGAAATTTTCTGCTCGCAATCGCACGATTACAAACATTCAAAATTAAATGACGATATGAAAAAATTAGTAGATCAGATTTACTTGAGGGAAATTAACCAACTGGATGGAAGGAAATTTAATATCTTTCTCAAAAATTAAAATTCTCGTCGTGGTCGGAAATATTCCTAGAAGAATTCGAAATTATTGTTCCTCATATAATTCTCTGTAGAACGAGAACGATTACACTACGAAAATAATTTTTTTTGTCCACAAGTAAATTGATTCAAGAACGAATGATTCAGAACCAATTTTTTCTCAGTGAAGCTAATGAATCAGAATCTTTGACAATATATTATTACGGAATCGAATGGTTTAGTGTGTGCTCTTCCCCTCTTTCTTAAAATGAGAGAAAGTTGATTGTCATTCTCTAATATTAGAAAATAACTTCATGTGTGATTCATCTTTGTTCCATGATTGATTCTGAAGAACTGTCAGTAAATGCGCACCTTCGATTGATCCTGGATCATTACTTGATTGAATACACTAATATTTGTAATAATGGGAGGATGTATATGTCATTTTTTTATTCATTCCGCATTTTATAGATGATCTAGTGCCATTTTGATCATGATTATTAGAGAATATTATTCCTGCGCGTTATTTCTTCGCAATTATTTATTTATTTATTTATTCATTTATTTATTTAATCAGCTATGAATTTAGTTAATCACTCAATTGGGGAAACATCAACCCCAAATAATAAAATAAAGAAGAGTATTAACAAATTATCCACTTGATGCATTGAAAAAAAACCCCTTTGACGTTTTTAAAAACTAAAAAACACCATGAATATTCTATTTAAAAACCTCTGATACTCCAGTGGTGATCCTGAGTGTGCGAGGCACTCTCGTACGCAAGTTCATGCTCGCCGCCCATGAATTAGGAATGACTCGGGGGGATTGGACATTCTTGGATGTGGAAATAATCCAGGTGACACGAAACACAAGTCTTGCTTCGCGAGAAGAGACGATCGAAGTGTGTAATAATTATGTCAATTAAAATCAGGGATCGTACTGGGGCGATCATGACTGGGAAGTGGGGGATGAGGATGACTCTGCAGCGAGGAAGGCGTACGAGTCGCTGCTGCGAGTGTCCCTGCTGCAGCCCACGAGTCCCAGGTTCCAGGATTTCGCTGAGGATGTTAGAATCCGGGCGCAGAGTGATTATAATTACACGTTTTCGGATGGAGAGGAAGTGAGTGCATTTGTATTCGTGGAATCCAATTGTGAATTAAAATATTCTTTTCAATGTCGTCTTGATTGGGTTTGAGAAGGGGTCGATTGCATCATCTGTTGTTGAAAGAATTTATTCTGAAAACAATATTTGAGGGGAGGTCAAAAATTTTAATGTTGGGGCAATGTTGGGGCAATGTCGGCGACTAACGTTGGGACAATGTTGGTTATCAACGTTAGGGTAATGTTGGATGTCATCGTTGGGGCAATGTTGGGACAATGTTGGCTGCCAACATTGAGATAATGGTGGATGCCACCGTTGGGGCAATTTTGGGACAATGTTGGCTGCCAACATTGAGATAATGTTGGATGTCACCGTTGGGGCAATTTTGGGACAATGTTGCCTACCAACATTAAGAATGTTGGATGACACCGTTGGGGCAATGTTGGCTGCCAACGTTAAAATAATGTTGGCTGCCAACATAAAGGTCATGCTGGATGTCACCGTTGGGACAATGTTGCCTGCCAACATTAAGGTAATGCTGGATGTGACCGTTGGGGCAATGTTGGGACAATGTCGGCTGTCAACATTAAGAAAATGTTGGATCTCACCATTGGGGCAATGTTGGCCGCCAACGTTGGGGCGATGTTGGCTGCCAACATTGAGACAATCTTGAATTCAATGAATCATAGAATTCAATCTAAATCACACCATCATAAAAATCCCATTCAGAACCAAATCACCAATTTATTATCAAAAATCTATAGACTCTTTTGTAACAAAAGTGATGTCCCACTTGTGTCTCCCTGTTCTCCACCCCGTTACCCCCTAAAATCTCGACCCCCAGGTGAATTTCTTCATCGGGGCGTTTTACGACGGCGTCTACCTCCTCGGAATGGCCCTGAATGAGACCCTGTCAGAAGGCGGTGACATATGGGACGGAGTGGCGATGACGCGACGCATGTGGAACCGGGACTTTATGGGAATAACAGGTCACGTACGGATCGACGTCGACGGTGATCGTGACGCTGACTACAGCATTCTGGATCTGGATCCAATCACCGGCAGATTTGAAGTGGTGGCTCACTACCTGGGAGTTAATCGGCAGTACAGCCAGGTCCCTGGGAAGAAGATCCACTGGCCTGGCGGGAGGGAGGGGCCACCCCCGGACATTCCGGAGTGCGGCTTCCTGGGGAATGATCCGGCCTGCTCCCAGAAGACTGATGCCTACGCTCTCGTTCTCTACGCCAGCCTCTCTCTGGCTATTTTTCTTCTGGCTGTGGTCGCCGCTGCCTGCCTCCTCTGGCGACATCTTCGACTGTCCGCCGATTTGAATAATATGTCCTGGAGGATCAGACCCGAGGAACTTCTGCTGGAGGTCAACAGGGCTTTCTCCTCCAAGATTAATTTGCATCAGGCCATGTCAGACGCTAATGTAATTATGCCAATGCCATTTAATTGACCTGCATCACTGTATACTGGCGTCTTCAATTTGGCTTCATTTGAGACGTCGGACACTTACACATTTTAAAGAAATATACATTTGTGCAAATTACACGTACATAATTTTATTTTTATTTCATGTTTTATTTTTATTTTCACGTGATGTTGTTTTTTTTTTATTGATCTATTTTGACTTGTGCAAAATGTAAGATTGTGGATATTGGTGGATGCTGGCTCATCGTTTTTTTGGAAAACCTCCGGATTTCAGCATTTTTTTAGGAACACAAATTTTTTTCTGTATAGAAAACCTCTCCTTTTATTTTTCTAAAACTCGTCAAATTTTCTTGAATTTCGTATAAAAATCTGTGATTTTCTAAAATTCCGATAAATGACGTCAACGAAAAATATATTTTTCATACCCTTCACAGAGAAAAAAAATTACTCCTGCCAAGTAAATTTACTTGTCACAAGTAAATGTATATAAATATTTACATTTAAAATGTGTGAATTTTCTTGTAGTTAGTAAATTTGCTTGGCAAAAGTAATTTTTTTTCTGTTGTCGAACGAGAGACTATTGTTTACAAACAATTGAAACAAAATTGAACAGAAAATTAGAATTCATGGGGAAACTTATCAATCTTGAAAAAAAATTTTCCTTTTTAAAATCATTTCTCCTCATTACACTCAGCGACTCAACTGGAATTTATTCATACAACATTAAATCCGGGAGACACAAACGTCCAGAAAAAGCCGACAAACTCTCACAATTTCAGGCACTAGTTTTTCTCCCGCCTCGAACAATTATCGTTCCTCAAAAAAATTTGCTTTTGAACGATTAATCCTCGAGACTGAGCCGTTCTCACCCGATTTTTAGCAGACGAGAGAATGTTTAAGATACTCGAATGAAAAAATTGCAGAATTATGGGCTTGAGCAACGTCGTCGTGGATCACAGGTGAGTGGCGATTCTCTAGGCCCCACCATCGTGTTCACCACCGTGGGAATATACAAAGGTGAACGTGTGGCGATTAAAAAGATCACGAAGAAGAAAGTGGTTGATGTGACGAAAAAATTACTGTGGGAGATAAAGCAAGTGCGGGATGTTACCTCCGAGAACACTGTCAGGTACTGGAATTATCCATTATATAAATTGGTGAAAGAAAATTGATCGCGAGAGGAGAGAAAATTAACCGAGAAATCCTGAAAAAATCGGCAGTGAAACAACAATAAATTGACGAAACGATTTAAATCAATTTTGACTATTAGGCAGTTTTTAATGAATATCTCGGAATCTAAGGCAGATAGAAAATTTTTCATGAAAACCTTTTTTGTAGAGAAAATTGACAGCTACAAAAAAGGTTCTGATGAAAATTTTGCTATCCCCCTTAGATTCGGAGATATTCCTCGCTTCGCTACTGATTTTAGTTATTGTTTTCCTGCGAACTCATTTCTGTTCGTGAATTTATTATGATAATTTCAGATTCATTGGAGCGTGCCTCTGCTCTCCTTCCCCCACAGTCCTAATCCTCACAGAATATTGTCCGAAGGGCTCCCTCAAAGACGTCCTGGGGAACGAAGCTATCAAACTCGACTGGAATTTCCGAATGTCTCTCATTCATGACATCGTTAAGGTATTGAGCCTCCAGTAAATTATTCTCAACAGCTTCCGCACTTTAACTCACCGAAAATCACTTCCTTATCTTCTGTCCTCTGCTGCATTACCCGACTCAGGGCATGGATTACCTTCACGCGAGTGAAGTCGTTGCACACGGTAAACTGCGGTCGTGCAATTGCCTCATCGATGGTAGATTTGTCCTGAAAATATCGGATTTTGGGTTGAAAACACTCACGATGCCGGCGGACTTGACCATCGATGATAATTATTACACAAGTAATGCAGTTCTACACTGTTGCAAACATTTGGGGAAATTTTCCGGGAGAGGAAGTTGAGTTCGATTTAAGGGAAAAAAGTCAACGGAATCTTACAATTTATTTTAATTGTCAAGTGAGAATCAATATTTACTGCCGAATTGTCTTGAATTTTTAGGCAATTCTGTTGAAATTCTTGGAATCGCAGGAATTTTTGAAGGAATTCCCTGAAAATTTGCGAGGAATCTGGAATTCAAGGAGAGATTTCTCTGAATTTTCCTGATTTTTTAACAATTTTCCTGGAGGAATTCAACCAAAATTTGCAGTTCTCAAGGAGTTTTCTGTGAAATTGTGAATTTTCGATGATAGAGTTCCGTGAATAAATTTGTTACGACAGCGAACAAATGATTTTAATGGTGGAAAATTGATTGTTTATAAATATTTATGGAAAATACTCATATTTTTCAAAAATTGCAATTTTTAAATTATTTCATCAATCGTCCTTCAAAAATAAATTTTCTAATTTTGTTTCAAACTTTTAAAATGTTTTCTAACGGTTCAATGAATATTCAGCGTCATTAAAATTACATTTTGCACAGAATTATTATTTTTTTAAACATTCGTTGTTTATAAATTATTGATAAAAATGCTCGTAATTAAAAAAAAATTGCAATTTTTAAATTATTTCATTAATTTTCCTCCAAAAGTAAACTTTCTAAATTTTCCAAATTTTTCAAATGTTTTCTAACAATTTAATATCGACATTTAAATTCAGATCTGCAATCTTGAAATAATACAATCATTGTAAAATATCCGTAAACTTAGGGTCAAAAGGGGCGCAAATGAAAGCTCCGATCTTCGACTACAAAATGAGAAAACCATTTCACTGAAGAAAAAAATAGCCAAACTACTTGGACATCCTTAGAGGGAGACTACCACGAGTTTTCAGAGTGACGGGCTATTGTAGTGCCATAATCCATTCCTAAATTACGTATTCTCTGCATTTATCTTCCTATTTTTTCCACGTAAATAGAATTACTATGGGTGGCACCCGAGTTACTGCCCCAAACAGTTCTCCCCGGAAGTGCAGCCACGCAAAAAGGGGATGTCTACAGCTTCGCCATAATTTTAGAGGAGATAGTCCTCCGCGGAGGGCCTTACGAGGTCGCGAAAGCCTACATGACATCCCAAGAGGTAATTAAATCGGTCCCAGTGCCCCAGAAAGGCCGCTAAACTTCCCCATTACAGATTGTGAATCGCGTATCGTCGGGAGAAAATCCAAGTTTTCGACCGGAAGTTGCGCCCAGAGATTGCCCCCTGGACATTCTCACCCTAATGGAAAAGTGCTGGAGTGAGGGACCAGAGGACAGGCCGAGTTTCCACACAATCCGAGGGATAATCAGAGGGATAATGAAGTTAGCTCGAAAGTTGTTGTCTTCCCAAGTTTTCGGTGATTAGTTTACCCATTTTATCGGGTTTTATTCCCAGGGGATACTGCGAGAACCTCATGGACGATCTACTTCGACGAATGGAGCAATATGCGAACAACTTGGAGGCTCTGGTGGAGGAGAAAACTGAACAATTGAGTTTGGAGAAGCGGAGAAGTGAGGAACTGTTGTATCAAGTTCTTCCAAGGTGAGGGAGGAATATTGATTGCTGGAATGAAGATTCAGTTGTTCTGAAGAGGGTCCAAAAAATGCTAATCTTTGTTGTTTTATGGGCGATTCTCAATGAATAATTTATATTTATTGGAGAGGAAATGTTTTATCGAGACATTTCAGTGAATAAAAGTCAATTTGAGAACCCCAGGGTTCTTGATTTAAGAATATTTTTCACTGAAGCTGAGTTTTTTATTTTTTTAAATTTAATTTTAAATTGAAAAATTATCATTTTAGTATTAATAATAATCACTATCATTATAATTATTAATTATAATACTTAATAATCAATTAATTTTTATAATTGAAAAAAATCAATATCAATCAATCAATTATTGATCAATTATCGATATAATTGATTATTATTATTATTATTTTGTTGTTTATCAATCATTTTTTTATATATTTTTAAAATTATTTATTAATTTATTATTAATAATATAATAATAGTAATTATTATTAATTATAATTATTATTATTTTCTGTTTTTTAAATGAGAGAAAAGGTGTCTTAATTTAAATATTAAACCCCAGGGGTTTAATATTTAAACCCCTGGGGTTAGTATTTATAACCCCAGGGTTCTTAATTTGGGTTTAATTTAATTTGTGGTTAATTTGAGTTTGATTTAAAAAAAAATTAAATTTGAGAAGTGTCCAATCCCCTTGCCCCTCTCTCCACCAAAAAAATGAATCATTCACCCTAAAAATGTTCGAACCCCCCTTCCAGACAAGTTGCCGGCCAGTTGATGGCAGGAGAGCTAGTTCAACCCGAGCAATTCGAGTGCGTAACAATCTACTTCAGTGACATCGTGGGCTTCACCGCCCTCTGCGCCCAGAGCACTCCGATGCAGGTGGTGGACTTCCTCAATGATCTCTACAGCACCTTCGACCGCATCATCGGCTTCTACGACGTCTACAAGGTCGAGACCATAGGGGATGCCTACATGGTGGTGTCAGGACTCCCCCAGAGAAATGGGGATGAACACGCCAAGGAGATTGGACTCATGGCCCTCGCCATTGTCGATGCGGTGGCTTCATTTAAAATTATGCACAAACAGGATACACAGCTGAGTGTGAGGATTGGAGCGCACAGTGGGCCTGTTTGCGCTGGGGTTGTGGGACAAAAAATGCCCCATTACTGTCTCTTTGGGGATACCGTTAATACTGCGTCCAGGATGGAGTCCTCTGGATTACGTAAGGATTCTGGATTTATAGTCAATGAATTTTTTTTGACAAATAATTTTTTTTTTCGAAGAAAGAAAGGAGTATAATTTATTTCTATGATGATTATTATTATTATTGTAATTATTATTGTAATTATTATTATTATTATTATTATTATTATTATTATTATTACTGTTATTATTATTATTATTATTATTATTATTCATTAATTTATGTTTTTAAATTAATTCCTTTTTGTGGATTAATAAAGGAAAAAATATTTTTTATTGCGAGTGATAATGGCTTTTGTATATTTATAAATTTAATCATTTATTATTATTATTTTTTTTTAATAATTAAGATGAAAAAGATCTCGAGAAAAATTTTTGTCTGAAATTTTTGGTACATTTCTTGGAAATTTTTATGACAGTTGCACTAAAATTTCAGAGAATTCCGTCACTAGAAATTCAAAATTTTATGAAGTAAGTCGATTGAATCGATTGAAGTTGTAAATGTCAGTTTAATTATTTAATGGAAATTAATCAAAATGAGGAAAAAACCGTTTTTTCAATTGAGTAAAAATTGTGGGTATTTTGGAACTAAATATTCATAATTTAGTTTTTTATAATAATTTAATTTATTTACTAAATTTTCATTGGAAAATCAAGTAAGTTGGGGGAATTCTCGTCTCCCTGTTGCCCAAAAATTCGAAATTTCATTGAATTTCCAATTGAACATTAAAATTTATGATTTTCTTCCACCTAAAAAAATTAAATATCACTCTCTTGAAAAAATTCCCAGTCAACTGTCCACGAAATTTCGATTTTTTCTGGCAATAAACAACTGTCCAACATTCGATTTTAGCTCTTCGTATTCACGTATCAGAGACGACTAAAAATATTCTCGACAAGTTTGGAACTTTCGAGTTGGAATTACGAGGTGAAGTGGAGCTACGGGGCAGGGGTACCGTGACATCCTACTGGCTGACGGGCTGCTCAGCGCCAGATCCAAGACTATCATCACCGAAAAATCGAAAATACAGTACGAGTCCCCCCGAGAACGGATCAGCCCTCAATCCCCTCATATTCCCGCCGACCCAGAACGCCATCACTAAAACAGCTAATAACACGTTCATTAATTTATCAGAATTATGAGATTAATAAACTTAATCTCATGATTGCGACGAAGAGGAAATTCAGATGAAGAATTATTTTTTATTGGTGTCAGAAGAAATATTGTGTTGTTACTAGAATAATAATCCAATCTCCGACGATTTTAATTCATGAACCCTGAGCTAATCTCTGAGAGAATGGCATAATTGAGGAGAATCCACTGATTTGAATGGGAGCAGGGGAAATTTACCACCCCAGATGCTATATTTAATGAGATTTGCTTTATTCAAATTTCAGTTACATTAATCATAGAAGATAGAGCTTCACCTATGACATATGCTAAATGTAAACGGCTCTGAGCGGCGCAGATAAGCCCTATGAATAAAATATCTTCAAATTTTCTAATAAAAAAAAATAGAATAAGAAAGGAAAAACACTCCATAATTTTACTTAAATTCTTCCAATAGGCGGTCCAGAGAAAACTATATCACTATAAAAATTAGGAAAGACGAGTTCACCTATCAGTCTACCAGAAAACAAGAAAAAACAAAAAATATAATTGTTAAATGGTAATTTAGTCTAAAAAATCATAGTGATAGTGCAGTGACAGCGATTTTCATGGCTCTAGATTTTAACATTCGTCGAAAAGTTATTTCGAAATATTGAACAAAAATTTTCGTTCCATTTTCACTTGGGGAAACTGTACATTCATTATTGTCATCAGAGAAGATACAGTTCCATAATTATCAATTTGGTAGCGAAACGTCGAAGTCAACTTCATTTAGAAAAAAATTTCTAATAAATATCTTTATAATAAAAAAAAAAATTCTTTGCTCTCAAAGAAAATGATCTATTCTAAAATGAAATATTGAAACCTGGGGCCATTGCAATCGTATCAAAAAGTTAATCGTCTACGTGTGCTTAAGCACTTTGCACTCAGCTTATAAAATAATAAAAAATAAAATAAAATGTTACTCTGTTCACTAAGCTCTAGATCCGAAATTAGTGTCGAGACAATGTTCCTTGGAAATTGTTTCTTTCTTTAGTGTTTTTTTTAGTTTATGAACTATTGTACATTTAACCAGAAAATTTCTCTTCATCGTCGTCTGAGGATTCCTCCAGCTTTTTCCATAGATCCGGAATTTAGACAGTAGATCTAGTCATGTATATATAATAAATATATATTTCTTCTTTGCTTTGTTCTAACGGCAGGATCTTCGGTGGTAATTCAGCGGACTACTTTGACGCGAGAAACATAATGAGCCTGTAAAAAATGAGAAAGACATATTTTTTAATTAATGTAAAAAACAAAAAAGATTAAATTTACGTAAATTTCTTTTGATTTTTTTTTCAATTTATGAAAACGAACAGAAAGGGAAAATAAACGATTAAAAAATTAATGTTTTAGGGGAAAATTTCATTAAATGTTTCATTGAATGCAAAATTGTAAAAAAAATTAAATAATTACCGGAAATTGATTGCCTTTGCTGCCAAGAGTCTGTTGCACTCGTTGGTGTCTGGAAGTGGTAATGGTAGATAGGGGCTCTCATTGTCCGAATCAGTGAAGTCAAAACGATGAATGCGTGGTTTTACTTTCATATCACCAAAGGGCCCCTTCAGTATCAGATAATGAAGGGAGAGGGGGTAGGTCGTCTTCGTCTTCAAGATCAGCTGTAAAAAAAACGAATTGAGAATGAATTCTTTCAAGATGACGAAGTTCTCGACTTCATTCATGAAATAGCAAAGTGCAGAAGACTTTGAATATTGAATATTGAATAGTTTGTAATGACAAAGCGGCAGAAGAGAATTTCACTCACTTGATAAGTCATGTCACGTTCTGAACTCTGAGTGGGATCGCGTTGGCTGTTATTAATCCTCGCTTTTACTACCCACTGATTGTTGAATGCACTGAAACGCGATGTCTCGTAGAACAATTTGTGAACGTATTCGTCAGTGCGATATGGCTTCATCTGCAGATCTGAATGGAACAAATACTAGTGTTAATAGAAAAATTTATTGCACTGTTGGAAATAAATTAAAATTTAGGGTACAGTTATGAAGAAATTTTATTTCTATTTTTTTATTTTGTTAATCGTGTGAATAATTATTTTGGATATGAGTGAAGATACATAGACAAAATTTTCAGGCATGAGATTCGATTATTCACACGAGAAATGAATTAAAAAGTACAGGACAAATTTAATAGAAAAATATAGAATTTCTATTGAACTTTTCATTATTTTTTGCCAACACAAATGTTCCGTAAAAAATAATTTTAATTTTTAAAAAGTTGTTTTTCGCCGATTTTTTTTTATGAAAAAAATGAATAAAAATAAAAAATGTTGAATGAGGAAAAAAAAATAATAATGAGGAAAGAATTTATATTTATCGAGGAATGAAAGGCGCTGGAATGATTTAAGAATTTGTGGTGTTCTTTTTAATTGTGAAGAATATTTATAAATGGTGATAATACCATTGAACGTGATTTTCTCGTACGAGAGGAGATCAAAGACATTGTCATAGAGCCTGCGTTCCTCCAGGGTGCGGGCGTCAATGTCACGTAATGCCTCCATTACGTCAGAGCCAGTGCGATGCGGATGAACGCAGTGGGTCTCGTGCTCCGAACTCTCGTGATTAGGGCCACGCCATGGGCAGCCAATCCTGCTGTATTTGCAACTTGATATTCTGACAACATCATTAAGACATTATTTTATTCGTAAATTTGCGAATGCTGATGTGCATGTTATTAAATTCAGAACTGTTGGGTATTGAAATCAAGAACTCTGGGATTCTTGAATTTACATTTACCCGTAAAATAAGAGAAAATGTGTCTTAATTTAAGTACAATGGATGATGGATTTCAGTAAAAATTCCTGAGAACAAGAATTTTTTTCTGTGGTTCTCACAGAAAATTTTCTCAGGAACAAAGTTCCTGGTTCCCAGAACCACGGCACTGAATTCAAGAAACTCGTGGGTCTAGAATACGCGATGCCGAGATGCAGAAACTGGTTATTCAGTTTCAGCGAAAAAATCCCTGAAATTCAGCACCAAAAAACGTTCTTAGTTTCAATGGGAAATTACCTTAAATCCAGAACTGGGTACTGAAATCAAGAACTTTGGGGTTCTTGAATTGACATATTTATCTTCTCAAATTATTTTCGTTAATTACGGTGTGACATCACCACCTAGTCAACCCCTCCCCCTTAAGAACCCCAAGATTCTTATTTCAAGAACCGCAGAGTTCTTGATTTCAGCACCAAATGGTTCTCATTTCAAGAGCCCAAAGTACTGCATTCCAGAACAAAAAGTGTCATAAAATTACAGAAAATGTGTCTTAATTTAAGTACAATGGGTATTGGATTTCAGTAAAAATTACTGAGAACAAGAACTTTCGCCTCCGATTCTCACAGAAAATTCTCTCAGCAAGAAAGTTCCTGATTTCCAGAACCACGGCACTGAATTCAAGAAACTCGTGGTTCTAGAATGCGCGATGCTGAGATTCAGAAACTGGTGATTTAGCTTTAACGAAAAAATCCCTGAAATTCAAGTACTGAAATCAAGAACCCTGGGGTTCTTAAAATAAAAACTTTCTTAAACTGCCATCTTTAATGACGATGTGGCATCACCATCTAATCAACCCCCTCCCCTTTAAGAACTTCTAGATTCTTATTCGAAGAACTCCAGAGTTCTTGATTTCAGCACCAAACGGTTCTCATTTCAAGAACCCAAAGTACTGCATTGCAGAACAAAAACTCTCTTAAAATAACACAAAATATGCCTTAGTGTAAGTACAATGGGTACTGGATTTGAGTAAAAATTACTGAGAACAAGAACTTTCGCCTCCGATTCTCACAGAAAATTCTCTCAGCAAGAAAGTTCCTGATTTCCAGAACCACGGCACTGGATTCAAGAAACTCGTGGTTCTAGAAAGCGCGATACTGAGTTTCAATAAAAAATCTTAAACCTAGACCATTTGGCAACTGAAATCAAGAACTCCGGAGTTCTTAAAACAAGAACTGCTGGATCCTGAGAATTAGAAGTTTTTTTTCTGCTGAAAGCTTAAAAATTTCGCTGAAATCCCCAAGATTATTCCTGAAAACCATCAACATTTCATTTCTCATGTCAATATTCAATATAAATTGTTCATACAATTTGACATACCTCTCCTCGCACATAGACTCCTCATGTCTCTCCAAGGAATTCCTCGGGAATTCCTTAGCGCAAAATTGACACTCGGCTGGCAATTCCGAGACAGCTTTTTCCACCGCCAAATTGCGGGACGCCGATGTCTTACTTATCTCAATCCTACAATTTGGACATGTTGCAAGCTCATCGCGTAGTCTCGCATCAGCCAGTACGTGAGTGAAGCACCCAGCGCACATCAAGTGTCCATTGGTACACTGTGAACACCATTGCGACAAAAACCATTCTTAATGTCCACTCTCATCCCATTTTTCACTCAACATTAGCAATCAATCAGGGAAGACCAAGAATCGAAAAAAACAAAAAGAACTAAAAAAGTCATCAAATAAATTAACAACAATTAGTCAAGTCTTCCCCGAGTGAACAACTCTCTCTCTCTCTCAACAATTAAAAAAAATTAATCATCAATTTATTCGTCAATTAATAAACCAAACTGATTGTTAATACTCTTTACCATGATTCGTTGTTTTATTATTTTTTAATTAATCTGAAACACAAAATCGTATGAGGTCTATTAATAAACGTCATCATCGTCTCGAACAATTGGCATTCGAATGATTGTTTTATTTTTTTTGTCAGGACTGTGATGTGGGATGCATTGTGGGTGGGCATTTGAAGTAGATTAAAAAAAACCCTTCACTTTTTTTAAACCTTGAAACTTCATTTATTGCAAATAAATAACTGTCATCACTCGTTGGTTTATTCAAACTTTTACATAAAATCAACGTACACAGGTGGTGGTTGGTGTGAGGCACGCACTCCATTTCGCATTATAGAAACTCATAATTTCGTTGTTTCGAGTTTAAGATAAATCAGTCTATTCACACACTTGCAGTAAATTCTAGTGAATCAGCAGATAAATTTGCTTAAACTTACACGCAATGTTAAACTTCACTTCATGTGGGTCATAATTAATTATTAAAGATGATGATTGTGCTTCATTATCATACAAAAATCATAAGTACCATTTTTTCGCATTCAACTCCACGAAACATTGATTGTAAGGTGAACAATTCGTCGCATGACACGAACATTTTTGCTGACATTGAGGATTATTAAACATAAATGTTATCAATTTTTAGCTCTCTTCACTCAGTAATAATATTAAGAATTAATTAATTCGTCGATTAATTCAGTCGTCGAGTGCTGAAATGTAACAGAACAGAACAGAAACATTGAATTGTCTCGATGGCGAGTGGGTCTAGGGAAAATGTCCTCCGGAATTTTTTGCAGCTGATAAAATCCTCAACAAAAAATATCCTTGACCTAAACCCACTCAGTATCCAGGCAATTTCACTGGGAGAAGGACAGGAAGTGATGAGTAGATTCCTAATCCTGGCACTAGTCTTGAAAATAGTTCTGAATCTCAAGTAGAAACCGAAATTCCTGTGCAGAGCATTTTGCATCTTTCATTTTCTCAAAAAAAAATTCTCCCCCAGATCCTAAGAGATTCATAAATTGCCATAATATTTTTCTCATTAGAAGGACAGGACGTGATGAGGGTATTCCTAATCCTCAAGTAGAAATCGAAATTCCTGTGCAGAGCATTTTGGATCTCTTATTTTCTCAAAAAAAAAAATTCTCCCCAGATCTCAAGAGATTCATAAATTGCCATAATATTTCTCTCATTAGAAGGACAGGACGTGATGAGTGGATTCCTAATCCTCAAGTAGAAACCGAAATTCCTGTGCAGAGCATTTTGGATCTCTCATTTTCTCAAAAAAAAAATTCTCCCCAGATCTCAAGAGATTCATAAATTCCCAGAATATTTTTCTCATTAGGACAGAATGTGAGGAGTAGCTTCCTAATCCTAGCACTAGTCCTGGAAATATTTCTGAACCTCAAGTAGAAACCGGAATTCCTGTGCAGACAATTTTACATCTTTCACTTTTTCAAAACAAAATTCTCCGCAGATCCCAAGAGACTGATAAATTCCCAGAACATTTTCTGCATTAGAAAGCCAGGGCGTTATGAGTAGATTCCTAATTCTGACACTAGTCTTGAAAAAATCCCTGAATCCCAAGTAGAAACCGAAATTCCTGTGCAACCCGTTTTTCATCTCTCACTTCCTAAAAAAAAATTCTCCCAGATCCCACGGCCTTATCAATTCCCAGACTATTTCCCCTCTAAAAATTCCTCATAAACACATGAAATTCCCCGAAGCACTCATCAAAAGATAAAAAATTCCTCCCATACCACAATGTTCATTGACATTGTGCATCATCCCCAAAAAACCCCTCAGCAATAATATGAAAATTTACCCAATTCCCCGATAAATTCAGCCACCGAGTCCTGAATCCCCCAGAAAATCCCCGAACCCTTGAGCCACCTCACCAACGACTGTACCCCGAATAAACCGTCCTCCGACATTTTTTCCAGCCGCTCAAATCCCCAAGCCTCCCCCGCCCTGAGCCCGCCCAATCCACCCAATTCCCCGAAAGACCCCCCAGACCGGCCAATCACTCTCCCAAAAAATCTAAACTCCAAGTAAAAACCGAAATTCCTGTGCAGACAACTGTGCCCTCCCCCCAAGCCCCGCCCCCGCCCGTCAATTCTCAGAATATTCGCAAACTCCTCGCAAACTGCGACGCATTATCCACCTCGGGTCGTCGAACAAAGAAAAGCCCAGTCTGCCTGAAAAATCCTCGCCACAGGAGCGATCGAGGTCGTCGGAGCCCGTTTAGAAAACCCCCCTAGCCCCCCCCCGTGACCCCCGCCCGCTGAGCCCCCCAATAAAATAAACTTCGACAAAGGACGACAGCCTAGGCGAACGTGTCAATAGCTCACCTGGTAAACCGCCGCCCTAGGAAGATCGAGGCAAACGGCGCAGCAGAGTATCCCCCCCAATCGGTGCTCAAGTTTCTGCTCACTTTTGCCATCGCCCCTCAACAATTTGCGTTTCTTCTTCTCCGGCTCGAGTAGCTCCTTGATTTTATCCAACTCCTCGTGCAACTGGGCAGTCGCTGGTGCCTCAGTCACACTGCTCGACGACGAGGCCTCACCACTTTGCTCCGCCATTTTGATTGTTTTGATTTTTCACTAAAAACGGGGGAGAGGCCGATGGTTTCGTCACCGAGAGAGAAAGAGCCTCGATGTTTATGTCGGGGTTAAATGCGCACGCGTTGAACTATTTATTTTTCTTTCGCGCTGTTAATACTTTTTTTTTCGCCCGTCTGTCTGACTCGCACGGATTTTCCACTCGGCCTGGGATTCGGGGGTGATTTGGCAATGGGAGATCTCGGTGACGGAGACCCCTCTCTCTTTTCGGATTGATTCGAGGAACAGACGACTTTTGACGCAGTTATTCGAGTCGTACGTTTTCACGGTGACGTCAGGCAACAGCTGGTCGACTCACAACACTGGAGTTAAAGAGACGCAGGCCATGCATTCCGGAGAGCTATCCCCACTCTTTCGGGCTTTGCTTGGACTACTGCGTCGACTGTGCCAAGTCCTTTCTTCTCTTTGTGGGAGGCTTTATCCACTGTTGGTAGCGGCGAGGGGGCAGGGGGGGGGGGGGGGTGTAGTAATCGTGATGAGTTAGGAAAGGGTTGCACAATTACTAACAAAGTATTCAAAATACTGAATCGTAATATATTTACAATCGCGTTAATTATAATATACAATAGATAGATGAATACGTATAAGTGAGTCCCGAGTAGAACTCGGAGACGAACTGTGACTGACTGACTCACTGGTCAGTGCGGATTAATAATTTGGGTAGCAGGTAAACGCGTGATATTTGAGAGAGCGAGATATTCGGAGGATTAGAGCGAGATAGGGCTCGTCTATCGGTGATTGCTCCTCAGCGCGTGTCTGTGCGTGTGTGGAAGTGCAGCAGTCGCTACAGGGGTATTCCGGGGTGAGGGCCGCCCCCACCACCAGGGGATTTCTAATTACGTCGCTGGTTGGGGGGGTCTCGCCTGTAAGTGTCTTTTAAACATTTTCAGGCATCACATTTGTGGATTAAATATTTGCGGGAGAAAACGGTGAACAAGTCGTGAATATTCAGCGGTGGTCAAGTTATATTTTACACTGAATTATTATTTTTGAAAATAGCAGTTGGTTATAAATAAATCATTGAAATTGTTTAAACTTTCGTGAACCCCATTTTTTTTGTAAAATAATAGATTTCTAAAATAAATTGGTTACGACTCCCAATAAATGATTCTCATGGTGGAAAATTGAAAAAAATTATTTATCTAAATTATTTACAGAAAAACACTTGCAATTTAAAAAATTGCAATTTTTAAATCATTTTATCAATTTCATCAATTTTTGTCCAAAGTGAACACTAATTTTTTTTCAGATTTTTAAAATGTTTTCTAACGATTTAATATCGAGATTGAAATTCAGGCCTGCACAGTTTAAATAATAAAGTCATTGTAAAATGTCCAAATGTCCAATTAACGAATTGAGTTTTTGTGAATTTTTTATTGAGAAATTTTCTAATGGTTTTAGAGCAGATCTTGTAAGTAATAAATTACTGCGGTAAATTAATTTTAGAAAATTAATGAGTTTAAGAGAAAATGTCAAGAGGCCTCTCCAGCGTAGCTTGTGATTCTTCACAGGAAAAAAGGTAGAGGAAAGCCAGAGAAAATGAATTATTACGTTTAAGTGAAATCATCGTAAATGAAATAAAAAAACCTTCATAAATTCCCCTAGACCCTTTCCCTGGCGTTCGATTAATCGAGTTCTCGAGGATTTTTCAGGGGAACGTAACCGTTCACGAAGGTTTCTCTGCATTCGTTGAGGCATTTTCTGGTGGATTTAGGTCAGATCTTGTAATTAAAAAATCATCGAGCTGAATTAATTTGAGGGAATTAATGAGGATAAGGGAAAATGCCAAGAGGCCTTTCCTGTACGGCTCGTGATTCTCAAGGAAAAACCTATAATATTAATTTCTGGTGTCAACCTTCACCAGAATAAATCAATTAAATCTGGAGCTGCTGAAGATTTTTCTTCTAAAACATAAAATGCCCCAAATAAATGAAAAAAATGTCTCCATAAATTTCTCGAAACCCCTTCCCCACAAAAGTACTCTCTAAATAAACTGTGAATTAATTTCACTCTCAGAATGAATAAGGATTTTCCGAATTGTAAATTATAATGTGAACCAATCATGAAAAGAGTCGTTGAATAATCATCAAGATCCACTAAAGATAAACTGCACAATATTCAAGCCATTTTTCTCCAATTTTGTACTTTATTTTCTCTGTATTGCATTTGATTTCCCTTTTTCATCGAAAAAACATTTGACGTGTCTATAAACACTAACTCACAACTCCTTCAACGTGCACTTTGTTGATTTCATACTGCAATCACACGGGAATACTCTTCACCATTCTATAATGAATGAGAATCTAAAGTCTGTTTTACTGATCCTGGAGAGGAATTAAGTACTGTCTTAATTGTTGCTTCATCAGTCATACAAATTTTTCACTCGCTCTTTCTCGGTAATTCATTGCTCCTTCACGCCATTGTGTAGCAAATAAAAATCAACTATTTTATATTCTACAGAACGATAAATACTTTTGGATTGGTGCGCGTCGTTGGCGATTTATACGTTGAGAGAATGAGGCGAAATATTTTTGAGGGAATAATTCAAATGTCTCATCAGCAATCACTTTTCATTGGTTAAAGTAATATGAATAAACTCCAGTCGAGGCGTTGAGTGTAATGAGGAAAAATAACGTCAAAAAGCTAAAATAAATTATTCGTCAGTGATAATTTTTCCCAAGAAATTCTTTCATCTATTTTTTTTAAACAATCGGCTCCCATTATTCATTTATTACAAAAGTCTATTGACAATAATTTTCATATTGCGAATAGAATTTTATTTTTTTCAGATTTTTAAAAATATTTTTTCTAAAATTTAATTTTTTTGTGACTCTGTGTTATTTTTGCACTTTAGATTAATTAATATCGATAATACTACATCAACTTTTGATTAAAAATGATTTGGGATTTCAATTTTTAAAATTGAAGTTATGTTTATACTACTTCAAGGGGAGACCGCGGTGAAATTTAAAAATAGCAAACTTAATGCTAATCAACTAACTAAATTCGTTTTTCATTTAAACAAAACAGGAATCGATTATTTAAAGGTCGAATTTGAAGAAATTAATTCGTAATTATTATTCCACACATTTTTTTTCAGATTCGAAGATAAAAAAACATCTACAGCACAAAAATCGAAGACACTGGACTATTTTTAAAATTGTTAGTGTCTTCAGAGGGAACAAACATTGAAAAAAAAATTGTTTCCACTCATTTTTCGTTGGACTTTCAAAATTCACAGTTGTCTCCCCCTAATGACCAGTTCGCAGAGTCTTTGATTATTCCTCGAAAGTATTCTTGCTCCTGTCCTCGTTAAGCATTATTTATTTACAAATACACACATTCACTTGCATGTTTCTTCATCAAACAGAAAACAATTCACTCGGGCAGTAAAGCCAGATGAGTCACGTCGAGTTCAGAACAACTGTTCAATCATCAGATTGACCAGCAAAGTATTCGAGGAAGCGAACATGACTGATCTGGCTGAACACCTTTCCAACTGAATTTTAATTCGATCTCTCCCTTCGTCGTGGCCTCGTTAATCATCAATTCCTCTTCGTTGACGCTTCACTGCAGCTACAGTTGGGGACTCCTCCTGAATCACTCAGAATTTATGAACAGGAGAGAAATCTAATTCGGTGATTGAGGATTCGTGGCCTGAGTGGAGCCGCCACTCGGTTGAGATGGCTCGCTATTGCTGTTGGGGTCATTAACGTTGATTGTTGCTATTTTATTCAACATATCGTTTGTGGAATTGTTGAGTTGACTGTAACCCAGCTCCAGTTGTGCTATTTTACTCCTCAGGTCGGCGTTCAGTGCTTGAACCTCTGTCAACTGTCAAAAAATCGTCATTTTCAATTAATTAATTGACAGAATTTTTTTTTCTTCATTTCACCCATTTCATTTCGTTAATAGAAAATTTGGTAAACGAATAAATTTGAAAATGCGCCTTCTCCCCCATTTTTCATAATTGAGGATTTTTAAACAAGTGATCATATGCAAAAAAATGTCTCAACAATTTATATAAAAATTGGGAATTTTTTCAAATGTCTAATTTCAAGTGGTCGGAGTGCAGAATATTTTTCCTCAAAAAATTAATGTTTTTTTCCTGGGGTGAAGTTCACCTTCAAGAGACAATTGAACTTACACTGCTGGTCAGCTTCTCAACTGACTCGATGATTTTTGATTGCTCAGAGGCTTTGGCACACTCGCCTTGGAGGGACAGAACCTTGCTGCTGGCATTCTGAGTGGAATCTTGGAGAGATACCAAGAGAGTCTGAAAGGGAAGAATAATTTTTTTTAGAAATTTTTCTGAACTTTAGGTAAAAAATCAATAGATTCCGATTTCTCCATGCACACGATTCTGTTTCCTCCCTTCCTCAAACTTCCTGAGTTTTTTCATTTGATTTTTTTAATGGAAAGAGAAGAAAAACTGTATTTTCCCCACAGAAAATATCTAAATAGAAAAAGTTTTCGAGAAAAACGAAATTCAGCAGCGTTAAAACGGTCTATATCTCTAAATCTATGGGCGATAGCAAAATTTTCGTAATAACCTTTTTTGTAGCCCTCAATTCGCCCCACAAAAAAGGTCATTACAAAAATTGCGTTATCTCCCTTAGATTCGAAGATATTCTCCGAAAATCGGTAAGAATACTGAAGAATTAACTTATTTCATGAAATAATTTTGTTCACCCAATGAATAATTATTTTGGATAATCATTCCAAAGATCCACAAATGCTTACGTGATCCTTCTGCTGATCATTCGACACCCACGTGAGATTTCTCGTGAGCGTCTCATTAATGCTCACTAAATCTGTTTTCAGTTTGACAATTGACTGACTGAGCTCCTCCGTCTTCAACCTGGTCTCGTTGGTTGAAATTTCCGGCCTCTGTGTTATATTCGATAGGTTCACTAACGTATTCTGTGGAATTCACCGAAGAAAAAACAAATTTCCAGCGTTAAATCATCACTCAATCCCTGTATCACCCGAAAAATACGATAAATTCACCTGTATATCTGTAATATTCTTTAAAAGACTAGTCTGTATCTCCTGAATTTTGGTATCTGTTCCCTTGAGGGCGTTAACCGTAGCCCCTAAATCCCGAATGCTACTTCCAAATGTTGCGACACTCTTCTTCACGTCCTTGAGTTCTGTCGGTATGTTTGTCAACTCCGGTGCACTGTTCAGCTTTTCTTGCACCTGACGTAGCCCCTTCTGAATGTCTGACAACTGAAAAAAAAGGCCAAGTGGGTCAACCAGTGCGGTAATTCCAGTGTGGAACGACAATTCAATTTGATGCAAGGTCAGTGTTGCGGAAATATCTCAAGTTTTCGAGGAATATCTCCGAATCTAAGGGAGATAACAAAATTTTTGTAATGACCTTTTTTGTAGCCCTCAATTCGCTCTACAAAAAAGGTCATGACAAAGATTTTGATATCTCCCCTAGATTTCGAGATATTTATTAAAAACTGGGCGATAGTCAAAATCGACTTAAATCAATTGAATGAATGAGTTTCGATTGATTTAATTCTGTTTATCAACATTCTGACAGTTTGAAAATGTCGTTTCTAAACTGTTTGATACCGTGTGGGGCAAAATTTTAATTCATAAGCAAAACTTGAATTACCTGCAACGAAAAATCGGCAATTTGTCCCTTGACATCGTTCAACTGTGAAAACAATACAGTCTGATTTTTCTCAAGCTTCTGCGATGCAGAATGGCACTTTTGGAGGGCTTCAGGGAGTGCTTCGCTACCGGCAATAGCTGCAACACAAAAAAAAAACAGGAACTCTGTGAATTTTAATTTCAAACGAAATTCTCCGCTGCCCCTGAGGTATTCAATCTGTTCGCTGGCTATTTTCCTGGATCGTGACATTTGTCTCTTCCATGGTGTATGTACCTTGGTCCACTTCAGTTCTGAGCGATGTGAGCTGTTGACGCACATCAATGAACAGCCAGAGGAGGCTGGCAGTTGCTAGGACTGATGCACAGCCGAAAAATGCACTGCACGCACGAAGGAGCCCAGGACAGGGGGGAGTTCTCCGAGCTCTGCTCTTGCGATTGCCACGCATGGAGATGTTCCAGTACTCGGAACGCTCGTCACTACTGTCCGACAGTAGTTCCTGGAGGGAAAACAAGGGGAAGGGATCATTAACAAGGGCTAATTGCTTTTGTCAGAGTGTAGTCGGTGTATTTTTGGCAATTAATTGGGAATTTGATTTCGGATGAAGTTGATGTGGTGATGGATTTTTAATTGAATTCAATGATTCATTTTGGTATCGTAATATCACTTTCAGCTGCCCAATTTATTCTTATTTATTATTTTTTTAAACATTCGTTGTTCATAAATAAATAATTGAAATTGTTTAAACTTTCGGAAACCCTATTTTTTAGGCATGAAATCGATTTCTGGTAAAATTCTGAATATTAATAAATTTGTTATGATTCCAAACAAATGATTTTTAAGGTGAAAAATTGAGTGTTTGTACATTATTTATAGATTAAAATGCTCGGAATTTTAAAAATTGAATTTTTAAAATTATTTTTAAAATTATTCATAAGTCAGAAACAAATTTATTAATTAAGATCAGTTCAAGCTCATTATAAAGAGGGAGAATTGTTGTTTGTATTGAGAAAAAAAAGATTAAATTTCACCAACATGTCAACCCGTCATTATTTTTTAAAAACTCAAAAGTCCATTTTACCCCAACCTCCCCTGTACAATTTTCAGAACATATATTTTTCCGTATGGGGAATATTCCCCGAAAGCTCGACGTCCCGTGAACCCCCTCGAAAACCCCTGAACATAAAAAAAATTACCTGTGAACTTCTCTTCCCCGAGGTTCTCCTCGAGACCACGTGTGACGGTGCGAGTGCATCCAGCTCCTTCCTCTTCTTCATCTTCTTCGTCGGTGGACGAAGTGGCACTGTGACAGCCACCGAGTCCATCTCCAGGGGTTTAACCAGCGGCTAAAACGACTCGGATCGTCGGGATGTCTGTGTCCACCGGCTCCAGAGCTTTATTAATCATCAACAGCCCTCTCCCGAGACACATTAACTCTTGAAGGTCCTAGTGCTCCAGAAGGTCGCGCACGTCACCGACACTTTTTACACATGTCTCCACTCAAACAATTTATTCCTTATTCACTAGTCTCAATTCACGCACTTCAGCTCACATTTTATGTCCTCAGTGTGTCCGTTTGCACCTCATCGAGAGCCAGACTCACTCGACACACAGGTTCACTTCTGCATCGAATGAAAAGGAATGGACTGAATGGGGGGAAAACCTCTCGTGATTCTCGTCAATTACCGCCGAATCTTCCATTCAATTTTTTCACTATTTACGACGCGTTTCGTAATGACACAACTGACAATCAGCGGCTCGGACGGTGGCCAGAATGAAGTTAAACGACCCTGGGGACTTTGATAAGATATCGTACTGATAGTATCGGGAGAGAATCAACTGATAACTGATGCCGTTTGTGAACAGATAGTGCCGAGATAATAGGCATTCTTCGGTTAATAATAATCTCCCTCGTTCAGGAACCCACGTTGGTGGTAGTATGACTGAATGAGCAGGCGAATTTGAGAAAAATGAAGGAAAGACTAATTGTCTTGATGGGAGATGGCGGAAATTTATTCAAGTGGACAGTTCTTCTTCTGTATCTCGAGATCCAACGGAGATAGCGAAATTTTCATGAAAACATTTTTTGTAGATCTCATTTTCCTCCGCAAAAAATATCTACTCAAAAATTTTCGTATCTCGCTCGGATTCGGAGATATTGAAGCCTGAAGACAAGTCGATTCGTCTCCTTCCACAGCATCACGATTAATTAACAAATTTCATTGACAGCCTGACTCATCACGTTTTATTACGACTTGTGACACTCGTCTGATGAATGATCAAGGCCACATCCTTAGTATATTCATTCAAAATCTAATAGATGTGTAAGACTACCTGTCCTGCCCCAAGATACCACAAAAAATTATTCCATCAAGTGGACAGTTCTTCTTCTGTATCTCGAGATCCAACGGAGATAGCGAAATTTTCGTGAAAACATTTTTTGTAGATCTCATTTTCCTCCGCAAAAAATATCTACTCAAAAATTTTCGTATCTCGCTCGGATTCGGAGATATTGAAGCCTGAAGACAAGTCGATTCGTCTCCTTCCACAGCATCACGATTAATTAACAAATTTCATTGACAGCCTGACTCATCACGTTTTATTACGACTTGTGACACTCGTCTGATGAATTATCAAGGCCACATCCTTAGTATATTCATTCAAAATCTAATAGATGTGTAAGACTACCTGTCCTGCCCCAAGATACCATAAAAAATTATTCCATCAAGTGGACAGTTCTTCTTCTGTATCTCGAGATCCAACGGAGATAGCGAAATTTTCATGAAAACATTTTTTGTAGATCTCATTTTCCTCCGCAAAAAATATCTACTCAAAAATTTTCGTATCTCGCTCGGATTCGGAGATATTGAAGCCTGAAGACAAGTCGATTCGTCTCCTTCCACAGCATCACGATTAATTAACAAATTTCATTGACAGCCTGACTCATCACGTTTTATTACGACTTGTGACACTCGTCTGATGAATTATCAAGGCCACATCCTTAGTATATCCATTCAAAATGTAATAGATGTGTAAGACTACCTGTCCTGCCCCAAGATACCACAAAAAATTATTCCATCAAGTGGACAGTTCTTCTTCTGTATCTCGAGATCCAACGGAGATAGCGAAATTTTCATGAAAACATTTTTTGTAGATCTCATTTTCCTCCGCAAAAAATATCTACTCAAAAATTTTCGTATCTCGCTCGGATTCGGAGATATTGAAGCCTGAAGACAAGTCGATTCGTCTCCTTCCACAGCATCACGATTAATTAACAAATTTCATTGACAGCCTGACTCATCACGTTTTATTACGACTTGTGACACTCGTCTGATAAATTATCAAGGCCCCAGCAGATACACCGGTTGTTGTGACACTCATATAAGTTTTTACGTTCCACTACATGTCATATCGATCCGTGTACCTCGACTTCTACTTCTCAACAATTCCCCTGTGCAAATTTTACTGCAGAAACTGGATTTCAAGGAGTGCTTACTCACTGTTGTCACGAGATCATCAGTGGAAAAAACCGCCGATAAAACGTCGTTTTCGCGTTTGAAATTGGGGGAGAGATTCGGCTATCATTCGAATCACGAGCGTTTACTTTCTGGAGTTTGTGAACGTCACAGTCGCCTCCACGCGACTCACAAACGTTACCGAGCGTTACTGGGTGGCGCGCCGACTGTTGTACTTGGCTCGACCGCCTGATATCGACTAAAAGGTGGGCGAGAAAAGGTTCTCCGTGAACTTTATCAGTGCTCTTTACGAATGGATAGATTATTGTTGAGTTAGGAGGGAATTTGATGAAGAGGGGAGAACCATTCTGCTGATTTTATTTCAGTTGGAGGGGGAGCGCAGTGAGGGAATACAATGATTCGATTTCAGTTTCGATATGTGCTGTTTGATCATTAGGTTGTTGTTATGATTTACTTCTTATGTGGTACGTAATTACGGCGGCTGTGACGGGGTAAAAATATTTTGAGGGGAAATGAGTTTAATACTTCAGTTTTAGAGTCAAAAATAAGAAAACATTAGATTGATTTTTTTTTATTTTTACGAATACAGAATTTATGCATAAATGTCAGGAAATGAGGATTTTTAAAATTTTTTGGGGTTTGAATCTTTTTTTCTCGAAATTACTGAAGGTGAAAATTTTTTCAAATTGTTTACATTGAAGTACGTAATGAATCATTGAAGTAGGAATTTTTTCAGATTTTTTTCGTCATTGTTGTCATTACATTCTGAATTTTAATAATTTTTCTAATTTTTTATTTCAGGCAATTTTTAAGGAAAAAATGAAAAAACAAACAATATTTGATTTTTTTAACAAAAAATCAAAACCTCATTTTTTCAATTTTTTTTTTACATTAAAATAAAGTTATTATTATTATTATTATTTACTTTTGACATTAAAATAAAGTAGTAAACTCATCAGTGCAGTCTCCCCTTGACGAAATATAAAAAAAATATTTTCAAAAGAAGAAATTTTACATTTTATACGTAAACTTGTGTTGAAGATCGATGAAATATTCACATAAAGTCGTAAAATATTTCCCAAATTTGATATTAATGGCCAGAACACATCAATTTTCGGAAAATCCACGAGAGATGATAATTACTGATAGAAACCACCATCAGATATCGACATTTCCACTCTAATTCAGGGGTATAACGTGACAATAATGGGGCGGATGGTTGAATTGAAGTGTGAAAATTGGGTCACCAATTTGGAGACACGGAGTGAATGACGAAATAATGTTATTCAGTATTTAATCGATGGACTTATGATTCAGAAGTGTCTCGTTGAGGTTGAAATGTAGGACAGGGACAGGGAATAAGAGATGGGGTGACAATAGGGGTGGAAGCCGCGCGCCTCCCTTGACATTGATCCGGAAAAAGGCGGGAATACTTCAATTTCAAGCGAATAAGCTCGGTGAATAAATCGGATGGTGATTATTCTATTTGAACAGAATCTTCCAAATTTGTTTGATTAAGAAAAATGAGGAAATGGCCAGGGGACTTACCCGATTTTATGGAAACGTCGATTCTCCCGATTTCCCGATAGAGAACAGCCGCAAACCAAGATAATGTAATCAGCCACATGGTGATTACCACGGCAGCAATCCATAACGTTATTATCCTCGTTTTCGATCTATTACAGCTGCAGGAATCTTTAGTTTTACCCCTGACTCCTGCTCTCTGTCTTCTATAAGTCGTGATAAAAACGCAGAGGAGTAGAAATTAGAATAAAAAATATGTGAAGATGTTTCTATGGAACTTTTGGATGACATTGAAGCCATTTTGGATAGATCAAATTGAAAATTTGCTGGAGAAGATTAAACAAATCGTTTCAGTGCAAAGGGAATTATTTTTCTTTACTCTTTCAGTCAGAAAAAAAATCGTAATCGCACAATTATAAACATTTAAAATTCAATGACAAAGTGTCCCTATTTCTGTCACTCGTATTTGAGGTAATCTAATTTATTTAATTGTTCACTTTAATTATTTACTTCAGGAAATATCAATCTAAAATGATAAAAAAGTATTAACTATCTACTTGGTTCGTTAATTCGACGAATTATAGAAAAAATATAATTAAAATATCCGAAAAAAAATTAATCCATCACGAAAGTTTGACACTGACGATGATTTTCTTCATATTAGGCATTACATTTTTATTTATTCTTCAATTTAATTTAATAATCTAATTGTTTAGAATTATTTCTACATCGAAATGTTCTCTCTAACCTCGAAAAAATAATTTTCTTCGGAAACAACTTCTGAAATAATTATTATCAACAATACTGGACTGTCAATTGACCCCGAACTCACCCAGAATATTTATATTCCCATAAACATTCGTTCAGAACTGACTTCAGATTTTCATCTTTAATATTTAAGTCATGTTTATACTACTTTAACTTGAACATTGACGGTAATGGGAGCTCTCACCTCTTGACTTTTCGTTTTTTTGGAACTGTCAGTACCAGATCAGAGAGCTCGCTGTCGCTCTCCGAGAGCAGATCAAGAAGATTTATCGTCTCCTTGTTATTTTTATTCTCCATATTACCTCAAAATTCGTTGAACACATATTTTCACACTACTAGACTGTCACTTCACGAACACGGCACTGTTTAACCTCACTTCGAACCCAACTCCAATAATTTACGCTAATGTACTCATAAAATGGAACGTTCCGAAGGAATAATCACAATTTTTGGGGACGATCGACCCCGGAATGCAATTTTAAAGTCTAAAAATTAATGATATTGTTTCGTTCCGGAATTATTAAATGACAGTGTGTGGTCACTTGGCAATGACCTGAGTCAGATGATTGCAACATCTGTTTACCAGGTGATAAATCAAATGTCTTCATTATCCACCGAGTGGATTTTAAATTCGAAAAGACAGGCGCGACTTGGCATTTATGAACATTTTTTAGTGACAGGACAAAATAACCATTAATAATAACCAATAATACAAATAATAATAATTGAGTGAAATTCCTGGTCTCTTCCTTCGCCAATTCAACCCGAAATTACTGAAGAGATGTTGCATTTCAATGATTTCATCCCAAACTCATGTCAAAATACGAATTTCCTGATGTTCCTGACAAATTCAGGCAGTTGATCGACGAATAAAAAGCCATTGTGAAGTGAAAATGAACGTTTTCCGTAAATTTCGTGTACATTGCGAGCCCCATCGCTTCTCAATTCCGAAAAAATGGTATTCCAATGGAGTTAAGGATGACGAAATCCCGGTGGAAGATAAGACGGAGGGAGCATGTCCCGAAGAGAGTGCGAAAAAATTGTCAGTCGGAATTTTGGGTGGCGGGATGACTCCGATTTTCACGGCGGCTCTCCTCAAGCAATCGAAGATCCTGCGGGCGATTAATATCGTGGATGTTTCTAATTCTCTGTCTGGGGCGGTTTTCGATGCCGGACACATCGACACAAAACCCAAGATCAAGTATTACCGGAAGTCTTCATTGAGAGATGCACTTTCCAATGTAAGAAATAGAAGTTTTGAGGGAACAAGGAGAGAAAAAAATTGATGCGGAAATCTAACGAATTCTACTGGATTTTTGTTGAAATTTTTATCGGTTTTATTTCTATGCGTTTTTTTCAGTAGAAATATTTAACTGAAAATGTTCAATAGAAAAAAATCTATTCTATTGATATTTTCTGTAAAATATTTTTTATTGGATTTTCAATTTTTTAAATTTTACATTATTTCAAGTAAAAAAACACAATAAAACTGCAGAATTTTTTAATAGAAATGTTCAATGGAAAATTGTCTACATAAAAAATTAATAGAATTTGATTTCATAGAGTAGAATCTAATTTAATTGAATAGAGTTTATCTCTGTATTTTTTTTCAATAGAAATATCTACTAGAGAATGTTTTATAGAAAAAAATCTATTCTGTTGATATTTTCTATAAAATTTTACGAAATTTTTCAAATTAAATTCAAAGTTCCAAGTTTTTTAAATTAAAATTGTCAACGTTCTTATTAGACTCTCTATTTTTTATACTTTACATTTTTCAAATAAAATAAAAAAACGCGAATTAAATCTGCGGAATTCTTCAACAGAAATCCAATGAAATTTTCTATGGAATCCCCACACTTTTCTTCGAAATTTATTCGTGCGTGCCTCCTTCCCAGTCAAATAACTTGATCCACAATTTAAAAAATTGCATTCAGGTGGATATAATAGCTCTGATGGACAACGCCGACGGTAGGATCCTCAGCACAGAGCCGAAACTTCAGTTAATGATGTCCTCGACTTACGTAAGAGAAATGGCGAGTGAAATATCGAAGATAAATCCCTCAGCACTTTTGGCCGTTTTCGCACGTCCAGTCACCGCGACTGTACCCCTCGTATCCGAAATTTTCAACAAGAGAAAGTGCTGGGACCCGAATAAGATCCTGGGATCAGTGGCTCTAGATGCCATGAGAATCGAGTCGATGGCTGCGAATCTCTTCCACTTGAATCCCTCGTTTCTGTCGATTCCTGTCGTCGGTGGGGCTGATCCCAGCACTCTTGTTCCACTGCTAACGATAGCCAAGCCCTTGAATTACATCAGCCAAGTGAGTCTTCCATTGATTCGTACTGTCAACGGCCCAGTTAATGCCACTAAAAGATTTTCGTAACTCTAATCCGGGACAAATAACGATTTTTTTGTCTCCAAATGAAATCATTAAATTCTTCAAATCCAAAATTTCCAATTTTTTGCGTGAGAATAACTAATTTGACCTCAGGAATCGTAATATGTATGTGTGTGTGAAAAAATAATTATTTCGATGAATCTAATTGTGGTTTAAAATATCCTTCCCAATGCCATCTTGACCGAGTCCGATCATGAGATTGATTGCATCATCTGTTGTTGAAAAAAATTATTTCAAAGCTAATATTCTGGGAAAAGTAAAAAAAATTAACGTTGGGCCAATGTCGGCGGAGTGTTGGCGCAATGTCGGGGCAATGTTGGCGCCGGCACAATATTGAATTCAACGAATTGGGTTATTCAGGAGCACGAGAAATTACTGGTGAATCAATTGAGAGCCTGCGACAGGGATTTGGAGGACTGTACTGACGATTTCAAAGGCCCAGCGATGTCTTCCGGCGCAGCTGCCGCCAGATTCATATCAACTCTCGCACGGGCTCTCACTGGAGAGCCCAACGTCCGGTGCAGCGCTTACGTACGATCCAACATCATTCCCTTCTGTCGGTACTTCGCAAATGAAGTTGAAGTGGGGACCACTGGGATCAAGTGTAATTATGGCCTGCCAAAGGTATCTCCAGTTGCTGTGAACCTCATTCAGCGGGCCATTCCGGTTATCACTGAGTTATCTGCCATGGCTTGTGCACCTATTGAAGATCCAGAGGATTTGAAAATTTGTGAGAAGATATGAAGCTCGATGTGGACATTAATTGTTTGAAATGTCAATTATTCCGTTGAATTTTTGAAGCTGCCTAAACAGGCGGATGCCTCTTTACCTATTATGGATTTACCGGAATAAAGAGAGAAAACGAAACCGCAATATTTACGGCTCGATTCCTCCTTGTAAGGAGTCATCTAATCCTCCAGATCCAGATAATGCGATATCTGGATCCTAGCCGCGCCTCCGACACTAATTCTTTTCTCCTGACGCAACTATGAAATTTGTTATAGAATACTTTAAATGAATAAATATCCCCTTCCCCTCTTTTAGAAGTGTGAATTAAAGAATGGAATGAAGGATGTCTATGTCTTTTATTATTTTTCGGACTGAACAGCTGATTCCTGTCAAATTAAATAAACCGCTCCATTTATTCAATTAAAAAGCTCGCTGTCTCATTACAATAAAATGCCTCTAGACTCCAATCACTCCAAGATTCACGGTTCGATTCCTCCTTTCAAGGATTCATCTAATCCTCCAGATCCAGATTCCGCGATATCTGGATCCTAGCCGCCCCTCCAACACTAATTCTTTACTCCTGACGCAAATATGAAATTAGTTATCGTCAAACTAAATAAACTGCCCCATTTATTCAATCAAAGAACTCGCCTTTCTATTACAGTAAAATGCCTCTAGGCTCCAGTAACTCCAAGATTCACGGTTCGATTCCTCCTTTCAAGGATTCATCTAATCCTCCAGATCCAGATAACGCGATATCTGGATCTTAGCTGATTCTCCGACCTCTAGCGCGCCAATAGCAAACGAGAAACGACGGTTTCCATTTGAAAACCCCTCAATTGAGGTGTCAAACGTGCGAATAATAATAAATAAATAAAAAACGTGCGAATGGAGGTAAATAACCGAAAAATCTAGTATCACCTACTCTCCTCTCTCCGCCCCACATTCCCGGGAACAATATCTCTTCCAAAGTAAGCGAGAGCATCTTCACATTCTCCACATCAATCTCCCTCTCCCGCCCGTCATTCCAATTCGACATTCAACTTGAAATGCCATTGAATCCATCGGTAATGAATGAATAGACTTCGTCTAATCGTCCAGTCACTGACTCATGGCAAATAAAAAAAACCGCTACATTTTTCGCTCAATGTTCCTGCACAACAGCACCGAAACTGCCTGAACAGGCGGATATACCTATACCTATTATGGATATACCGTATTGAAGAGAATGAGAGAGAGAGAAAAAGGGAGTGAGTGAGTGAGAGTGAGCGAGTGGCGGAGAGAGGAGGGAGCGAGTGAGAGAGAGGGGGGAGACAGAGAAAGAGAATCCGCATCATTGTGAATTTAAATTTGGAAGCAGACGTGTGCCACAAGTGATCACAGGCACACTATCGTTATAAACAACGTTTCACATTGGCTTCGTGCAGGCGCACTTCACGTTCAACTGATCTCTGGGCTATTTTCATATTCTGGGTAACGTCTCGGCCAAGTCTACCCTGACATTGGGAATAACAATTCGAGGGAGAGAGACTTGTTTCACGCATTTCGGTGGTTAAATCACTGCCTCGACATGGGCATCTTGATATCCAGATTTCGGGTGAGTTTTTTTTCTCATTTTTTAAGTGTTTTTTTGTCGGCAAGGCAAGGGAGTATCGAAATCTCTGCCGGCTCCACTATATTTTGAGGTTAACTCTCGTTTTTTTTTCCTCCGAAGGAATTCAGGGGAATTTTCACTGTTTCAAGGGCATTTTGAGATTTTAAACCGATTTTTTGGGGTTTCATTCGTCGAAGTGGAGGGAAAGTTCGGATTTTTAACGGTTTTGAGAGCGAAATGTGCTCGGTTTTTTAGGCGGGATTTTTTTGAAAATATTGGGATGATTTTTTGGGATTAGAGGAGAGATTTTTGCCATTTCGTCTATTTTTGGGGGTTTTAGATAGGTTTGTAAATGATTTATCGTGAATTGTTAATCAAGTGATTCTTAAAAATCGATTAATCGGAGGTTGAGTCATCGTGTTAATATATTCGATGACATTATTGTGGTTTGAATCCAAAATTATCATCCAATGACACAGCAAACTGACCCCTGGTCATTTAATTTAGTCGTTGGAGTGAAAACTCTTGCTAGGGTCAAAGGCTATATTTGAGGATTTCGGGGACAATTCGATTATTTGAAATTATTTTATTCAGAAATTTGGGCACCATATGGTGGCGTAATCATGGCTCTTCTTTCAGAAAAAGAAAACGACGATTGAAATTCTGGAGGACCTGGACTCGGTAATATTTTTCGATTTCTCTTTCATAGGATCGAAAAACTTTTATTTGAACGATTTTGGGGGGTTTTTCTTCAGAAAATCAAGGAGATTCAGCAGTATGGACAGACGACTGAGCAGAGACACAAGAAAATCGTGGGGACTCTGATAATTTACAGTGTTATACTTTATGTTGTGACAGCTGTTCTCTTCTACTTTTACTTCTTCCCTGCAGCATTGTACGATCAACTGTTCTACATCATTCCACTACTCATTTTCCCACTGCTGTGAGTTGAAAACATTTATTTTGACAGATGATTTTTTCGTCATTCTCATTTTTTCAGAAAAATTTCATTATTCATTCGAAATTCTGCGATTTTCATTAAAAAAATTATGTAAAATTGAAAGTTGACTAGTTTATCGATCCATTCTTCCAATAATTCAATTAATTAATTGATCTATTTCAATTCCTTCTTAGTGTTTTTCTATTGCCGTGAGTTGACACCATTAAATTTAACATTTAATTTGACAGATGATTTTTTCGTCATTTTCATTTTTTTATAAAAATTTAATTAATCGTTCTAAATTCTGGGATTTTTCTACAAAAAATTTATAGGAAATTGAAGTTCGAAAGTGAATCAACTGGAAATTTAGTGAATTAATTAATTTATCTCCATTCCTTCACTAAATTTCACATATTTTTGCTGTAATTCTCTTTTTTTTATACAAAAAATCAATTATCCCTTAAACTCTGCTATTTTTTCTAAAAAAAAATTATGCAAAATTGAATTTTAATTAGCTACTCAACTCATCCTCTAAAAAACGACCCAATTAATCCATCTTGATTTCTCTGCAGCATTGTCTTCACCAAGAAACTGGTAACATGGTACTACAAACGAAAGATATCGAGAAATCAAGAAAAACTGTCAACAATGCAGGAGCAGAAGAAGAAAATTCTGGAAGACGTGACAGAGACAGAAACGTACAAAAAAGCGAAGGAGATCCTCCTGAAATTTGCTCCTGATCAGCTGAGAATGACACCAGTAATATTCCTTCCACTCAGGCTTTTCCATCTATAAATTTCAAATGCACCAACTAACGAAAAAAATCTTTATTTTTCAGCTCACACCTCAGGTTTGTCTCGTTTTATCGAAACCCTTAGTGACTAAAAATCCAAAAAAATTCCAGTCTCATGAATTTGTAATTGAAAATACCATTAAACGTTCCCCTTCATTTATCCTTTAGTCAGCTTAATTAATTCAGCATTGAGATGAAAAAACCAAATGAATTAAAAATACATTTACCGCTTCGCCATTGAAATAGAATCGAATGAATAAGTTTAAAAAATATTTTAGCTTGCTTCGAAGGTAATCACGAGTCCCGTGTCGACACCGAGACGCCCTAGCACCCCTCAGGCAGTAGTTCCACCCCTGCCAGGTGGTGGTGAGCTCAGAAGACGTGCCCTAACGTTGTCAAGTCCTCAAGATAATTCCTCAGTAGGTAGGGGCTTTTCTGGTACTGTTCCAGTTGGAGTGGCGCCTTCCGGTACCCCGCCTGTCTCCTCTCTACCGAGTAGACCACAAAACCCGGCGATAATGGGCCCTCGTCAGTAACATAGCTGCTTTTATTATTGTTTCACTAATCAATGCAGTGTGGAGTCGTGAAATGAGGCGAATCAATCTGCATTATGCATCTTACATTCCTCAGAAATGCCACTGCCCCGGCTGCTGCCAACCTCAGGGACTTTAATGGGTGGAATTCAGCAGCGCAGGGTAAAACTATTCAAGTCGATTTTGACTGCTGGTCAGTTTTCAATGAATATCTCGGAATCTAAGGGAGATAGCAGAACTTTTGTTATGACCTTTTTTGTAGATCTCAATCCCCTCTACAAAAAAGGTCATCATGGAAATTTCGCTATCTCCCTTAGATTCGGAGATATTCCTCGAAAACTCGGCAAAAAAGTAAATCGACTTGAGTCGTTTTAGCAAATAAATGCGTTAATTTGACGAATTACAGAAAAAAAAGACTCTAAAAGCATTTAGTGATCATGAAAATTCCGTGCGGAAGTTTTTTGTAAAAAACGAAAAATTAGAGCTTTGAAAAAATTCTAGAAAAATTCATGAAAGAGCAATTGATTTGCCTCATTTTCATCTTTGAGCTACTGTTTTTGCATGATTTTTTGTTTTACTCGTCTTCGATGGGGTTTCATGGTTTTATTCTGGCCCACGCAGGTTCCCCCCTGCCACGTCCTATTCTCCCTCAGCAGAGAAGCTACTTGGATCGTCTGGTGGAGTATCTAGTCGGCGATGGGCCCTCCAATCGTTATGCTTTGATCTGTCATCAGTGCGACTCGCACAATGGCATGGCACTCAAGGAGGAATTCGAGTATTTTGGTAAGCACAAGTTGTCTTCATTGACTTTAGTTTTAATTTAAAATAATTTTAATGCTATATTTTTTATTAATTTTATGAATTCTGATAAATTTTAATTTATTTTGCCTGATTTTTAAAGATTTCTTCTAGATTATAATATTCTTATAATTGAAATCTAAATTTCCGATTGATGATTAATTAAATAATTGATAATATGGAGTTGTAAATTTTTTATCAATTAAATAATACTCATTTTATTAAAGGAATTATCAATTAATAAAATAATCCGGAATTTGAGTATTTAAATTGATGATTACTTGAATAATTAAAAATTTAACGCATTGACTCCTTCAAAATTTAATAGTAATTCTGATTTATGGATATGGCTATCCCTGTCTTACACTTCTAGATTAATTATTATCAATCATAATCAATATTAACTTTCGTTAAATATTCATTTCCGATTTTACTCTTCAAAAGTTACGTTCATACCCCTTTAAATCCAAAATTAACAACAAACTAATAAAGTAACCTTGCCAAAAATAGTTCCCTCTCGAAGAGTATGAGAAGTCTCTTCACTTGTTTTCTGAACCTTCAAATTTCCTCAGGATTCAGGTGCTGCTACTGCAACTACTGGAACCCAGCTCGAAAGCAGAAGCCCTCAGCCCCAAAACTGGAGACTGAAGCTGCATCACCATTCTCGTCTCCCCTGAGCAGCCAGAAACCGAGCGACATCGAGGCCTCCTCGTCCTCAGGAACAGATTCAGACATTGAGGTGGTGGAGAAGCCCGAGACCCCCGAGATTCCGGACGACAAAGTGGCGGATGCATTCTCTCAACAAAGTGATGAATCTAAAGTAGAAGAGGTGACTGCTGAGGCAGAGGAGGAGAAGGAGGAAAAATCAGTCGAGGAGGTGCAGAGTGAGCAGATGGAGGTGGACGACTCGACGAAGGAATAATTCAAAACGACTGGAGAGGAGTAACCCTCGAGGAAACGAGGAACAATCAGGAATTACCACAAGTGGCTTTGCGTAATTATTAAGTCAATCAACTCGTCATTTGTGAAGTGGAAAGTGTGGAATCGTCACGTGATTTCAGGGGAGAATATCGACAGATATTCTCAACGAGAAATCGAAATTACCGGAAATATTGGATTGGGTGGATTGAATTATTTTATTTAACTTATTCACCGCGTCACGAGAAAATCCATTCCACTTCGTGTTCACTCGACTAACGCCACGGAAATGAGATAATTAAACGAGTGGCATTTCTGATAATCTCTCGTCACAATAATCACACGTTCATCGCAGTAATTGTACACAAATGCTAATCATTAAGACTCAAAGTTACTGTTTAATGTTATTTGGATTGTTTTGAGGGTTTAATTTTATGAGCTGTGATCAATCTTTGTAGAATCCTTGGAATTTTAGAGCTCCAGGGGATGCTGATGATTTTATCGCATTTTTTATGCTCAAAAAATGAGGAAAAATCGAGTTTTAATGTTTTTCGTTGACGACATGTGGCTGTACAGGCGTAAAATATTCAAAATAGTTCCCTCGTCAGGATTTTTAATGCATTCATTTTTTTTTAAACTCCAATTCTTCGATTTTTCAATTTTTTCATCAATAAACTAAAACTTGTTTTTAATTTTTTTGATCATTCATTTTACAAACTGCCTTACAACTGATAAAAAACAATATAAAAAATCAAAAAATTGGAATTTAGAAAGAAAACACGTTTTTTTCGTCAATATATTATGTTTGGAAACCAAAATTGAAGTCAGTCCATTAAAAATCCTGGTAAGGGGCCCATTTTAATGATTTTATGCCTGCACATCCACATGTCATTATTGGAAAAAATTGAACTTGATTTTTTCTCATTTTTTGAGTATAAAAAATAAGAAGACAACCCCCTGCAACAAATGTGATTTCAAGGGTTCACCGTTTTGTTTAGTTTGACAACAGAATTACTATTGAGACTGTTTCCATCTTGTCAATATTAATGGTGCGCTCATAACGATCAATTGTTCGTGATTGACCTCTACCCCTTACTCAAACCCCTCAATCTCAACGATAGTCGTTAAACTCATCTCCATGCACTGTACATAAATTATTGAACATCGATTTTGCAGTTTTTCAAATGATGGAGTTTATGAATTATTTATAATGTAGAAATGTTGACGTTGGAATATTTAATGTGTCACGTGAGGATTGTCGAAGTCAATGAATTTCATGTACAAAGAGTTAATGAGGTACGGGGGAATTGGGGAGTCACGTAGTCATTCGTCCCCGCTATTTTCGGGGGCAGATCCTCGATTGTTTGATTTTTGGCTGATGAATCATTGCGTAAATTGTAAATGCCAGTGTGAGCGGCGGGTTTTACTACGGTTCATTATCCTAGTAGAGTTATTCGTAATTTATATTAGTCATGTAATTGTCATCTTTCTCTTTTCTATTTGTACCGATAATGAGTGATCCAGAAATATGAAATATAGTTTTTAGTAAAAATTATTGGGAGTTTTTAATGACTGAAAATTCCGTTGTGAAGTTCACGAAGTTATAATTTTTTTAGGATTTTCAGGCTTGAGAAATTGCGGTTTTTATCTTCAGAGAATAATTATTTCGCCCGGTTCTTCTTCCCATCACATTTTCCTTTGCAATTCGCAGTTAAGGATAGCCAAGTATCTTTTACAGTTTCGCACAGACCATATGATAGATTCAACCAGATTTAATCGTCAAATTTGTCAATTAAATTGCGTCATTCAAATTAAATTTTTCATTTTTTTAAAACACTTGTTTAAAAAAATACAATGCAATAAGAATAATGCTACGATTTTCTGCTTTTCCGTCATATTCCGTATATTTCCTTAAAAATGAAAATGAATGGATAAACTACTCATCATCCATGGGTGTGATTGCAGGGGGTGCGCATTCACTGTGCTTCACACCGAATGAGAATTTCGGGGGATTTCTTCTCGTGTTGTAAGTCGGGTAATGCGCAGGGCCTGGACCAACGGCATGACCGAAAGTTTTCGTCCGCGATTTGAGGGAGAATGCGGGGTATTTTCGCTTCACGACGTCTGTGTTGAAGGCGTACGCTGCGGGACCAGGTCCCAGGGTTCTTTTTCTCAGATCGTGCAGGCCAGTTCTGAAAACATTGCACGAAAGAAAAACTGCGAAATTCTTCAACAGAATTTTTTCGCGAATTCGATAAGTTTTTTACTTGTAATTAATGATAAATAAATAAATAGTGAACATAAATACATAGTGAACGCTCCATAGGCTCTTTTATCCGGTATATTAGGACCCAAACACGAAGGGACCATGTACGCATTAGGCGCAGGAATGTCGGATCTCAATTTATCGGTTATTCTCCCTTTTAGGGAATAGGCTGGAGGCCGAGGAGCATGATTCATGGGGGGACAGCTCTCCGGACGATATCCGCAAGGCCCAGGCCCCAAATCATATCCTGAAAATTTGTATTTAATAGCCCAATCACGAAATTATACTATATTATATTGTATAAATTATATAATATAAACTAATAATAAAGAAAATTAGTTGATAAATTAATTTACATTATCAATTATTATATAAATTGTATATAATAATTTATATTATGTACTTAATAATATAAATGATATTATATAATTTATACTATATTTTTATTTATTTCATTTCAACCCGTAACGAGAAAATCTCGTTGCAAATTATATCTGAAATTTTTCATCCAAGCGCATTTCGAATTTCATCACTTCCTGAACCTTTCAAGGCCTGTCGTCCTGCAATAGAGAATGCCGGGGGCCTCTCCAGACCTCTCCTCGTCATTTTCGTCACATCGTAAGTGGGTCCTGGGCCCACTGTCCTCTCGAAACCCGTCAACCGCTTCCGCAATGTGTACGCTGGGTTTCTGTACCTCGATGGGTCGTGTTTCTCGTAGCCGACGAGCGTGGGGAGTCCATACACAGGGCCCGGACCTTTTTCCGATGGCAAACAAGTTTATGAGTAATTTTTTCTGTTGATAGCATCGGGGTAACTATCACCTCCGATTACCTCTGAACCAACAACTCAATTTTGGCCTGTTCGGCGCGGGTCGGGATGCCATTGTGGGAGAAGAGCTTAAAATATCTCGAGGAATTATGCAAACTGTGAAAGAAAATTTGGGAAACTGCGAGGAGAATTTCGTTTTCAACTGTCATCGGAAATTCGCAGCAAATTTCACAATGAAAGAAGCTGCAATAATAAAAGATTAATACTAAGAGATGAGTAATAAAAGTTTAATACACAATTCCACTGATTTATAATCCTTTATTTCATCTGTTACAATCTCCTAAATAGATTCTTCAATTTTCAAATCTCTCCATTTCTTCATAGCTCCACTGAACTTCACTGTGACGAATTACCGAAGAATTAATAATCATAGACCGCCCGTCATCCTCACAATACAAAAGAAATAAAAATAAACCTCATGAAAATTACTTCCTCCCCATCCCCCATCCTCCAACGAATCAAAAATCCGAATTCACCAATCATAACATCAACCCCAAATCCCTAAAAATACTCGTCCTAACCGTATCATTAATCAATAAAAATTACCTAGTGATTGATCCCCCATCACTCCTCCTCATCATTCTCATCGTTCTCCTCATAGTACGCAGACTCGCTGATCCCAGCCTGCCTGGCGCACTCCTGGCCGTCCCTAAAATTCGCCCCAAAGTCTTGAGCCTCATCCTCACTCACGAAAATCAGTCTGTAAGACCTCCTCGTGGCCGGCTCAAAGGCGTCATCGATGGCAGTCCACGTGCAGGTGTCACCCACGATCTCCACCTGAGTCTCCATGCTGATGAGAGAGCTGCAAACTACATGACCAGGCATCGTCTCGAAGATGATCCTGGCCCCGAAGATCTCAGAGTCGTAAACCATCTTCACCTGGCCGAGCCCCACGCTCTTCCACTCAGGGCTCCCCTCCTCCAAGAACAAGAGGGTCGCCTCATTCTCGTACATCAACGAGTGGATGTCCTCGTCGTCCTCCCCCTCGTCCCCCTCATCCTCATCCTCAACGACTTGCGGCTGCCCTACGCCCCTGGCCCTCAGGTCCTCCTGCGCCTTCTCCACGGCCTCCTTGAACTGCCCAGCGAGCTCAGGATTCTTGAACCTCACAGCTAGCTCCTCCACAGCTCCCGTGTCCTCAGCGAAATTCATCCCCGCCCACACCCACGCACGATCTGACGTGTTCAGCGCCCTCATCTCCAGCTCGGGAGTGATCAGGAGATTGCAAACGACCTTGTGCACCTGCTCACGACGAAGAAGCAAGCGGTACGTCCCGTGTCCAGCGTGATGCAGGACCTTCATCTCCCCCACACCCCGCTCCTTCCACTCCTTCGTCTCGGACTCGTATCTGTACAGCTTCGCCCTCTGCCCGAAGATCTTCTCCTCCTCCTCCTCACCGGTCCTCACCTCGACCGCGTCCGGCAGGGGGATGATGGGCTCGTAGTGAGGATCGTACTCCTGCCCGTCGTTCCCGGGCTCCTCCTCCTCCTCCTCCTCGACCTTCTTCTTCTGATCGACACTGGAGAGACTGCTGTTGGCACTGGACACTGCTATACTCGAGTTCGGAGTCTTCGACCCGAAGACTGACTGTCCAGCCCCAGCGAAGGAGAAGTGGGGGTCCTTCTTGAAGGCGTTCTCAGTGGCAGTGGCTGCCAGTGCACCGAATGTCACGACATTGTCAACCTTCAGGAAATTCAGCTCGTTCTTATCTTGAATTTTCTCCGAATTCATATCTGGAATCTTCTCCGGGGGCTTCGGAGTGCCAAACAGGTTCACCGAGGGGGTCGATGTGTTGGAGTTTATCAGACTCCCGAAGCTCAGCTTCGAGCCGAAGGGATTGTCAGACCCGAGGACTTTACCCGTCTCGGAAGGAGTCACTGATGCTGAGTTTGTACCACCCAACGTCGAGTTTGATTCAGAGAGACTACCGAAGGACGCTGGGGAGTCCTTGGAGGCAGCTCCGAAGACTGGTGACTCCTGGGGGAATCCGGTGACCTCAGGCTTCCCACCGAACATGTTCTTCGATTGAACTGTTGAACCGAAGATCGTTGCTGCCTCCCCGAAACTGGGTTTACCAAAGTTTATGGTTTGGGGTTTGGCCTCTGGGCTGCAGACACTGACGTCTCCGAGAGGACTCTTGAGAGAACACTCGGGATCACTCTTCTGTCCGAAGACGAATTCAGGCTTCTTGTCCCCAGGTTTATCAGTCTGATTATCGAAGATCGTTGGAGCTGCTCCAGTGGAGTTGAAGAGGGACTTCTGGAAGCCTCCGAAGGGCGTCGGGGCCTGGGGGGGAGTGAGCTTGGGTGGGGCCAGCTTGATCGTTATTGGAGTTTCAGGGGCTTCAGGGGCCTCCTCCACCTTGGCCTCCTTGGATTCCGTTTTCCTCTGGGCCTCGAAGAGAGGCACATCAGGCTCCTGGCAACCAAGGCACCCAGGGCAGTCCTCCTTCTGCTTGTAAGCGTAGAAATTCTCGGGCAACTGGAGCTTCAGCGCTGCGTCCTTCTCCTCCTCAGTGACCTTCAGCTCGTACACCACCTGGATGTCCTGGGCTGACCCCACACTAGACGACTTTGAAGTCCTCTGTGACTCTTCACTCTTTCTTTCCGCAGTCACAGCCTCCTCCACAGCAATCTTAAACTGCTCGGCGATGTCTGAGGTCTTGAATCGACAGGCCAACTGGACGTACTCAATCTCATTGTCACTGTAATCAGCAGCATTCCACATCCACGTCCTGTCGTCCTTGGCCGTCAGCTCGAGATCACCTGGCACCAGGTGATTCAGGCACAGCTTGAGTGTCTGCTCTCGCCTCATCACCAGCCTCAGCTTGTGGCTCTCGTTGTGCTTCAGCAGTTTGATGTCACCCAGCCCTCGCTCCTTCCACTCCTTCGCATTTCCATCGAATCTGAAGAGCTTGGCACGATGTGTGTACAGTATCTCCTCGTTCTCCTCACCTGTCTTCACCTCGATCTTCTCGGGGAGTGGAATCACTGGGGCAAAGTAGACGTCCTCGCTCTCTGGCACCTCGTCCTCACTCACGTCACCCCCAGGGGACTTGACTGGTGACTTCGCTGGGAACTGAAAGTCAAAGGATTTGCCTGGCGATCCGAAGGTGAATGAGCCTTTGGGTGGGGTTTCGGTGCTCTGGATGCCAAAGACAAAGTCCTGGGCTTTGGACTGGAATGTTGGGAAGCCCTTGGCCTCGGTGGAGGTCTTGTCGTCTGTCTTTGGGGGTTCGAAGGTGAAACCAGGGGCTCCACCGAACTGGAAGCCAGGCGAGGCCCCTGTCTCCTTCTTATCCTTGACTGGAGGCAGTCCAAAGATGAATGTTGGAGCTGATGCACTTGGAGTCAGTCCAAATCCACCGGTTTGTGCCTTCGGCGGTAGCGAGGGGTCACTGGGGGCGTCACACGCCACGCAGTACTGATTGGACTTCGTATTCCTCGTGTAACAGCTCTTGCACTCCCAGGAATCAGGTGCTGGCTTGAATAATTCAGATAATGGGACTGATGATGGCTCAGGCTTGTCGGCTTTTCCTGATGGTGCAGCGCAGGCTATGCAGCTCGAGGCTGTTGAACTGTTCCTCGTGTAGCACGAGCTGCACTCCCAGGAGCCAGCAGCTGGCTTGAACATCTCTGACAATGACTGCTGGACCTTCTGGAGACTGACCTTCACGGTTTTGTCGACGCGAGTGATGTTCTGGGGGGGAATCCTGTTGTCGGACATTATCTTCTGGAGGCTCGACATGACGTCCCTGAAACGAGAGGTGTCGCTGATGTCTGGGAACGACAGAGAGTAGCTCTCCTGCTTTCCTGTTTTCGAAGGCTCTTGGGATGTCCAGGTAACGGCGTTTGGATTTCCTGGCATTGGCCCCAGGGAGATGCTTCCGGGGAACGTGACCTTCGACTTCTCAGACTTCTTCATCAGAATCCTCAGATTTCCAGTCTTGGGGTCCAGGAGGAGGTACAGGGGGCCGGCACCTCGCTCCTTCCACTGGCCGTCTCCACTGTTTCGAAGGAGAACAGCTGGTTTATCAAAGAGAATGGCCTCGTCCTCCTCGTTCATCTGCCCAGGGACTTCGGAGAGCTCTGGCTTCGACGAACTGGACACCATGGGTGATGGCTTAGCGTCGCTCTTACCGAAGGAAAATCCAGTGGGAGTCGAGGGTGACTGGGACTTGGTGAAGGAGAACCCAGCGAAGGGACTGGGCTTGGCTTGCTCACTCTGCTTGGGGGTCTTGGCCTCCTCAGCAGGTGTTTGCTGGATAACTGGTGTCTTCGTGAAGGAGAACCCACCGACGACAACTGGAGCCACTGGCTTCACCGGCACCGTCGTCATGCTTGCCCTGGCACTGTCGAAGCTCTTCTTGAAGTCCTCAGCATCCTCAGTGGTTTTGAACTTGATACAGAGCTTCTCCAGCCTGACCTCCTCATCAGCAAAGTCATTGGCCACCCACATCCACGCCCTGTCGTTGTTGGGCATCTGGGAGAGCTCCATCTCAGGCGTCAGCATGTGATTAGCACAGATCTTGAGGACCTGATCACGCCTCATCAGCAGTCTCACCTTTCCCTCATTATTCTTCAGGAGTTTGACGTTGCCAACACCTCGCTCCTTCCACTCCTTCTCGACGAATCTGAATAATTTGGCACGTGCCACGAACAATGTGTCCTCGTTCTCCTCTCCAGTGGTGACCTTCACCTCAGCAGGAAGGGGAATCACTGGCTGAAAATCGGGAATGGGATCGTGCTCAACTTCAACAGCTTCGATGGACGAATTGTGCGAGCCTGTTGACAAGATACTCGTGTTCTTGGACTTCTCCTGCATGGTAACAGCTGCTATCGTATTGGTAACTGATGCTGCAAGCGGTGGGAGATTGACTGTCGTGGGGATGTTGGCGTGCGAGGGCATGGAGATCTGGTAGTTGTGGGGAATTGACTGATTGCCACCGCTGGCCAGTGTCGAGATGCTGGCGGCACCGACGTTCCTGTGCTGCGGTGGAATGTTGACACTGAGAATTGGTTGAACTGTTGGTGCTGTTGTTGGAAGGGTGTCTGACGTGGTGATGACGACGTTAGATGGAGGTGCCTTGTTCACAGGGGCGTCCTTGATGACTGGGAACTGCTGGGGTGGCTGGGGGACAGTATCAGCCCTCGACAGATCGAGATTTTGGAGCTGCATGGTGAGGGGAGGGCCCTGCACAGTCTGGGGGGAGACGATGTCCATCAGGCGATTCTGAAAGAGTCCCTGCTGGAACATTCCCGGCTGCATCCCCAGGCCCTGATCCACTGGGGGCCGAGGGTACGATCCCATTGGGTAGACGCTGGGGTAGATGTTGGGGAGGTGATGACTCTGGTCGTTGAAGGGTAGTCCGCCCTGGTAGTAGCCTGGCAGGCCAGGTGTTGGGTACACCAGTGGGGAATAATGCCTCTGGTTGGCGAATAAATTCCCTGGGATCTGGTGGGGCGTCAGTGGAGGCACTGGACCAGCTGCTGGGATACCCCCCACAGGCTGAGTATAATTCATCTCTGAGTAGTCGTCCTCCCCGGCGTAATAGTCATCCTCAGGGTTCGTCGATCTTGTCGTTCTCTTCTGACTGCTGTGGCTCTCCTTACGAAATTCCGAGAACTCTCGTTTCAACTCCTCGATCATTTCCCTCACCTGTTTATTCGAGTCCACAAGGTTCTTCATGCTCTCCAGTATGGACTTGTTCTGCTCGAGAATCGTCTGGGACACGTGATCCTTGGCGTACACCAGCTGCCTGATCTGGGCGTCGAGTCTCTCGGGGCTGGGACGAGCCTCCAACTGAATTCTCGAGCGTGAATGCTCCAGGATGTCGTGGTGCTGGTGTCTAGGTGTGCTGGACTGCTTTGGGGTCCTCTGGCTGTGCCTCTGGGGGGTGTTGATGGTGACCCCTTGGTTCAGGGAATTCATTATCGGCTGGTCAGCTCCACTCTGCGCCGAGGAGTAGCTGTCCTCTGACAGTGCGTCACAGTCGTTTCTATTTAAATCATTTCTGTGCAAGTCTGGATCGATCCTCTTGAGGTCGTTCTCGATGCTCGAGATCTTGGTGCCCAGCTCTGAGTTGAGGGGATGATGAGGATTCACTCCTGGTGATCTCAGCCTGTCCAGTGTGAGGTAGTAGCAGTCCCTGGCTTTGCCCAGAAGGACCACGTGTTGAGATCTGATTGCCGATGTCAAACTCTCCTTGGGGAGGGATCCAATCAGCTCGTCCGCCAGGGTCTTGTAGATTTCCGCCTGCAGGTAAGACGCCTCAGGGCACTTGAGGGCCTGCAGAACGTCCATCGCCTGCTCGTGACGCTTATCACGCAGCAATCTCCTTGCCACAACGAGTCTCCCCTCCTCGAGGGCATTACTCAGCTCCAAATTGCTCATCTCCTTTCCCTGATAGTCGAAGATCTTGGAGCTGGTGGTGCGTATCGTCTGGTTGTTGATGAGACGCTCCACCAGGGGCACTCCTGTCTCCCAGTACAGCTCCGATCTGGCCTCCAGCATGGGAATGTCCGGATGGGACTTGTCCTTCGTCTGCAGCTCCTTGACTCGATGCTGGAACATTCTCGCCAGGTGGATGATTATGTTGACGTGGAGTCCGTGATTTCCGATGCATCTGATCACCTCCAGGCCCCTCTGGATCTCCTGACGAAGCTCCATCAGATCACCGGAGATGCTGTCAGGCTTCTTGTACATTCGCCAGGCTGATGTCCACCATTTCTCCTGATTCCCAGTGCACAGTAAATTCGTGGTGTCTGCTGGCAGTGTTGGCATTCGATCTCTGTTCAGAAAGCCACTCTTCTGCTGCTCCTGGACGATTATCGATGAGCAGAGGATCGTGGCGTTGAGGAAGGCGTCGATGTCCAGGCGTCCCAGGCTGTCTGGGGCTGCTTGGCTCAGGTTGTAAGCTGACAACTGGAGGTCTGGGAAGATGTGGCAGGTCTGGTTGGGGTAGGGCACTGTCAGCTCCATGTTTCTGCGGGGGTGGGGCTTGTTGGCCAGGCCCAGCCACACGTGGTGGTGCAGGGACGAGGGGTGGACCTCCTCGGATACCTCGTCCCATCTTTTGACGTCTGATGGGGGCAGGAGACGGAGGGGCGGGGGTGAGGAGTTGTTGTTGGCGAAGTAGGAGGTCGACATCATTGCTGTGTGGGGGTTCGACGTGAATATACGCTGGTAGATGCGCTCCCTCCAGGAACCTATGCAGAACTTGTCGACTTTGTCGAGAAGACGTTTGGAGTCCTCTCTGGAGTAGTCCTGGAGGACGTGTGAGGCTTGGGAGACACGATAGGCCCCCTCTCGATGCCAGATGTGGGCCAGGGTCTTGCTGGGGTCCTTCATTGAAACTATCGAGGGCCCCGTGTGGTCCAGGGGGGGAGAGTGAATTGCTGTCAGCAGGAGGGGACTGCAGAGACGCCCTGTCTCGTTCCAACTGCCCTGCTCTCGTTTCGTTCGACGAATTAGGAGAGATGCCATGTGATAATTCAGTTGTCCGAACATGTGGGTGAACATCTGGTCGATGAACGAGGCGCTTGTCTGGAAGTTCTGGAGTTTCGCCAGGGTGAGGGCCTGGTCGAGGTTGAAGACAGCCGACGCTGACTCCTGGGTTGTTTTCACAGTCGTTCCATGCTCCTTCAGGGCCAAGGCTGCGTAACGCTCGAGGGACGAGATGTAGGGGATCCAGAACAGGGATTTTGGCTGGCGTTGCTCCTTGAATCTCGTGAAGACTGTGCAGAGGGTCTCGTACCAGACGAGACTGTCTCGGTGGACGTACGTCGATTCCACCTCCAGGGCGTGCTTGTAGGCCTCGTCCAGGCGGTTCTTTGAGAGGTAGTGGTTCAGGAGTTTCACTCGGAGGTTGACGTCCGAGGGACGGGCTGACAGCTCAGCTTTGGGGTCAAGTAAAGGGGTTAAATTGATGATTTCATGGCTGAATTATGGTGTTTTTATATTTTTTTCTCAAATTCATTGGGCAGAACCCCTTAAATTCCACTAGAATTAGGAAAAAATGACGTCTAGGTGACAACTAGCAACATCAAACCAAGACAACCCTTGAGCTTTCACCAGAATATGATAATTATTTCCATTCCATCCCCGGAGATGTTTATAAGGTATTACAAAAGTAAATTAAGTAATAATATTTAATTTATACTGTTTTAATTAATATGCACAAGTTATGAAAATGAAATGAAATAAAATACATTGAAATGAAAGTTTAACTAAACGATCGAGTAAATATCTTGAATGATAATTATTCGTTGGGAATACTTACAGGCAATGAGGGCTTCCAGATCTCCATCAGTTCCGTTGGGCCTGTCAGCCATCAGCATCTTCTCTTTCAATTGGAAAACAACTGGATTGTGGGAGAATTTCTCACTCGCTCTGTCCACCCAGTACTTCATCCTGTTGACGTCCAGGCCGATGTCCATGTCAGTTAATAATTCACAGACTGCGCATAAAAATTAGAAATTGAAATTATACTGATTGAAAACGACAATCTCAATGTGCCAAATTGAATGGAATATATTGGAAATTAAAATCTAGACACTAAATTCTGCTTTTTGCAGTTGCAAGTTGATGGCAAAGATGTTTTGACATTATATATTTTAACGTATGCATTTATTTTGACTGTTCAAGCCAATTAGTTCATATTTTTATTATTTATGTCGATTTACCTTTCAGTACGAGATCATCCTGACGAGCCTCGAGCTCCAGCGACTGTTTGAATTGAGCGAGGGCTGCCTCCTTCTGCCCCAGGGCCTCGTAGATCTGACCGAGCAGCTTGTGAGCCCCACTTGACTCGCTCTTCACTTCTAGATAACTGGAGACGTATCTCCGGGCCGATTCGTAATCGCCCACTTGGTAATAAAGCTTCGCAATGTTGTAGCATCGAAGATTACGCTGCAATGGAGAATATTGAGATTTTTTTTCATTATATTGGGAATTATAAATTCATTTACAAAATTAGCTAGACCTATTAGCTGTAAATTGGCTATAATATTCATGAAATATGGAGATGTCTTGAAGTATTTTTTATTTTGATGAGGAAAAATGTTGAAACGATGCGGGAGAAAATCATTCAGACAATAATCGTTTATTAATTGATATTTTTTAGATTTATTTGATTTTATTTTCTACCTGGCTATTTTAAATAAGTAATAATGAGGTAAATTCCTGATGGAACGAAGGGATTCAAATAAATCAGGTCTCATTTTTAAATCTAAAAAAATATCTTTAAAAATTAAAAAATTTGCGGAAATAGAAAAACATTAATAGCAAAAATCGTCGAAATTAAAATGTCAATTATCTCCAGAGCTGTGAATTTTCCAGATGATTCTCAGTATTTTAATTCCAACGATAACGAAACGAAAAACTCCACGAGAAATATCAATATTCCTAAAGACCCCCATCTAATGCCACTGGAATTCCCCTCAGTAATTCGCCAATATCCCCCGACCAAACGAAGCAATTTCAAAAAATCAGGGCTCATTTTCAAGCCCAAAAAAATACCTTCAAAACGAAAAAAAAATTGTTGAATTTCACTCTACCGATCTCGAGTTATTACCAATTAAAACCTCCCACACGAAGAATACTAGTCTCTCAACACTGCGAGAATAAAAAAAATGTAAACAACAGCCAGAGCTCAACAGAGTTGATGACCTTGCTGGGTCAGGGATAGTGCCAATGCCGGTGCCACGCTGAAACCCCAACAACTCCAAGAAAATCCCTCAAATCCCATCCCTTCAGCCCCGAACATCAACATCACCTCCAAAAACCCCCGACAAACACTCGAAAAAAAAAAATGCTCACGCTGACCTATTTATTGCTCCACATGTTCCGAGATTTATATAAAGAGAATCGGGCGCCAAATTGCGTTGGCATGAGCATCAAGTGCTATTGTTATCAGAGAGAAACCCCCCCAACTCCGAAGGCGTCAAATCGGCCCTGGGATTTTCGGAAAATGGAAATTCACAGATCAGCGCGAATTAATCGGCTTTCGAGGGGTAATGCGAGGGTAATCGAGTGGAAAGTTTGATTTTCCAGGGGTTAACCTCACCTCCTTCTCGTCCGTCACCTTCCGAAACAGCTCCTGGACGTGACGATCCACCGAACTCTTCGAATTGAACATTTTTCACTTTTGCCTGTTCCGAGGGATCATTTAGCGTTTGCTTGGAGTATCGTTGGCCTCTTCTTCGAACGATTTTTATCAAATCAATTACTGCGGCAACCGTTTTACTCGCCGACTCTCCTTCAAACTGGCTTCAAACGCCGACTTTTGCCCGTTGCAAACTGTAATGGAGGGACGGACATTTTTTTTAGTGCAGGGGTGCCAATTGCGGGGAGATATGAGGGAGAATCTTCGAGAAATTAATCGTAAAAGGACATTTCCCTGGCGGTTACGACGATTTTTCATAATTTTAATTGTGTAATTGGGTAGTTAATGCCGAGGGAATGAGTAATCGGTGATTCTTCTGTTTATTTTCACGATATTTGGGGGAGGAAATTGTTGGACGGTTTTGGCGGGAATCAGAAGAGGTTTTCAAAATTCTTTTTTTATCTGGTTGGAAGATTTAAACATTTTTCCATCGCACTGTGCGAAAAAGTAACTTTACGTCCCTTTTCCACACATTGTGATGCAAAATATCGTGATAATAATACTATATTTTAGTGGGGATATTCTTGTGATGAAATGTACTATATTATAGTTAACATTCAAACCTACCGGTTTGTTCTGTTTTGAAAAAATATCTACGAAAATTATAGTAAGGCAAATTATGTTCAGTCCACAAATATTTTTTTTTAGTCCACAAATATTGAATATTTAATTCCAGCGGTTTTTCGCCGAGTGAACGTTGATTCTGTATCTACTAACGATTCTGACGCTAATGAAACACGCTGAGGCCCCAGAAATGCAGAAATAAAATTTTAATTTTCACCTGGGGCCAAAGTGTCGTATCTTGTATTTTTTCAGGGGAAAAGTCGAAAGTTGAAAAAAAATTGTTTCGTGTAAAAATCACAAAAAAATAAGTTTTCACCCTTGTACTACCCTCAAGTACGTTTCCCAGGGGATTGTCGATTTTTTCTGGGATTGAGGAAGTCCCTAGAAAGATACTTCAATAGAAATAGTTTTTTTTTTATTTTTCATATTGAAAAAAAAAATTGTTTTGTGTAAAAATCGTAAAAAATTAACTTTTCACCCTTGTACTACCCTCAAGTACGTTTCCCAAGATGTTGACGACTTTTTATGGGATTGAGGAAGTCCCCTCCCTCTACAGGACTATTGCCAATGCACTAAAAATTGAAACCGACATTTAAAGGATAACAGAAAGCCACCGTTTCCTCGAAATTTTCAAACAAATTTCCTGCTCAAAGTTACTGATATATTTGAACCAAAAGCACATTGATCTTCATCATCGTGTCCTGGAGATTAATGTGCTTGAATTTGTAAAAATATCGATAACTTTCAGCAGGAAATTTGTTAAAAAATTTGGAAAATTATTGCCATTCTGTTAGTCCATTTTGAGAAAATTGTCACTCTATCAGGGACACCAACCGTAGAAAACCCCAGATTCCGTTACTAGAGTAGAATGGGCACGTTGAGGGGATAAAGCCATTTAGAATAGAAGAACAACAAATTTAAAAGTGCTCTCCACGTGGTGATGTAACATGAAATTGTCTGTTCTCCAGAGATGATGGAGGAGAACCGGGGAATTGTTGTTCTGCATCAAGACGAGAATTACCTGGTGGTAAACAAGCCCTACGACATGGTCGTGAACAGCAATGATGCTTCAAAAGTACTGACCATCTCGCTCAGATTTTTTTTTACCTTTCGTTTGTCTTTTTATTTTAAAATTGATTTCTTCTGATCCAGGTCACGCTGCAGACGGAGATCAGGAGGCTGTTTCCTCACTTGGTGAACCCAGATCTGAAGCATGAGTTTCATTTTGTTCATAGATTGGACTATGCCACGAGTGGGGTGATTTGCGTTGCTCTCTGTCGAAATTCCGCTCGAGCTGCCTCGGCTAGCTTCGAGAAGAGATGTGCCAGGAAGTATTATCTGGCACTGGTTCATGGACATGTGGAAGAGGATTCTCTGGTTGTCAGAGAGGCCATTGGTGGGTTCTGCAGGGAGAGAAAATCATTTTCAGAGATGAATTCTAGGGTTTTTCTACGGATTTTAGGAATCTCAATTGTATTTATAATTATACAACGTCCCCTCGCGTTTTTTAATAAATAGGTTTGTGGGGATCTGTATCTAATTTTTAGGGTAGATCCCTCATTTTATTTTCAGATCTATTCTCCGTCTTTAGAAATAAAACTTACGAAAAAATTTAGCAGGAAGACCTAGCCCTTTCTCTAAGAAATTCTATTGAATTTCTATTGGAATTCAACCAATGTGGATGTGGTTGTGCTGGCAGTGCCCAAAACAGCACATTCTGACATATATAAAGACAATCGGACAACACAGAGATGAATGATACATAAAATGATGATAAATGATTGATAAATGATAAATGAAATTCATGTGAGGCCGTCTTTCTTAACATTCACCATTTTTTATAAATTCCTGGGCTCAAATTTTACGAGTTAAAATAGAATACTTTATTTCCTTAATGCTACTTTTACAATTTTCTATCTACAATTTTTTTCTGAGTTTTTTTGGTCCATTTTTTAATGAAAAAGAAAGAAGAGAAACAGAGAGAGGAAAAAAAAATGGAAATCTCATGTCGAAGAATTTCTATTGACAATGTCCAAATGAAAAGAGAAAATTCTATTGATTTTTTCTATAAAATAGTTTTTTCTAGACATTTTCAATAGAATTTCAATAGGATTTTCCACAACTGAGATTAAAAAAATGGGATTCATTCCCAGGGGAAGACATTCGAGAACTCCTGGGTAACAAAAGAATGTGCACCAGCGACCAAGTCCACTGCCAAAACCCCCGAGACTGTGTCACAGCAATACTAGTGCTCGAAAAAGGCCTGAGAAACGGAAAACCTGCGACGAAGGTTCTCCTGCGCCCCGGGACTGGACGTAGACACCAGCTGCGAGTGCACTGTTCCCACATAGGGCACACCATCATCGGGGATTACACCTACAGCAATCGCCAGGACCACGAGCCCCACCGAACATTTCTCCACTCGTTCAGGTGAAAAAACTGAATTCATCGAAACCTAGACCCCTTCAATCTCCAATATCTCGCGATCGGCAGCGTGAATTCCAACAATTTTTTTTTCATTTTCAAGATATTTTTTCAAACTTCAAAATGAGCGCAGACTCGACCAAATCGCACCGTTGGGTCCAGAGATATCGAGACTTGAATGAGTTCATTTCACCTCTTCCCTCATTATTTTCATCAGATTTTTAGATTTTTTTCATTTGATTCCCTCCTGATGATTCAGATTGATCTTGGAGAGTGACCTTGGCCATCTGGACATCCAGACATCAGATCCTTTCGACACGTCGGACGATAAAAACGAGTGGAGCCCCACAGAAGTCCTCAGGAGGATCGACGAAGACGCATTTTCAGCTATTGACAAATTATTCCCCTGAGAAAACGTATTTCTTACGCTTTGGTGACTCTCTACTGCTCAATAAATATTATTTCGTTATAAAATGGACGACCCGAAGACTCCAGCCTGCGTGATATCGAATGCGAGTGATGCACGAGGCACATACGAGGACTCCCTGACGTGGATATGACGTTGATCATTAACTCTGCAGAAATTAATTGAATTCGTCACTTGGCAGGCCCAGGTGACCCCTAATACTGGCTTGTTATCGTGACAGAGGGATTTCCCTGCTCCCATATTGGCAGATACCTTTTTTTATAAAATAAGAATTAATTATAAAAATTAATTACAAGACAAATTAATTAATTTGATTCAACAAATCAATTTCAATTATAAATTGCGAAAAAATCGACTAAAAATTCGAAAGAATAAAAAAAGTGTATGAATAAATTTCGAAATTGATAAATTAATGAAGCAAAGAGCATTAGATTGAATTTAAAAATTAATTAGAATCAAAATTGAGAAAAAAAACTTGTTATTTGCATAAAAATGAGTAAATTATGAACTTAAAATGGAAAATAGACGAAGTAATTGGAGAATTTGATGTGAAAATTAATGAAATTGTACTGAATAAAGAGTTTTTATGTTATTACCTGATTTATGCACACAACGCATAAGTTATTATTCATGGAGAATCCATGCAATGCATGTCCAATGCTCCTGAGGCTCTTGGCTCGACTCTTCAACTGGTTTTCTTCGTATTCCACCCGATATGATGCAGCTATCGAGTCGATGATAAGAAGGGCTATTGAATTGTTAGCCAGAAATACTGGTACTCGAGTTAAAATGCAGTTCTCCAGGTCTCCCTGTCACAGAAGATGAAAAATCAGCGGAATATGAATCTTTTATCTTTCTACCTCAATAGAGAATTCCTCGACATGAATTTTCTATTTTTTCAACTCTGTTTTTCACCTATTTTCTCAAAATAAATCGAACAAAAAAACATGGAAAATGTAAGCCGAACAATTTGTTTAAAAAATCGAATTCTATTGATTTTTTCTGCAGAATATTTTCCATTGAACATTTCGATTGAAAAAAAAACGCAGAAAAGCTGCTGAATTTTTCAATGAAAAGTTTTCAAAAAACTAGTTGAAAATTCAGCAGAAATCCAATACAATTTTCTTGTCAATACGTACAACTGTGGATATATGTTCGACGAATATCAAATCACTGGTGGATTTGTATTTCTTCGAAATTGGAGAGGTTTTCAGGAGCTCTTGCAGGCGTTTTGATGGAAATACTGATTCTGTGCAGATGTAAAGAACTCCTAGAAGTGAAAAAAAATAAAAAGTCCATTTACCCCATTGTCCCCTAAACATTTTCATATGCGTAAAATCAATTTATTTCAAGGGATGTTCATCACCTTTTCTGCTATCCCTTTCCGGAGATATTTGAGCTGTTAAGCAAAGTTGAAGGGCGAATTGAGTTTTGCCGGTGCCGGCTTCTCCATAAATCTGTGTTATTCCTCTCTTAGAAATTCCACCCCTCAATATTCCGTCGATCTTTGAACATCCAGTGGTTAAATAATCCTCTTTTGTCAGGAATTCTGTTGCTGTTGTTGCAGAATTCATCAATGATTAATGAGTAATTGTTGTTCTTCTGGGAACAGTGCACATTCCAGTGACTTATTTAAAAATGGCGATTCCTTAGAGGCAGTGGAGGGGAAGCTCCATCGGTACAATCGACCAAAAAATGAGTTCTGTTCATTGAAATTTCGTTGTGAAATTCATCGATCGGTTATTCGAAATGAGTGTGACATGATTTGTGTTAAAAAAAAATGTTAAAAAGCCCTTCGCGCTTTTTCTTTGTATATTTATATATATTAGTATTTACAAGGGTCACAAGGGTCACTCTAGGGTCTCAAGGGACGCAAAGCTCAACAAATCACGGACGAAAAAATTTAATAGAAAAACCTATCGAATTCGTTAGAAAATTTCTATTGAATTTCTATTGAACTGTTCTATTAGTTTTTGGCCGATTCTACTGAAATGTTTAATAGAAAGTATTCAGTAGAACAAGTCAATAGAATTCAATTTTTCTATCCAACTTATTCTATTGTGATTTTTCTATAGAATTTCCTCGGCTCAAATTTTCCAAGTTTTTTCATTTGATTTTCTTGATGAGAAGAAAAGAAAAATAGAATAAAAAAACAGAAAATTTGAGTCGAGGAAATTCTATAGAAAATATATGAAAAGAATAAGTTATATAGAAAAATCGAATTCTGTTGATTTGTTCTATTGAACATCTCAATAGAATCAGCCAAAAACTAATAGAAAGTTTGATAGAAATTCAATAGAATTTTCTAACGAATTCGATAGGTTTTTTCTACTAAATTTTTTCGTGCGTGATTTAAAGCAGAGTTAAAATAAAGGATAACAGAAAAATGAACATAGAAAAAATCTTATATAACTGATGTTAACTAATTATTAAGAAGAGGACTACATAGGTGTAAAACAAAGAAAAACATTAGCAACACCAAAGAGATAAATAAATAAATAAATAGGTGTTTCTCATACACGTGTGGGTACGAATATAACTTTTACACCTTTATTAACAAAATAATTTGTACAAAATTCATGAAAATTTACATCATTCATTTGTAATCCAACATTCCTCGTGAATAATTTATATTAGTTTATAACGAGTTGAAATATGAGACAGAGGAGACTCAAAAACGTAATGGATTGATTGGATTTTCGTAGATCTTTTTTCTCAATTGAAGGTGAAATTTTCCTACTGTTGACTGTTGGCACTTGCTTTCTGCTGCGCCTGGATGAACTCAGGATAGTCGATGTAGCCATCGTGAGTCGTGTCATCCATTTTGAGGATTGGATCTATGAGTGCAACTAACTCTTCGTCTGTGAATATCTTGTCACCAGCTGTCGCTTCGTGACCCCCGTGTGCTGGGTCCTTATTACCTTGTTCTATTCACAGAGAAATTATGAAGAAAATTGTCAAATTATGAAGATTATGAAGAATTATGAAATTTTTTTCAGGAAATCTCGAAATAAATAAAATGAAAAAATCATGAAAATGAATTTTCGATTTTTAAATCCGACTGTTAATGAGTAATTTGTTTTACTAATATGAAATTTTCTTTCAAACAAGAAAGATAAATGAGATAAATCTTGTTTAATTATCTCATTTATTCCATTTTGATTAATGTCTTTGTTTTCATTTCATTTTTTTTAAGTTTATTTCCTATAATGAAGAAAATTCGCTGGTCAGCATTTGCATTTAAACATCAGAACTTGAATGCAATTTTATTGTGCAATTGTGGGGGATTTCGTCAGTCGAGAAAGGGGAATCTGATGATTTTTTAAATTACCATGCCAATGAATGAGGGATTTAATTAATTCACAGCCATCGAGCTTGTTGTTGTTGTCGGCATCGTGCATTTTGAAATAATGAAACTGTAACTCCTGGTCCGTCATTTTAGCTGTGTCCATGGGCACTTCGAAATGCTCTGCAATGTGTCTGGAAACGAATGAAAACAAAAAATTGAGTAATTTCAAAATATCGAGGGAATGGAAATAAAGTGCTCACTCTTTCTCTTGAGCAATATTCGCTGTGTTGAGCAATTGCTGGGGGTTATGATGATCGGGATGGCCCGCATGTATATGAGGTACTTGCTGTTGATGAGGTACTTGCTGTTGATGAGGTACCTGCTGCTGATGGGGTACCTGTTGGTGCTGAACTGGGGGCTGTTGGTACTGCGAAGACATTTAATTAATTATTAAATCATCAGTGGCAATTTTATCGGAATTGGAGCTATTATTCACCTGCTGGGGAGGCTGATGATGCTGCTGGGGTACTTGCTGATGATGAACTTGTTGCTGTGGTGGTGGTGGCTTGAATAAAATGACAATTGAGGACATTTTTAGTATTTTTGGACATATGTGGGAGTATGATTATGTTAAAAATAAATAAATTTCGAAGGGAGGTGAAGTAAAATCATTAATATTTTGATTAAAACTCCTTTTAATTCATTTTAAATCCTTCAAAATGAGAAATAAGTCATTCAATTCCACTCTATCGTTTTCAAATTATTGGCTATTAAAATCCCTTTATTTAGCATTCCTCTAGAAAAAGTGGCGTAAAATAAACTTCTTTAAATCATCAATATCTCCTGACTAAACAATACGATTTAAACAAATCAAAACTCATTTCAAACCCAAAAAAAATACTTTCAGGATGAAAAAAAATTCTACTCAGTCAATGTGAACATATCGGCTCGCGAAATCCCTCCAAATTCGATTTAAACAAATCAAAGCGCATCTTAAACCCATAAAAACCGTCTTCAAAACGAGAAAAAAATTCGTTCAATTCCACTCTGTCGCTGTCAACTAATTAACTATCGAAAACAACAGAGCGATCATTAACGGCGCCATATGGATTCTCCAATCTCCATCCACATGTTTCAACCCCCAGGCGACCATCCAACCCCTCGCCAAGGCGATAAAAACGTCGACGAAAAAAAATAAATCAAAAAATGTCAGACAATCCTTCATCCTCCAACAACAGCGAATCTAGTCTAGTTCAATTTATCCTCAAACCTGTTGATAATGCTGAGGTGGAACACCCGGTGCGACCCTCTGCCCCTGTCCACTGACAGAATCCCAGCCAAAAGGTCCAGCGACAAACAGCCAGAAGATCCAAATCATCTTGTGGCTTTCTAAAAGCCAAGAAAATTAATCAGCAAACGAGAATAAAATCCGAAAGTGTTCGCAAGGTACTTTTGGCTTCGAGTGCCAGAGAAATTTCGTTTCTCTCTGACTGCACGTGTCGAACCCACATTAATCAGTGATAAAAGGCCTTAATTACCCAATTAACAGTCACGAAATCCTCGGGATATCTATCATACGTGTGAATCCCTCGAATTAATCACAATTGAAGGAGTCAAAATCGTCCGCCAGTGCACGGTATTTACGCTTGGTTATGTTCCAGTCGAATGTCTTGTTGTATGTGTGTGACGTGGACCTCTCTCTTGTCCGTGACAGGTGACAGGGGCATTTCCAACGAACAAAGTCGCCGGGGTGTGACGTCACGCCACACAGAAAACGACCCCTGTGGACGCTCGAGGAAGCCGCAGACGTCTGGACGTCCAGCGTTGAGGTTAAAAATATTAGTCTCCCTCGGATTGTTTTCTATAAATAGTTAGAAATTATAAAATCACATCCTTGTTGCTGAAAGAACAATTATTTCGAGTGGAAACGGCGGTTTTGGAGGGAGTAAATTTTTTTTGCAGTTATAAATGCGTGAAGTCATGCGATAACTCGCGTTCGTGGTGAATGTGGTTGTGTATTTGTGATTGATAATGGCGAAGCAATTGTCGAGTGAGTAAATAACATATTTTTGGGAATTTTTGGGGATTTTTTCGCGGGGAAAATGCAGTTTTGGGGGGTTTTCTTCGGGTTTTACTTCAAGGTTTTTGTATTTTTTTAAATGTGTTTTCGGTGTTGTTTTTGCGGAGATAGCGAGTGAGTAAACAAGATATTTTTGGAATTCACTGGCAAATTTCCTCATGCAGAACGTCAACAAGAAAATCGAGTTCAATTTTTTTTGCTGCATCGGTTTTACATTTCAAATTTTTAAAATTGCAACGATTTTATATTTTATTCAACCCCTCTTTAGTTCACTCATACATTTATTTATTATGGATCTTGTAATATTTTATTGAATGAGTAAACAACGTATTTACAACATTGCACTCTTAGTTCTTAAATTCTATTCTTTTTTTATCTGATAACTATTTTATCTGTTCAAAATTTACAAAGAAAATTAATTAAAATGCCTCTCTAGTTTCCTCCCAAGTAACTTCATTATTGTTCAGGTCATATTGAGTGAGTGAATGGAATATTTTTTAAATTACTTGAGAATTTTTCTTCTTAAAAAATCTCAATTAAAATTAATCATTTTCAATGGGTATTTGTTCATAGAAAAAAGTATATAGACCTTGATTTCTGTTTATGGAATTCACTCGGATTATTTCCACAGGAACTCTTGAATAAGGATTTTCCAAGTTATTTTTCTTGAATTTTACAATCAGAAAAACGTGAAAATCCAAGGAAAAAAATTTTGTTCCCTTCCCATTGCCTCATTTTAGAAAATGCATATAAATTGAAAAAAGTCAGACTACGCCCACGAATTTCTGTAGAAAAATCACAAACTATTGACATTTTTTAACCGTAAAACTGCTTAATCTTAAACAGAACTGCAATGGAATTCTCCCAAACCTTGCCTATCAATTTAAAGAAAGCGTTAATTTCTCTCTCAATTTTTCCCCCCGTCCCCCTCGAATTCCCCCGAATATCACCGAATTCCGCTAATTTGCAGGCTACTGGGTAAAATTTTTCACCAGTGCTGGATTTCCACTGGACGTAGCGACAAAGCATGCGGTAGTATTCTCGAGCAATCGAATAAAGCCAGACATGCTGCCAGACCTGGACAAGCCAAGTCTGAAGGAGATGGGAATCACCCTGATGGGTGACATGATAGCAATCCTCCGTTACGCGAAGAAAGTCTCCGAGGAGATGACCTGCGAGCGTTTTCTGGTGGAGACGAAGGCGATAACACCACCGGGAATTCCGAAGCCCACAAAGCCAATAGTTAAGAAGCCCTTAGTAATATCGAAGGTGTCAGCTGTGGCACGACCAGTGGCTGCCAAAGTCCCCAGCAAAGAGCCTGCCAAGCCCCTGAGAGTCACCAGTTCACTGCCAACGAGTGCTGTACAGAAGAGAAAAGTCAGCAGTGCTGTGCCCCAGGAGCCGCAGGTCAAGAAGAGGAAGATTGTGACGAAAGTCGTGGAGATTGACAGTGACAGCCAGGAGGAGTGGACGACGCAGATGCAGAAGAGGTTGAAGGCAACTGGCAATGGGACAGCTGTCAAAGCACCTCCGAGATCTCCAGTGAAGGCTGAGAGTGGCAAGAAGACGTTCGAGCTGAAGAGAACTGTCTTTGACAGGCTGGGGGACAGCTCTGTCACCAGCACCACCAGCTCCACTGGTGCCAGTGAGGCCAATCCCACGTTCAACATCACTGGCCTTGGGGACGTTCTCAAGAGGAACTCCAGTGTTTTTCATCGACTCGGGGACAAGGATGCCAAGAGGGAGGAGAAGTCTGCGGGGATTTTGAAGAATGGTGTGGCTGCGGGGAATGGACAGCTCCAGGGAATTCTCAAGAGTAAGGGCTCCAACTTGAGGGGGACTATGGTCAAGTTGAAAACGATCTCCAGTCCTGGAAGGGTTGGGGGGGGGACTATGCATGCGGATCATGAGGGGAGCAAGAGCAGTGTATCGACTAGTGTTAAGCAGCTGGTCAAGACCACCAAGGCCATGAAGCTGGGGGGACAGAGGAAGGTCAATGTCAGGAGCAAATTGGGTAGGTTTATTTTTTATTTTGGAAATTTTGGCTTTTAAGGGGTAGAATGCCGATAAATTGATAAATTTTTGAACAAATTTACTGCCGAAAGCTAACGATATTTTTACAATAGTAGTAATAATTTATTTTCCTTCGTACGTAAATTTATTTTTTTTTACATCGAGTCACTTATGCAATTAGAAAACGATATTTTTACACATCGAAGCACATTAATCTACAGGTGACGGTGAAGATCAGTGGGCTTTGGGTTCGAAAATGTTAACAACTTTGAGGAAATTTGTTTGAAAATTTCGAGGAAATGGTGGCCTTCTCTTACCCCTTAAGGGGAGTCTTGGCGGGGACAGTACAGTATTGTGGGAAATGAAAATTTAATAATTGGTCAAGCATTCAAGTTTCTCAATGAGAAAAGATAAAATTCTGGGGATAATACTTGGGAAATTAGTGGAAAATGGGTTCTAGAGGGAATAACTTGAAAAAGAAGTTGTATAGAAAGATTAAAATCTATTGAGTGTTTCTGTAGAATATTTTGTATTGTATGGAATATTATTATTGAAGAAGAGTCGATGATAGAGTTAGGGAGACAATTGGAATACGGTAGAAGCTTCTAGAAAATTTTTCGTACATGCGAAAAGAGAAGCTTCTCGATGCTTTTCAAGAAAGCTCGTTCGAAAATTCAGCCTCTAGGACATTCTGATCAATTTCGAGGTTTTTCTGCGATTTTCAGAATTTTATGGAACATTCTAGAATGTTCCCTTGCGAAAAATTGTTTGCTTGACCTTTGGATTTAGGAAATCTCTAGAACTTTCCGGATAATTCGGGAATTATTAAAATAATGATTGGAAAATATTCTTGAAATTTTTATTTTTTTTATTTTTTTTTAGAAAATTCTAGATTTTTCTTTAAAAATTGAGGATTTTTCCCATAATTCGAGAAAATTCAGGATCTTTCTGAAAAATATTTCGAGAAAAATTTCAGATATTCTTAAATATTTCAGTAAATTCTCCATTTTTTCAAAAAATGCGAGAAAATTGTCCAGGGGAAAAATAAAAAATAATTATTTTTACTGTTTTCCACCAGAAGCGAAACAAAATTCATAATTAAAAAATAATAATTAATAATTGCAAACAATTTAAAAAATCACTTTTATACAGCGAATATTAAAATTTATACTTATGAAATCCCCTGATTTATCAAAAATTTTGTATTCTTTCAGCTTCAGAATCGGGATCAGTGCCAGCGAAAGCTCGCCTGGGCACAGCAGGACAGAAACAAGTGACATTCAACAGAGTAACGACAGTAAAACACATAAAGAAGCCCGGAGTATTCAGCAGACTTGGGATTTGAGTGCTCAAGAATAACTACCTTTTTACGTGTTTTTTAAGTTATCTATTGTCCCCAATAAATCAATGATAGAATACCTGGAGGAATTTATTTTCATAAAAAAATCATTTTCATCTCTTCACGTGTTCCATTAACAAAATTAATTTCTCTGGTGATATTTCTATCAAAAATTTTTGATATTTGTACATAACAAAAATCGACATTTCTGCATTAATTCTTAAGATTCATCTCATCACGCTCATTTCATAGATTGTACGACTAAAATGTAGAATATGATCTAGGGTAAAATAAAATTGAAAGCTGTTATTCAGAATATTGTGTATTTTTTTTAATAATTTCAGTATTTTATCGTAATTACAGCATAACACACGTCACTATTCTTTTATAAAGACATTACCACAACTTACATGATAAAAAATATTAATTTCTCCTCCGATATCTGTAAATGTGGACAAATTAGAAAAATATTGTAGAAAGCACGCCCTCAAATGGAGAAATCTAATAATTATCACAGACAAATGATAAAAATGAGCAGTTCACTAATGCAGGATCGTTGAGAAAAATCATTCTGGAATGGATAGAGGCAGGATTTTTCATCGGTCAGATGAAAAAAAAATTTTACCATTTTTAGGAATTGAAAATAATATTGACGAGTGGTGGATGGTTGATAATTATTTTCACCTTTGGCTGCTGGAATCCCTGGAGCCGTTGACAACTCGATGGCTGAAACTTAAATGGCCGTTTGCAATGAGAAACTCATCTTCACATTTTTCAGTTAATAAAAATTGTCTCGAAGCATTTTTAGTTCAAAACAAATTGATGAAAAAATTTTGATTTTGATTTTTAAGTTGAAAGAAACAATTTCAGCAAATGAAAACTACTTTGACTCGAAGAATTAGAAAAATCATGGTGATACGTTCATACTCAACCTGTTTAAACAGCTGTTAACATATTTTCGTAACAAATATATGTTTTTTTAATTAAGAAAACGAATGGCTCCGAGACAAGCAATCCCAGCTTAGTGACAACTGTAAATATTCCAAAACAATGAATTTCAATATGTCAAGCGCTTGCGTCAAGTGATAATCATCCTCTCTGTTATTAAAATGAACCACATCCTGTGATTAAAAATACAATGTCCCAAATTTCAAAGTTCGTTCAGTGGAGTTCATTTTGATAAGAGAAACGATGACCCAACATGGTAAAATTGACGCCCACCTTTCACTTCAACATTATCGGTGCTTTCAATTCCATTACAAGGGGCACAATCGTTTATAATTCATCCATCTCCACCTAATACCCTGCAAAAGTAAAAACGTCCATAGAGTCTCGGAGGAGAAATCAATGTACAGAATATTTTATCGTAAAAAATGAAACAAATGCCTTAGATCGACGTCCATACCTTATCAAACAGCTTAGAGGCTACCTTAATTTATGTTTATAAATATTCGAATTGGCATGAACGAAAAAATTTCATAGGAAAACCTGGAGAATTCGATAGATAATTCTATTGAAAATTCCATTAATTTTTGAAAAAGGAGAATGTCATCATCTTTCTACTGACATTTTTTTCTCTTCACTGAAGAAATTGAACAAAAAAAAACTTTGAATTCGAAATCGAATTCTGTTCTATTTTCCCATAAAATCGCCCAAAAAAATTAAAAAAGCAATAGAATTTTCCTCCCAATCCCCCAGTTATTTCAATGAATGTTCCCCGCACCTCTGACACAATACAACTCAACAAAAACATTGAAAATAGCCTCAGCATTCAGTAATAAACCCCCAACAAAAATCAACGCTCCCCACACCCCTCAAGGGTCATCAGAGTTAATGCTGTTGAGATGGCAAATGGAGCAATACTCAAGTGAAATCTTCCCCGAATTAACGTGCAGACAAATCCCACTGCCATCAAGATTATCAAAAAGATTCTCCGGCTGTGGCTGCTCACTCCTGAACAAATCAATCCCATCGCTTCCATCGTTAGGCAGATCAAAAATATCAGTATCGAAGTCCCCCAACTGGCCAATGTCCACATCAGTTATCCCAAGCTGTGAATCTTCATTCGAATTAATAACATTGGGATTACCCACGAGGTCAACACCTCCCCTGAAGGAAGGATCACAATTGATGCCTTCAAAATTAAAGATATCATTAGTGACAATTCCATTCGAGTAACTGTGGTCAGACTCCACGGAGGACAGCAGAGTCTTGCTGGGCTTCTGATAAAATTCATTATCATTACCTGGTGCTGACGGCTCTGGCGAGGTCTTGGGGGTTCCCCCGAGGGCTGCCTGGGACCCTGGGAAGAGCTCCGAGTCCCAGTTGTCCTCCTCAGTCCTGCACTTGCTCCGCCTCAGGGACTCGTTCATCGTCCTCAAGAGGGTTGTGATGCTCGTGTTGTTGTTGATGATGCTCCTGAGGTAGGAGACCTCGGCGCTCAGTCTCTTCAGGTCAATCCCCTGCTGTTGCACGACATTGGCGAGGTTCTTGTTGGCCTTTCTGTAGTACGTCAGCTTCGTCTCGATGCTCTCCAGGTACTCCTTCTTCCTCTGACGATTCACCCGCGCCATCAGGGCATTTCTGTTGGTGCAGGGCCGCTTCGAGGGCCCCCGCCCTCGCTTTTTTCGAGGCTCCTGGGAGTTTGTCGAGGCTATGCTGGTGTCCCCTGACCTTGGGGGCTGGGAGAACTCCTCGGGGATGAAGTCCTCGTCGGTGGAGTGATCCTCGTACGATGAGTAACTCACTTTTCGCTTGCCAGTCATGGCTGGAAGTGTCTCGAAGTGTTTGGCAAGGGTTTTGGGGCGCGATAGGTTGACGTGGCTTCTGCCTCGGGAAATTGCGTTTTAACTCGAGGGAAGATGGAGGATGTCTGGGGTCTGAGGGGCCAGACCGTTACGGAAAACCCGAGAGAGGCGGGGCGCCATCATGGAAGGAGAGTGGGGTGCCAACGTACAAAAAAACGGGGTAAAGAGCTCATCGTAAAGCCAACGCGCCTGTGCAGAAGCGCGGAGTCTACTCTCCGCACTCTTCATTCACTCCATTTTCTTTCAATTCTGATAAACCGGCGATCAGTGTTTTATTTTTTAAGGGAAGAGTATTACATCGCCACATCATTATACGTAAAAAAAATAGGGGACACACTGGGATTGTAATAAACAATAATCATGGAGACGGAGGAGAGCGATCAAGACATCCTCAGCCGAATTTTGAGTGAAGCGGAGGTGGCACAGATCCCGGACGGCATTGCAACAAAATTGCGAACACATTTCAACGAAAACTTTGAGGAATTCATCACTGCTAAAGCTGTTTTTCAACATGGAAAGCAAAATTATGGTACGTGGGGCGGGGGAATGGCTAAATTAGTGCGCTTGGCTGAAGGTGGGGCATCCTAACCTCAGCGCGTCCACTCGTTTTTCTTCGTGATTGTTTTCTGTATTTTATTATGCTCCGGCATGGAAGATTATTTATTTCCAACGTTATTTCGATGGTTTTTCCATCTTCATGACCTTAAATATATCACAATTTCCAATGGATTTTACATCACGCAGGAGTCCCCGAAAATTGTGAATGTACAATCACAAAAAATGAGCATTTTCAGAGTATTTTCAATGAAGATTGGGAAATACGTCCGATGGAGAGGGAATTGTAAATGGATAATTCATCATGGCAACACCAATAAATTTGACTGCCATTGGAGACAGGAAATTATTAATTTACATTTTCTTCCCTATTGATTTTATTTCTTAATATTATTCAAAAATCCTCTTTGAAAATAAATAGTTATTTACAAGAAGCACTGAGTGAGGTGAATGTCAGAACAGTTGAATGTCAGTACTGAGGCATTTGGCGAGGTAATTACAAATGATTTTTGTACCTTGAAAATTTCGGGAAGAAATTAGATCATCAGATCACTATAAAAATGGCATCTAATAATGAGATGTGAAAGACCGTACGTTTCCTTCATTTTAAAGGTCTTTTTGACTTAACAATTATAATTTTTCTAGAATCCTGGTCTATACGAAACTAAATCAGTAGCGAAGCGGTAAACCCGGTGAAGTCGTTTTTTACTATTGGCTAGTTTTTGACGAATATCTCGGAATCTAAAAGGGATAGAAAGATTTTTGTCATGACCTTTTTTGTAGAGCCAATAGAGCGTTATAAAAAAAGTCATGAGAAAAATTTTGCTATCTCTCTTAGATTCCGAGATATTCAGCAAAAACTGGCTAATAGTCAAAATCGACTTGACTCGGTTTACCGCTTCACTACTGAAATGGCAGCTGAAGATTTCAAATAATGAAATTAACGAAAAATGAAAAAATATAAAAAACCTATAGCCCAAAAATCGTTTAGGGGAGGGTGGGGTAAAATGGACACTTGAGACTTTTTACAAATAATTTATAACTCAGAAACGAATTTATGAATTGAGCTCAGTTTAGGCTCGTCACAAAGGGAAAGACTTGTTCTTTGTACTGAAAAAAAAAATGATTAAATTTCATCAACATTTTAACCCCTCATTAATATTTAAAAAAAAGTCAAAAGTGTCCGTTTTACCCCACCCTCCCCTATTCATCAATATAATTGTTCCCAATTTGCAACAGAACGTGAAAATGTCCTCAATTTCCAGAGAAAAAAATTGAGAAACTGGAAAAAGACTGTCAAGCCCATCAGCAGGACTTGGATGAATGCAAAGGAAAGCTGGAGATGGCCGAGAGCTACGTCACCGCCCTCCAAGCCAAGCTCGACGAGGAGAAGGGAGAGATCCACAAGCTCCAAGAGTCCCTGAAGCACATCCAAAAGGAGAATTCCGATTTCCGACGCCAGCGAGACGCAGCAGTGGACGAGCGTGACACACTGCAGCTGCAGGCCGAGCGCCGAGACCACGAGGTGGAGCGCCTCCACACCGAGGTGAATTCTCTGTCCAGCCAGTTGCAGTCAGCAGTGGCAGCTAAATGCCATGCACAAGCAGAGTCCGAGGAGATAAAGAGCCAAGAGCTGAATCTGGTGTACAAGGAGAAGCGCCTGGAGCAGGAGAGGAGCCTCATCACCCAGCAAATGAGCTCCTTGGAGATAGAGCTGGCGAAGAAGACGTCAGAACTCCAGGCGACAAGATCAGAGGCATCAGCAAGGAGTCTCCTGACCGAGACTCGTCTTTCCCAGCTGGAGGAGGAATTGAGAATTTCAAACGACACTTTAATCCAACTGCGAGAGGTCAACGCAAACTTCCAGAAGAGGTGCGACGAGTTGACCCAGAAATTGGAGGAGCAGAGGAACCACGAGCTGTCGATGCACTCGTCTTACAGAGAGGAAATTGGTGCGCAGACGAGGCTGGCTGATTTGTACAAGGGAATGGCTGAGGAGGCCAATGCCAAAGCCGAGGAGTACACGAATGCTGTGAAGGAGCTCCAGACGATCGTCGAACAGGCGACTGAGCAGTATGGAAGCCTGGAGACAGAGTTCGCCCAATTTCGATTAGAGCACGACGAGATTCTGTTGGTGAAGACAACGAGGATCGAGGAGTTGTCTGGAGAGTTGGAAAAGGCCAACGAGTTGCTGGGCAGTTTGAAGCAGGAGAGACTGGACCAGGCGGTGGAGCAGCTGGCCCCAACAGCAGCCATCACCAGTAGAATTCTGAAGAAGGGTCTCAGCCTGACCCAGATTTACACGAAACTCGTGGACACTGTTAACGAGCTGACAGTCGAGAAGGAGGAGAACGACAAGCTGAAGGCCCAGATGGAAGTGATCCTGAAGGAGATTGAGGACAAGGCCCCAGTGCTCCAACGCCAGAGGATCGACTACGAGGCGGCGGTGGCCAATGTTGAGACCCTGTCGAGTCGACTGGACGAGCTTCTGATGGAGAACACTCGCCTCCAGGAGACTGCTGACGAGGCAACGAGGATATCCAGCCACCAGAGTCGAGAGAACCAACGACTGAAGACAGAGCTGGCTGATCTGGCTCGACAAGTCTGCTATCTTTTGAAGGAGGTCCAGGAGAGCAGAACTGGATCAAGACTCGCCACTGGGGACGAGCCCACCCCCATGGAGACCGACCTGGCGTCTTCCCAGCTCATCAGCAAAAGGCTGGTGACATTCCGAGACATCGAGGAGCTCCAGGAGAACAACCAGAAGCTGCTGTCAATCGTTCGAGCGTTGTCCTCGAGGCAGGAGGAAATCGAGCGCTCCCACGACGAGCTGCAGTCTGGAGAGCTGAAGGAGAAATTGGCTAGGTACTTGGAGCAGTTGAGCGAGATGCAGGCAGCCCAGGACAGGCAGAGCAAAATGCTGGAGGGGTTGATGAGACAGCGGGACATGTACAAGAGAATGTACCAGCAGGCCTCCAACCAGAGTCCAGGACAGGCGAGAGACCAAGAAGAACAGGCACTCTCTCAACAGGACTCTGAAGGCAACTCTGAGGATCCCCTCAAGTCCAGCTCTGAACAGTCTGAGAAATCCCTGCAGGAGAACAAAGACAGGATCGAAGAGCTCGAGGACAAGCTGTCTGATGCTGAGATCAAGCTGAAAGCCATCAGCGATGAGTACTCCACTTACAAAAAGGAGAAGGCAGCTCACGAGAAGATGCTGGGAGATGAAGTTGAGCGTCTCAGGAAGGAGGCAGACACCAATTCCACCAGGTGCTGTCGTCTCAAGGCTCAGCTGGACTCCTCCCAGGAGCGCTTCAACCTGCTGCAGTCCAACGTAGCGACCTACAAGTCCCAGATAAAAGCACTCGAGGACAGATGTGCGAATTACAGCACGACAATTGGCAAGCACGAGCAGAGCATCATGCTGCTGAAGGACGAGACGCTGTCGGCGCAGTCGAAGCTGTCTCGTGCTGAGGTCCAGCTTGAGAACCTCAGGCAGGAGAGGCAGCACCTGAGGGACAACGAGGGGCGTCTGCTGAAGGAACGAGAAATGCTGCACAGGGAGAGGCAGACCCAGGCACTTCTCAAGGCCGACGTCGAGTCCATAAAAGCCAGTTTGGAGAGGGCACAGGCTGAGGGACAACTGAGGACCGAAGTGAGGCTGGACGATGCCAACAGGGAGTGCGCTGCACTGAGACGACGTCTGCAGGAGGAGCAGGACAGATTTAGGGAGCTGTCGTCTCACCTCGAGCGACAGCTGTCGACGGCGCAGGAGAGGCTGGCGGAGGAGCAGAGTCTTGGGGAGCGGCTCAAGGCTGAGCTCGACGAGGCGAGGGCAGCGCAGGGGAGTGGGGAGCGCAAGGTGGAGGAGTTGGAGGCCAAACTCAGGGAGGCGATCAGCCAGTCACGAAGTAAACCCATCACTGGCGATGAGAATCTTGCGAAACGTCTTCAGGAGTTGGAGCTGCAGCTGGCTGGGGCCAATGCGGAAATTCGCTCGTTGGTGGAGCAGCTGAAGACTGCGAGACAGCAGAATCAGCAGTACAGCGACATTGCTGACAGCACGGAGACGCAGTTGAAGGAGATCACTGAGCAGTACCAGAGGCAGGTGAGGGAGCTGGAGGGGGCTCTAGAGGCTGCTAGGAACGAGGCTGGAGGTCTCAACAGGCGACTGAAGCAGTTGGAGAGCGAACTGGTGCAGTCGCAGAGTGGCCAGCAGGTCACTGACTCGGAATTGAGGGAGAGACTCTCCTCTGCTGAGGCCAAGGTCGAGGAGCTGGACGAGGTGAAGGGGGAGCTCGAGCTGCTGAAGAGTGATCTGCAGGCTGCGACGCAGGCGGCACACGAGGCTGAGGAGAAATACGCCAGGGAGATGATGCTCCACTCCAACGACCTCCAGGCACTTGCCAAACTGCGAAGTGACACTGAGAACATCTCCAAGACTGTCAGTGATTTGACGCAGGCCAGAGACGCCGCTGTTGCTGCTCTGGAGGCTGAGAAGTCCTTCAGCCTGGAACGAGAGAAGAAACTCAAGGCTGACGTCGAGGAGATGGAGAGGAGGATCGACGACCTCGACAAGCAGAATGGACTTCTTCATAGTCAGATTCAGGAGTTGAGCGATAAAACAGCTATCATGCAGAGCAGCAGGACGTCCCTTGGGGGCGAGCAGGAGGCCATGGACACGAGTCTCGAGAACAGGAGCTTCGTGGGGGAGGAGGACTCCAAATCCACCGATCAACTCCTCAAAATCATCAAATACCTGAGGAGGGAGAAGGACCTTGCTGTCACGAAGCTCGATGTTCTTCGTGCTGAGAACATGAGGCTCAAGTCCCAGGTGGAGAATTTGGAGAAGAGGGTCAAGGAGGCTGAGGAGGCGGTGAATTCCCAGAGGGAAAAATCGGATATCGACGTTGCCACCACTTCGAAGCATGCTGAACTCCTCAGGAAGGTGGAGACACTCAATGCCATTGCTGACTCCAACAGATTCCTTCGTGAGGAGAGGGACTCACTGTCAGTCAAAGTCACAGAGTTGTCCTCGCAAATATCGATACTGTCCGAGGAGGTGGTGCCACTGAGGGAGCAAGCGAGAGACTTCACAGCGAAGACTGAGCTGCTGTCCCAGGAGAATGCTGGACTGAGGAGTGAAGCCATGAGGTGGAGGCAGCGTGCCAATGCCCTGGTGGAGCGAGCCAACAAGGCCAGCCCCGAGGACTGGAGGAGGCTCCAGACAGAGCGTGAGAATCTCAGCAAATTGCTGACTTCAGAGCGCGAGATTCACGCCAAGAAGATGGAGGAGTTCAACGCCCTGAAGGGGGAGAAGGCGAAATTGGAGGAGCAGATCGTCCAGTTGAACAGGCAGATCCAGACTCATGGGGAGGAGGCAACGAAGGCCAGCGAGGAGGCACGCAAGCTCGGCCAAGACCTCAGCGAGGCCCTGGCAGACTCGACATCAAAGTCCAACGACCTGGCGTCCTTGAAGAAGGAGTTGGACAGCAAGGAGGCTGTCCTCAACGACATCAAGAACAAGGAGCTCCAGATAAGGAAGATTGCTAAGAAGTACAAGATGCAGTACGAGGAGCTGGCGAATCGCAAAGCTGAGGAGGTGCCACCAGCGGCGAACCCTGAGGAGGTTCAGGCGACTCAGGAGAGGGAGGAGCTGCTGCGTGAGGAGGGGCGCAGGGAGATTCGCCAGAGGATCACCGAGCTGGAGGGCCAGATCGAGGAGCTGACGACAACGGTCACCACACTACGTGAGGAGGCCGAGGGGCTCAGAAGGGACATTGAGAATTTAAACAGAACGAGCTCTGAGAAGGAGGAGAGGACTACGAGGCTGCTGAAAACAGCCAAGACTAGGATAATGCAGTTGACTGAGTCCAAGTCCAAGTGTGAGAGGGAGCTCACTGACCTGAAGGAGAGAATGGACTCAATGTCGAATGACAACGAGCAGAGCGAGCAGAATGCCAGACTGGTGGCGATAAAGTCGCAGCTTGAGGGGAGGGTCTCTCGGCTGGAGCACGAGAAGGCTGAGATAAATTCTGAAAAGGAGACCCTTCTGCAGAGGGTGGGGCAGCTGCAGAGGCAGCTGTCAGCTGGGGTCAGTGGAGTCTCGGCGACCAGTGAGCCACCAACTGCCAATATCAAGCCGATGGCGTCGGCGAGGGCTGAGACACCTCTTGCCAGCATCAGACCGTTGAATGTTCAGACGAGAACAGCTGCTGTTCTACCCACGACTGCGAGCAATCCAGTGCTGGTGGCCCCTCAGCAGCAGCAGCAGCAGCAGGTGGTGCACACCACTGAGACGAGCTCCCCCACCAGCAGTCACACCGATTATCAACCGAGCACGAGCACTTCGGTCTCCCAGGCCGGGCAGTCGAGCCTGAGGCAGCTTGCTGTGCAGCCCCAGCTGAGCGAGTCTGCTGAGTCCACCCAGAGGGAGGAGTCTGAGAATTCCGATAATGGGCAGCAGGTGCAGCAGCCCCAACCGCAGCAGCAGCAGCAGAGCTGCCAGAATCAGCAGAGCCAGCAGCAGCAGGGGCCGAGCCAGCAGACGGTGCAGGGTCAGGATCACCAGCAGCCTCCGCAGACGGTGGCCCTGGTCAGCCCAAGGATTGAGCAGCAGAGCCTCCAGCAGACCCAGCAGACCCCTGGGGACCAGCAGCAGACCATTCCCAGTAGCTCGACGCAGTCTGTCAGCACCTCCCAGAGCTCGGGGCACAAGAGGCCCAGGACCCTGGAGTCCCCTGCCTCGGGGTCAGGAGTGGTCGAGGGCACAGACTTGAGGACCGACCAGCCCAGCCCCAAAGCCAAGAGGATCCGCACGCAGGAGATGCCCACTGCCACCAGTGGGTCTGAGGTCGAGTACCAGGTGCCCACGTCGAGCCAACGAGACCAGGACGAGGAGGCTGAGGACGAGTGCGTCGTTGTGGATTGCGACGAGGGTGGTGGGCACAATCAGGCCCCCGAGGAAGAGGAGTTCGATAATGATCCTTACGGTGAGATGGAGGAGGACGAGGAGGACGAAGAGGAGGAGGAGGAGGAGCTGCCCTACGGTGTCGAGGAGGAGGTCGAGGGTGACAACAACGAGGTGGAGATAATGGAGGAGGACTCCAGGAGTGTTCAGGTGCCCAGGCAAGCCCAGCAGGCCATTCCCACCGGTCAACCCCAGCAGCAACAGCAGCAGCAGCAACAGCAGCAGTCTGAGGCCATCAGCAGTGCTGGGCCCACTGGCGAGCCCCCGACGTTCGCCTCGAGGTCTTCCAGGGGGATAGCCCCAATGCCACGACAGCAGCAGCACTTCCTCCTCCCTCAGCAGGGGTATGAGGATGGGGGGGACGACAGCATTGTCCCCAGCACTCCGACACTGTTCGTTCCTCGAAGGGGCGATGGGTTTGGCGAGGCTGTGAGCTCCCCTCAGGTGCCTCAGGGTCGATTCACCTTTGGGGACTCGGCGCCCTCGTCAACTCCATCAGTCACGCCCACTGGTGGCGCCACTGTCAGGACCATGTTCGATGCCTCCGGCTCTGGGGTGGCTCAGGTCGTTCAGGAGGGCATGGACGACACCAGGATGGACTTAACGCAGTTGGAGGATGGGGGCACTGGGCGAAGTGTGCCGACTACGCCTCTGCAGGTATCACCAGCTGCTGATATTCCACCTTCGACCTCTGGGGGCCAGATGGAGGAGCACGAGGCACCTGTGACGGGATCCTCCGCTATTCCTGGGTCTGATCAGGGTGTCGAGGGAACTGCTGTTCCCAGCATTCGTGTCACTGATGAACAGGAGAGTGAACTCATGGAGGCTGTCTCAGGGTCGAGTACTGCACCTGGGGTCAGCTCTGATGGCGTCAGCTCTGAGAGCGATCAGCAGACCAATGATCCGTCGGGATGTGGCACTGGGGGCTCGGTCGATGAGGATTCGGTGGAGGGCCCTGGTGACGAGGGCGAGGGCGACGAGGAGGAGGGACGGGAGGCTGAGGCCTCACCGTCCAGCAATGTCAGGCAGAGGAATACTGTCACTGCTGGGGTCAATGCTGCTAATATCATCTCTCCGGAGGAGACCAGGGGGGCTGTCACCAGGAGGTCGGCCAGGGCTGCGGCCCAGCAGTACAGGGGCAACCCCAGGGGCACCAGGACACCCATCACCTGGGGGAGTCAGGGGCCTGCGGGACAGACTTCCATGAGGGGAGTTCCGACGAGGGGGACTGCTATTGATGGAACGCGCGGCAGGAGCCCCAGGGGCAGGAGGGCTAGGCCTAAGTACCCATTCCCCAGATATTAGGGAAAATAGGGAGTCGGGGTAAAATGGAGGGGGGGCGATTGATTAAGGAGGACGTTTGAGGGCGTTTGGTTTTTTTATTCTTGAAGATTATATTTTCTTATTGGTTCTTTTAATTTTTTGCGTATTTTTTAGAGTGAAACGGTTTTGATTAGTAGGAATTTTGGGGGTTTAGAGATGAGATGGAAGAGGGGAAAATGCGGATTATTTGAAGGAAATGCACAAATATTTTCGGCTCTGATGACATTAATTTGATTTGAAACAAATGTCGGGGGCAATTTTTCTGAGATTAATTCGTTTCATAAGTAAATTACAGTAGTGGATTTTTTTGTGATGAGAGATCCAAAAATATTCGTCTTTTTTTTATTCTTGAAGATATTGTTTTCTTATTGAATTTTTTAATATTCTTCATATTTTTCCGAGCGTGAAACGGTTTTGATTATGAGAAATTGTAGAGGGATGTCAAGAGACGAAAGAGAAGAGATGAAAATGCTGATTATTTAAAGGAAATGCACAAAGATTTTCGACTCTGATGACATTAATTTGATTTGAATCAACTGTTTTCTGGAGAAATTTTTTCTGAGATGAATTCATTTCAAAATATCCATGTTTTTCGAAAACAAAATGAATAAGAAATAATAACAAATATTGTGGCACGTGGATATTACTAAAATGAGACCAAATTCGTCTAGCAACATGTGTGATGATTTGGCACGGTCCATTTTACCCCACCCACCTCTATTCATAGACTTTTTTACGAATAGGCATAAGTTTTTGACATTTGACAAAGTTTTCTCAATTACCTTCCATTCCAATTCACGGCTTTTCATTTCAATTTTTCTTTTTTTTTCATGTTTAAAGAGATTTTCGTCTCAGGTAATAAGATACTGCGCATTTATTACGACTATTATTATTATTCTTGTGAGATTTTCCATTCAGTGGGGAGAATTCATGGTAAATGTAGAGTGAGGAGGATTAGATTTGAGAAGTGAATAAACCACGTGTATATAAAGAGAAATGTCTGTGTTCGTTTGATTGAGCAATCCTTTCCCTAGATTTTCCTTGAAAAAATCGTAAAACGGTAAATAGTAAATAGGTATATCTTCAAAAAAAAATTTCTAAGATTGTCTCTATATTTTCCATAGATAATGTTTATAATATTCCCCAGCGATTGAAAAAAATTCTAAGCTAGACGTTTGAGGTGACAGAGTTTTGAGTTCTTTGATTTTTCATCGAGACATCAAAGTTTATCCATATTTTTTCATTTAGGAGGAAAAAACTTGCGACAAAACTTGCAGAATTCACAACAGAAATGACATTTTTGTCGAACGTGAGTCATCAATGAAAATGATGGACTTGAGATGGGGAAAAAGATGAAATATCAACGATTGTCTCTATATTTTTCATAGATAATGTTTATAATATTCCCCAGGTATTGAAAAAAATTCTATTCTAGACGTTTGAGGTGACAGAGTTTTGAGTTCTTTGATTTTTCGTCAATAAATCAAAGTTTATCCATATTTTTTTCTTTTATGAGGAAAAAACTCGCGACAAAACTTGCAGAATTCACAACAGAAATGACATTTTGTCGAACGTGAGTCATCAATGAAAATGATGGATTTGAGGGGGAAAAAAATAAAATATCAAGTAATTAAAAAATCGTTATCTTCCTTAATTAATAATTCATATTCTGCATAAATATCTAATCATAAATACAAACGACGATGTAATAAATAAGATGAACAATGACAATACAAATTCTCTTATGAAATGCGTTTTGCTGGCAAGAAACATGCGAAAAATAGAAAAATAAATGAATAAATAAAAATTAGTCACTCATTCCCATCATTCACAAATAACATAATGATCGGGGAAATATTCCATTGAAATAAAATTCCTAAATTCTCGCGTCCAAAATGTGATGAAAAAAAAATCGAAGGAATTGTTAAGACATCCGTAAACTCATTTTTAACTCAACGATAAAGCGCCAGGCGCCGACAAATTCTCCATGGCAATGTGCCAAAAATATTATTCTATCTCTGATTTCTCCTGTGTAATTCTGTTAACACTGAAAATTCTTAGACACCTGAAAGCCATTCTCATTCCTCAACGCGATGCATTCACACACCAGCCTCCCAGCAATCTTCGCAATTTACTTTCATATAATACCTGATATGTCCGAATGTTGAAGTGGAAATACAAGTTTTTTCAATTAAAAAACTAATTACTAGAGACTCACAGCCGATAATGAATCCGGTGAATTAAATCCCGATTGGTATTCGAATAGATCCGAAATTACTGGGTTTACAGGGAAAAATGATGAGACATTTTTTGTAGAGAATTTCCTCAGCTACAAAAAAGGTTCAATGTGTTTTTTCCTTAAACCCAGTCAGCGGCGAAGCGTTGAAACGGTTCAAGTGGATTTTTAATATTGGCTATTTTCAGGGGATAGCCCGGAATCTAGGGGAGATGGCAAAATTTTTGTTGAGACCTTTTTTGTAGAGCGAGTTAAGGACTATAAAAAAGGTCATTACGAAAATTTCGTCATCTCGCTTAGAAATACAAAGTTATCATTTTTTTAAATATTCGTTGTTTACGGGATAAATAGTTAAAATTGTTTAAACTTTTGGAAACCTTATTTGTCGGGCATGAAATCGATTTCTGTTAAAATTCTGAATGTGAATAAATTTGTTACGATTTTAAACAAATGATTTTTCCAACGAAAAATTGATTGTTCCTAAATTATTCACAGAAAATGCCCGTACCTTTCAAAAACTGCACTTTCTAAATAATTCCACCAATCTCCCTCCAAAACTAAACTCAAATTTTTCTCACATTTTTAAAATGCTTTAAAACGCATCCATATCGATCTTGAAATTCAGCCCACGAAACTTTAAACAACAGAACCAATCTAAAACCCCCGAAAACTTATCATCAAATCGGGCTCAACCGAAACCTTGGACTCGAAAATCAGAGAACCATCCCCCAGGAAAAAAAATAGCCGAAGCACGAGGGCCTCCCCAAACCGTTTCCCGTGCCGCCCCTTCCTCCCCCGAAATCCCCCCGAAGACGTTCACCTCGTCCACTAATTCCATTTGCTCACCAGCCCTCACCCGCACCCCTCCCTCCGCAATTAGCTATTCGAGTCATCGTAAAGCGAGATGTTCGGTTTGAGCAGTTCAAGCTGATCGCGATACGTCTTATTAGCGGATCGGCATTCGCACGAGGTGTGCTGCTCGACCGTGATCCTGACGAACTGCTTGGGGCCCTGGACCTCCTGCTTGAATATCTCGATCTCCTCCTGGGCATGAGTCTTGGGCAGACACGTGAGTGCTGGTGACTCGCAGCAGCCGGCGTGTCCATCGCAGCGTTGCACCACCAGATAAGCCGGCGTTATCGTCGGGAAAGACGCCGGGGGTATGTGCCCCTGCTCATGAAGCAGATCCAGAATGTGATAGGTCCTGTTCTGCGGGCCCTTGCAGGTGAACCCCCTGCACCTCTTCATGGCCTCCAGCCGGAAGACCCTCTCCAGCACATTCGCTTTCCTTCCCTTCGGCGCTGCCACTGTCCTCCCCAACACCTCCACCGTGTTGCCCATGGCCACCAGAATAATCAACAGAACTCCCGCACTCGAGACGCCTTGCGAATATCTCTTCATCGGCATTTTGCCTCCCCGATTTTTATCGTAATATTTACTGTAATATTGAAGCGCAATCCACAGCGAATTCTATTCGAATTCTGCCCGCTGTTCAACGGATTCAGATCGAGACTGAGAATTTCCTGAAGGCAGACGAGTATTTATACAACTTGATATTCACTTCCCCCGCGCTTCGGTTTATCTGGGTTCGAACCGGTACGGCCGTACGCCGGCCGTGTACTCACGTAGGATAAAATCTAATGATTTTATTTTTCGTTGCAAAGAACAATTCTTTCCCTTTGCGATGAGCCTAAACTGAGCTCAATTGATGAATTTGTTTCTGAGTTATGAGTAATTAAAACAGAAGTCTAAAGTGTGCGTTTTACCCCATTCTACATGATATTCGGATGCTTCTATACGGATATTTTTTATACAAATTATTTTGATACGATTTCTGCAGGTTTGATCCTATACGATCCACTGTCGCATGTATAGAAACATTTCTGTTGGAATTATTATATGAGTGAGACGTAGATGAAGGTAAAGCCATCTCTAATGAGTTCATTTTTCTTGGTATGGATTGTATGTTTAATAACACCGGAGTCAGAGTGTTTATAAGAATTTTGTTTAGTCTCAGTAGAGTGGAGGAGTGGGATGAATGCCTCTTTATGGATCAGATTTTTGACCAGAGTTCGTTACCAATTTCTTTGTGTCGAATCAGTCTCTAGGAGAGCTTTGAAGAGTAAAGACGTGCCCTCATTAATAAAACCAGTTAAATTCAAATAATCAATCACGAGTGTTTTCATTTATCGCCATAATCCTAATAATTTCGTATTCGCGGGATCAGGGAGGTGTTGTATATTATGAGTTGCTCGAACCCTCTCAAAGTATTAATGAAGAAGTTTACCGACGACAACTACTAATGTGTTTGAAGCGAGCCATAGAAGAAAAACGACCAGAATGGGTGAATAGGCACAGTAAATTAATTCTTCAACATGACAATGCCAAACCGTATACCGCCCAAGTTGTGAAAAGATATTTAGATGGACAGGACTGGGAAGTGCTACTCGATCCGCCATATTCGCCAGACATAGCTCCTTCAGATTACCGCTCATTCCGAACAGCAGTCAGATCTTACGGGAGAACGGTTCACTTCATACGAAAGTATCAAATTTTGGCTTGATAATTCGATCAGCTCAAAAGNGGCATACTTTGAATAAACTTTTCTTTAATTTTCTAAACAAGCAAATGTCATAATATGAATTCACACACCCAATATAATATATTATAATTATATTGTGTTATATATAATATATTATAATTATATTGTATTATATATAATATATTATAGTATATATACTATACTATAATATATTAATTTTTTGAAATTCATTTTATTAATTAAAAATTAATAAAATTAACTACTAAATTTATGTATAGAAATAATTCGTATAGAAAATAGCTATACGATTTTTTCATACGTGCTAAAGGTTTGTCATTTAGATGTGTGAGAAACCCAAGGGGTTCAGCATTTTCCGCCTTGCCGGGATTATTTATTATTATTTTGGCGGGTGACGACAGTGAATTGGGCGGTGGTGGAGAAGTGAGATCAATCGTCATTGCGGTTTAACAGATGCCGGGGAATATCCAGATGCGGAGGATTCTTCCCGGTGGATGGAGGGAAGTCGATGAGGCGGGTCAGGTGAGTCAGTGGACTCATGTGAAAACAGTAATTGACATAAAAAATTAATTCTTTCGAACGTTATTGGAATATCTCACGTGTGAATTAATCGCGTAGAATTTTTCTGTACGGATTGCGTATAGAAATTCTATAGGATTTCCGTAGGATTTCATAACATAATTCCATACATAAAATATATTATTTCCAGAATTTTTTAATGAAAAAATTGTCAATCTAAGATATTTCTTCATTTTATTTGGGATATTCTCTGCAAAAATTCCTAGACATTAATTTTTCATGATTGTTGTCTCTCACTGTGAAGAGAAATTGTTGAGAATGAGTCACTGAAGATATCAGGTGATCGGTCGCGTCCAATCTTTCTTCGACATATTTGCAGACGATTTTATCGTTATTGATCATCTTCGTTGTCTGGGCGAATCTTCGAGACTTGATCAGGGTGACTCATTAGAAATCCTATTAAATTGCAGAATGACACTCTCCCCTGTTCAATGTTGAAGCCTTGAGATAATAAATTCCTGGAAAACCTGATACCGAAATTTAATTCATCTTCCACCTTATCGAACTTCACTAGATGTCCAAAAATTTCTGCGTGTGAAATGATTACTTCGGGTTGATAATCCAGGCGAATATTTCTACGTCAAAAATTGACGAAATTTGACAGAATTCGATATTTTTTAGCAAAATTTAACGGAATCTGATGATTCGATTTCCACGAGGGCTGTGAAATGAATGGGCTGGACTGTATGAATAAATGCCTGAATCCCAAGTAAAGTAGTTCATTAAATTGTATATTTTTTAATGCATCCAACTCTAATTTTTCTATTTTTTTTAATTCTCTAAATTAAAAAAAAAAATCTCTTTTTTTTCAATTATATTTTTTTAATTTTTTTTTTAATTTGAGTTTTTTTCAATTATATTTGAGTTCTCGTTTGTGTAATTAACCAAGGAATTTCTCGGTGGTTCATTGGAACAATTTTTAGTATGAAAAAGTACCAGCGAAATCAGATGCTCTCTATAGATGGTACAAGCGTCAACCTGTGAATGCGTGAATTTTCCTAGCATCGCATGTCCACATCACATTTGGAGATGAAGCAATGAACGAAATTACCATATCAAGCTTAATACGCGGTTGATGAGTATGTCCTTTGGTGGAATGTAATGTCCTCTAACAAGTGGGAAATTGCTTTCGTCACAACATAGTCAATATATTTTTGCTAATAGATTAACGATTTTCTTTCGAATGGAATTTCTATGGCGATGTATTTTCAATTTTAAATGTAACTTGATCCACAAAATCTATTTAAATTCTTCATAAATCCTTTAGTTGGTGAGGCAGTTGTTAAGATCTGTTCTTTGGCTTTTTAGAATATATTTTTTTAAATATTAAATCCGTTGTATATCTTCATGTTTTATCTTTTCAAAAGTCGTTATCGTTTTTTTAAGTCATCATTATTTCAATGTTGGCAGCCGACGTTGCCCCAACATTGGCAGCCAACATCACGTTAACGTTGGGAACTAACATTACGTTAACGTTAGAAAAATGGTAAAAACAACTAATGTTGGGGCAATGTTGGCTGCCAACGTTGAGGCAATGTTGGCTGCCAACCTTGCGCCAACATTAAAAAATTTTACAATTTTTTTCAACGAAAAATGAAAAGTTCGAATTTGACGAAGACAATACTTCCATTCGAAAACAAAAAAGCTCCAACTAATCAGGATATCGATCATAATAGAAAGAAATCACAGCTGAAAAAATCCCTATCTAATAACGATTTGTCAATCGATGAGTTGAATTGAAAATAAATACAGCGTTTTCGTAATTTATTTCGAATTCAAACACTCGTCAGTACAAAAAAAACAAACGAAAAATTCACGGAAAAATCACCTGAACTAATGATCAATTAATTGAACAATCGAATAATCCAACGGTGCAGTTTCTCATTCTATTTCATGTTGATAATTATTCAGCAGTGATTCAACGAGGAAAAACACTCCCGTAATTAAGAAAATTTCGATCTGAAACTACCGCACGCTTGCTGTCGCATACAGCAGTAGTACGTAAGCACGTCTAGGACTCAATCAATCTCAATCATAATGATTGCTTAACATCCTCGTCGACTGATATGACTCACAACTCGAGTTGACACCTCAAAACTGCGTCAATTGTCTCTACTATTGTGACTGAGGGAATGATAATGAATCTATGTTTGGATTTCACCGTTCGGAAGTGCATGGAGGAAGGAGGAAAATCGCTGATAATCTAATTCATCAACTTGGTGTAGGTGAATTCATTAGGAGGAATAGTTCGCATTCTCGGGAATTACTGTGGATTTCGCGGAGTCTTATAAATATGATTGGGTGAATCAAATGCGAAAATGTTGAGATGTTTTCCTTCCTGCGCGCGGCATTACATTTTCTGATTTTTTCACTTTCATGACTGGAACAGGAATTTAGTTTTATCATTCGATTCTAATAGTTCTAATACTCATAATCATGGCTGTGAAAGCCTCAAAACTATGAATATGAATTCCCTCAGGGGATGATCCAAAATTATTTAGCAGTAGCAAAGGATTTTTTAACAAATCCTTTTCATTATTTGTATCTGAGCTTTTTTGTATATTGATCCTTTAGATTATCAAAAATTTTGTCTAAATAATTTTTTTGATTTTAAACCACACTCTTTGACGAATATGCGTAAAATAATTGAAAAATTTCCATTTCCTGATAATTGTCAGCATTTAATTACTCAATCCCTATTTTTTAACAAAAAAAATTAATTCTTTCAATGGATTTTTTTATTTTAAATCATTGGGAAACATTTTAAAAATGCAGAAAAAATTAGAAAGTCTACTTCGTGGGGAATATTTATAAAATAATTGAATATTTTATATCCCTATTTTTTAACAAAAGAATTGAATTTTATAAATCAATTTTTATGTTAAAGGAGTAGGAAACAGTTAAAAACTGCAGAAAAAAATAGAAAGTTTACCTTTAGGGGAATTTATTTTTAAAAGAATTGAAACGTTTTCATTTTTATATAATTTCTATCATTTAATTTTTCATTCTAAGCCATTGAGAAACATTTAAAAAATATTTTTTTTTAATTAAAAAGTCTACTTTCTGAGAAACATTTATAAAATAATTTAAAAATTTCCATTTTCTCATAATTTTCATAATTCAATCACTCGATCCACATTTTTTGACAGAAAAAAGTCGATAGATTCTAATTTTTCAATCCAATTTACTCCTGCGGGCACGAATGCTCCAAATTTTTTCCTTTGATGTCGCAAGGTGAGGAAAAAAAAGCAGCGGAAAAATCGCAGAAAATTCGCGAGAGATAACTCATACAGAAAAAAACAAAATGAGTGCCTATTTGGAAAAAATGAAGACCTCGACTGAAACATTTTGCTCGTATGAATGACGATTTTTAAAGAAAAATCGTTGAATTGATTTTCATCCACAATTTTTTGTGCTACGATAAAACGCCTTGATTGACAACAAACCTGATTACCGCGCAGTCGGTGGCGCCGGGAATCCTAGAAGCGGAAATAATTATTGAAAACTGTCGTGCCTTATGATATTTCCAAAGGATATAATTCAAACGTCACTTGATCAATCCCCTGACAGGTGAGCTATGCGGCTTACCTGCCTTAAACATTAGTATTGATTATTCTGTCGTAATCCCTCGGTTAGCGCTGCAGTATTCAGCGTCATAAGAAAACGAACGCTATTTATAGTGAGAAGAAATAGAAAAACTAGATATTATGACGTGAGTAACACGCATCGAGTCTCCATGAATAAAGTTGTGCAAGAGAATGGGAATTGCACGATCCCGTCCGGCAACTGATACAACGATATTTGACTGTGTGATGAATATCATTTTCCATGCGCAAATAAAAATTAAAAGGATAAGAAATGTCGCGCATCTGTTTCGCGTCCCCCGAGAGAAATTTGTAGGGCCTCATTAGAGCCTCGTTGGTATGACCCTCACTTATGACGTACGCTGCGGTCTCAGACCTGGGATTTCTCGGAGAGAAGGATGAAAATAGTTTTTAAAAATGGTCTTATGTAATCCTCCTGTACATGCATTATCCTCATAAATGGTTCGAGATCTGTGGTTCAATACGTGTGGGACTGGATTTCGAAAGAAAAATTCTTCATTCTATAAATCAGCCCATGGGGATTCCCAAAATCCCACATTGAGATTTATTTATCTTTACTTCCAGTGAATGGAATTTTTTGTCGTCGAGAATATGATCATCACCTCTGTGCGATTAAAAATTCACTATGTAAGAGGAGCAATTTTTTAATGAATACTGAATAGTCTCAGGATTTTCATCTCGACCCATCAGTTTTGGTGATTTTTGTGTTGCATTTTTTAATCGTTTTACAATGGAATTATTGTTATTTTATTATAATCTCTGATATTTCAAACGAATTTCAAATAATTGATTTGCATTTTTGGATGATTATTGTAATCAGCCTAAAGGCGAAGAACAATTTACATTTTTTAATATTTATTTTTCATTTTTTTTTCATCTCTTTGGTTTTACAAACGGTTTCTTTATTTTGAATCTACGCCTCCTCCTCTCTTTAATAATTAACGTCAATTACATAAAATTCAGTAGCGAAGTGATAAACCGGTATAAGTTAATTTTTACTATTGGCCAGTTTTCAGTAAATATCTCGGAATCTAACGGAGATAGCAAAATTTTTATTGTAACCTTTTTTGTAGAGCCGATTGAGACCTACAACTAATATAATCACAAAAATTTCGCTACCTCCCTTAGATTCGGAAATATTCCTCAAAAACTCAATTTAACAGTTTGCATATTTTACCCTATTCTTCTCCATTCCTCCTCTGCAAAAACTACTGTCTGACGCCACCTAAAATTTACAGTTTTGGTAAATATATTGATGTTGTGACGAAGGCAATTTCTTCCTTGGCTTTTTCTCATTGAATTGCATTCACCCTTGCCTCAACGTTGGCAGCCAATATTGCCCCAACATTGCCCCAACTTTGGCGTCGAGTGTTACCTCAATTATCCTCAAATTACGGACATGACGAATACACCGCCTCCACTCAGGAGCATGACAATTGAATTGAAAAATTGAAACGAGGGATTCCCTAAGTGAACTAGTTAGTTATGCCTCTAGACACGCCTCCGTCATGATCACTGAGTCATTCACAAGAACCCCGTCCTAACGCAACATCATGCAATACATTGAGCGGAGAACATTGCGCGAGTGTTCGGGAGATCCCGTTTCGCCTGACGTCACGAGAATCTCTCCAGGACAAACGGGCCGCCAATTCTTCTAATTCCTACAACTCAAAGGAAGTAGAGAGCAGCGGACATTGTCGCAAATTTTTTTGCGCATTTTTCCAACGTTCTAATTGCGTAAGGAAGGAAAGAAGAATTCTAAGTGGGCTCGTGCGAAATGGAACATGAATAGAAGCTGAAGATGTCGATAAAGTTATCACAGATGACGTAATTGATAAAGCACATGCTGGCAGGGAGATCGTCTAGACTACGTGGCGACACTGCCTCAATATGAGTCATACATTTTAACATGTAAGGGATGACAATAGGAACAATCTCATTTTTAAAAAATTTTTTTTTGAATGGAAAAAATTTTAAGAAAGTGAGACTTCACAGAAAAATCAACATCTCTTGCATTTTTTCTGGGAAATATATAGCTATATTGAAAATTATGGAATTCATTAAAAATAATTTATTGTTATTATTGAAATTGGGGATTTTATTGTGCTGTTGCGCTCTTTCGAATTGTTATTCAATTCTTTATTTATATTTGGGTAATATGTTGTGTAGTTATATTGAATTTCGTTAGCTGTCGGTGCAAGCGAAATCAATTCGTCGATGAAAAACAATTTTTTGAAAATCAAGTTTTCATTACATAATTGAATTCTTAAATAAAACGGAGTGAAACGAAGTAAAAAAAAACACGAAGAATGAAAACTATAAATTCTTCACAGAGTCCTCAAGTATTATTCTCACTGAAGTAGAGATAAATAAATAAATAAAAGACAAAGTAAGTTCTCTTGCTCTCAACCAAGATTTCCTCGACAACGGTAAAAGCTTGTAAAATAATGAAAGTAATAATAGTAATTCCTCTCCACCGTTTCCGAGAACAACTCCAAGTGTTCTCCATTTCGTCCAAGAACTACGTCATAAAAATGTGAGAGGACAGTTTCCACCGGCGGAGGCGACGGAGAGAGACGGAATAAACGTGAAAAGGATGGGAGGGAGATATGAAATATTGAGAGAAATCTGAGAGGATGTCTGGAGCGAGAAAGATGGGGCATGAGCAGGTAAGAAGCAAGAGGCTTCTTGTCTGTCGGTGGGCAAAGTGAATAGGAAAGTAAGAATGAAGTTGCGTCTTTGTGCAATATTCAATGGGAAGTATATAAAGGATAGGCCAGTATCGTGCTGTGAAAGGTTGTTGGCTATTGAGTTGAGACGTGTGCGGTCAGCATTCGCGGTAAAAAGAAGCTGAGGAAAAGGCAACACGTGCAACAGATTCCTCCAGGCAGCAGCCAACTCAGTCTTCAAACGAATACTGAGCGGAGAGCATCATCTCTTCTTTTCAATATTTCATCCTTCAGCGGTTGAGGGAGCCGCTGAGTCCGCTGGGTCGAGCAGAGTCCTGGGATTTTTTTTCGGGGGATTTGTGTGCTCAAAGTGCTTGAGTCATGATTAATAAATATTATTTGGGAATTTTGGTGATCGTGGCGTCGAGTGCTTGCGGAATGTATCATCACAGGTGAGAAATGGGTTTATTTATTATAGTTTTAACGATTTTTTTAGTAAAATCCGAAATTTTTGAGATTTAGGGTAAGATCTCTTATTTTAGCGTCAGGAGTTCGAATGTGCTGTTTCGAAATTTTACGCGGAATCCCGCTTTTCAAATGTGTGGTGAAGAATGGGGTTCAGACTCGTGGGAAAAGTGGTTTTCCAGACGTTTTATTATGATTTTATTTGAACTTTACAGGTCTGAATGAATTGAATCTCGATATTGAACCGTTAGAAAACATAAAAAAAATTGAATAAATTGAAAATTTACTTTTGGGGGAAGATAAAATAATTAGAAAATAATTAAAAAATGGCAATTTTTAAAAATTACGAGCATTTTCTATGAATAATTTACAGACAATCAATTATCCACCAGAAAAAATAGGGTTTCCAAAAGTTGAAACAATTTCAATTACTTATTTATAAACGACGAATATTTAAAAAATTATAATTCTGTGCAAAATGTAATTTTAATGACACTCATGATTTTTTCTAATTCACAATTTCTCACGCAATTTAATTGACAAATTTGATGATTGAAAATGATTCCAAACTGCAATAGATACTTGAATATCTTTAAATGAGAATAAATTTGGGGATTGAAAGTGATATTATGAGACTTCAATGAGTCATTGAATGAAATTTAAAATCCATCGCAATAAAAATTCCATTCGAAAATATATTGACTTTGCAGTGACCAAAGCAATTTCCACTCCTTTTTCATCGCACTGCATTGATTTAAAGATAATTTTTCCCAATTGTTGACTAACAATGCTATTTTAATTTTTTTAATCTAGAGACAGTAAATACCTGAATCACGTCCACTTGGTGTACCAGTTCAACTGTTCATTACCGCAGCTGCGGGCAGTGGCTGTTGAAGAATTGTTATCAGTTGGGCCGAGTCCAGATGAGATTTTCTATCCAAGGGAAACGATCCTGGCGAGATGCGGCGGAGCTGGCTGCTGCCTTGGTGAGAATCAAGTGTGCGGTCCCATTGAGACGCGAAACGTCAGTCTCGTATTTTTGGTGAAACATCGCATCGATCAGCAGAGGGATCGCCATCACGAGACTCTTCACGTAGTCGAGCACACCAAATGCGGATGCATCGATCGTGATAAAAATGACTTCTTAATAAATGAAATTTAAGGAAATTATCATTTGAATTATGTAATCGTTGATGCATGTGTCTGTGATATTCACTTAATAAAGAACTGGAATAAATTAACGAAACAACGATTTTATTCGTAATTTTTCCTTATTTTTTTCAAATTGTGAGAAAACACAATGAATGACTTTTTATTTTTCTATTCATGTAATAAAAATAAAATAAATGAAAATAATTACACGAATATTATTATTTATTATTATTTATTTTTATCACAATAAATAATAAAAAAATAATTCATAATTCATAATTAATTGAATAATTGATTAATTATTAAATTATTAATTATAATAATTATTAATAATTATTACAATAAATAATTACGGAAATACTTCACTGTTTCGATAATTTAAAATTTTTCTTAATCTTCTTGCGCAGTTGAAGAATTAAAAAACGATCTTCATTATGTAATTGATATTATTTTCGTCATTAACTTTCGATGGAAGAGATTATTCCTCGCAATTATGAAGATGAAAATAATGCTTTGCTTCCTCCAAGTCCCTCCGTACGGTATCATTTTCAGGGGCCAATTTGAGGGCCTCCTCAAATTCCGGGATTCCGTGCTGTGGAGCCGACAATTTACAGAGAGCGGCACCAAGTCGAGCGTGACAGCGTGCACGAGATTCACGGTTACCCTCGCACTTTGGGACCATCAGCTCCAGCGCCTGTTGAATTTTTTTTCATTTACCAGAACGCGAAAATTTTCCTTTTGAAGAAAGAAAGAAAGAAAGAATTATCTTAGCTGAGTTTTCGAGGAATATCTCCGAATCTGCGGGAGATAGTGAAATTTTCGTGGGAACCTTTTTTGTAGCTCTCAATCCGCTCTGCAAAAAAGGTCATAACAACAATTTTGCTATCTGCGGTAGATCCCGAGATATTCACTGAAAACTGAGCGATATTCAAAATTGTCCTGAACCGTTTCATTCGCTGACCTTTGAACTGTCCTCAGCGCATCGATTATAATTCCCCAGGGCATATTGCGCTGCTGCCCTGTTCGCGTAGAGCGACGACATGTTTCCACTCAATCTTATGCCGTGTGTGTAGGCACTCACGGCGGCGAGGTAGTTGCCGACTTTGAAGAAGTCGCTGCAAGGATAACAACAACTTTTAGGGAGCCGGCTCTCTCTGTCATGATAACGCCCCTGATATTCCCGATATTAATATGGCATATTATGTTAATGCGTTGCAGTAAGCACCCTGAATTTCCTGTTTCAATTAAAACTTCCGGCGCGAGCGCTCTCCTCAAAGGAAGAGCTAATGAAGATGAGTTTCTTCGTGTTAATTTTTTCTCAATTACTTACTCTCCCTTGTCTTTGAGCCACTGCGGATCTTGCTCCTCCAGCGAGAGCTCCTCCGTAGCGAAGCCACATTTTCTCCTGGCCTCGGCTTGTTTCATTAGCCACTGCGATAATGCGGCAAAAAATTAGCTTTGCTCGAGTTAATGTGATTATTTAGTACGAAAAACGAGTGGGGAAAATGCTGTCGTCACAGAATAGTCATTTTTTTGTTAATAAATTAGCAATTTGGCAAACGGAATTTTTAGGAAGATGAATTTTAAATTTGATTTAACATTGGCCAACGTTGGCAGCCAACATTGGCCCAGCGTTTGAAGCCAACATTGCCCCAAGGTTGGCAGCCAACACTGCCCTAACGTTAACAGCCAACATTGCCCCAACATTTCCCCAACATTGCCTCAATATTGGCAGCCAACGTTGTCCCAACATTGCCTCACCATTGGCAGCCAACATTGACCCAACATTTCCCCAACATTGCCTCACTATTGACAGCCAACATTGTCCCAACATTGCCTCACCATTGTCAGCCAACATTGACCCAACATTTCCCCAACATTGCCGCCGGGCCTAAAATAGCGTATTCGAACTCCTCACGCTAAAATTAGTTATCCTGCCAGAAAACCCCTGAAATTTCGCATTTGAAAAATAAAATGCTTCCATTCGGAAGCAAAATGCCGAATACCTCTTGCTCCTCGAGTCGATTACTCTCCCTCGCTGGAGTTGGAAACATCCTTTCCGAAAAGGTCACGTTTATCATGCCACATTGGCGCGGCATCGGAGCGCTGGTATCGTCGAATATCTCCATACGTCCACGATATTTTCCTCTCAGAATGTCGTCAATTATTTTTTTTCCTCGTTTCAAATCTTCTTCCCTCCTATTTTCTCCTGTTTCTTGGATACTTGCGTGCGGGGCGTCTAATTGGTTTACACCTGTGCATCAATCAACTCATGAGGAAAATCATTTTCCGACGTAAGGATAAATTCATTAATGCTAGTCTATCGAAATCGGTCTTACTTTTGCTGTCGAGGGCTGCAACCGATGGAGATTTGGAAATGGGCGCAGGGTCTGGGGAATCTTTGAACCAGTTCACCGGGGTTCTGCGGAATATTATCAGTTATTTCCGCGTTTTGATTACATTTTACGATAGCAGAAAAAAAATGAAATTTTGTGGACCATCTGGTATTGATTGTGACGTTCAATGCGATTGGGGGAAAGAATAATTATGAAATTTACGGTTTTAGAGACAATTCGAGGGAATTCGTAACTCTTCAGGATAAATCAAACGATAATTTCACGACTGAGGTGAATTTTTAATTAAATTCATGAATATTCGGAATGAAAATCACCTGAATTTTCATGATTTTTCCAACTTTTCACACAATAATTGAACTGAAATTTACGGCTTTATTTTATTTTCTGATCAAATAATTAGAAAATCACTGGAATGCTTCATTTTTTAATCGATAGCTTTCCCAGAATTCGAACGGAAAGTTCAGGACAAATATCAATGAAAAAAAGTATTTCACTATTTTGTAAACTACAGGGAAATTCTATATTCTCTTTCGAAAATTTGACGAAAATTTTCCGGTTTTCTAAACACTCTCAACTTTTCTAATAAATCCTTTTTAGAAAAGTAAATCATTTTCAATAGACAACGAGTATGAAATAAATTCCCGAGCTCAAGATCATTTTACGAACCGCAAAATAAAAACTTCAACTACTTGTATTGTTTTCTATTCTCCTGAAGAAGCCCCGTCTCCTGATCGAACATTGGTACCTCCGCCTTCTGTCTCCAATCTTCGAATTCCGTCATAGCCTCCCTCCGATGACCATCTCGCAACTCCTGAATCTGATTATGGACTCTAGTGTCGCATTCTATCTGCTCCCTCACCGCCTTCCTCTGGAGCAATTGACGCCGCTCTGCGATTCAAAGGAGCCAGAGCTTTTGAAAATCCACCCCGCGAAGCTGCAAGTTTACGGATAATGAGAATTCCTTACCAGCGCGGTCCTCAGCGCGCTCCTCCGCTGACAATCGCGCCTGTTCCAGTGCCTGACTACGAATTTCCCTTTTTTCATCTTTAGTCAAATCCTGTTGTGTCAAATTTTGCCATTCTCTGCCCACTTGTAATTTTTTCAACGTAAAAATCGCCAGTTCTTCGCTGAGAGTGCAAGAGCTCTCGTCCTCGAGGATTTTTTCGTAGAGAAACAGCTCTAAGATGAACGGCGGATAACTTGCCTGAATGAAGACGTATTTCACATCTGTTAACCAATTTTTAATATCATTCTGCATTTTTTTTCTCATGCTCTTTCACCGAGAAACCCTGAAGAGTTATTATTCAATAAATTGTACTTGTAATTGAATTAAAGCCGGATTAAATCTTGACGGAGAGGATGAATTAATTTCAGGTGACGGACGGAATTGATGAGATAATTATTCCGAGAAAATGTGGATTTTTCAATGACACATGAATCTTTTACATTGGCAGATAAATTGAGAGGAACTATTAGAAATTCACGACAGAAAATAATTCTGCAGAACTCGTTAAGGAAAGAGGCTTCTGGAATTGAAAAATCTGAGAATTTCGAAAGGATTGTGATGAGAGAATTTTTTAATTCAGTAGTGAAGCGGTAAACCGAGTTAAGTCGATTTTGACTATTAGCTAGTTTTTGCTGAATATCTCGGAATCTAAGAGGGATAGCAAAATTTTCCTCATGACTTTTTTTATAACGCTCTATTGGCTCTACAAAAAAGGTCATGACAAAAATCTTTCTATCTCTTCTAGATTCCGAGATATTCGTCAAAAACTAGCCAATAGTAAAAATCGACTTAACTCGGTTTACCGTTTCGCTACTGAATTCACCTCGTGCATTTAAAAAAATTGAAAAAATACTAAATTTTTCATACGGACTTTTAAATGATGTAAAAAGCCTAATAATAATAATAATAATAATGAAAATACGTACTTTTAAATAATTTCCAATCGCAAATATGTCGACTTTCCTCGGTTTTCCAGTCAGCGTGACAGAGATAACGATTTCTTCAGGCGTTTGCCTCCACGAAAACTCATTCACCATAATTGCGGGCATTATTAATATTATTGAATTATTAATGCAACTTATCGAGTCAGAATATCAATGAGAAAACTCTCCCCGACTGCAGGAGAGGTTACCATCGACCAAACAAGAGAGTTTGAGGTGAAAAAAAAATCAATGAAAAACCACAATTTGTTTCAATGTATGAAGTTTACGTTTAATTGAAAGGTTTCGAGAGTATTTCACGATGACAATTATTATTTCCATTACGAATAACAAATGTGTGAAGCTGCCAGTTTATTGGAACATTTCGTTACTTATTTCCCACAGGATTTATATGTTTCACATTTCTCTTCATTACCAGAAGAAATTGTCTATATTTTTTTTTCTATTCTTTATTACAAAAAAATTCACCGAAGACATTGATTCCTATGATAAATTGTGCCTGAATTATTTTCGATCAATTTGTTGGAAAAAAACAGTTACACTAGTGGTGCCTTTGGCAGCACAATTGTAAAAGAAAAACAAAATGTTCTCATGAAAAACAGTGTTTTGTGTTTCTATTATTTTCCACACAATTACACTCAAAACGGACGAATTACAAAGGACAATTCGAGCGTTGAAAATGTTTAAAAAATTGTAGAGGTCAGTCCAGCGTATTTATGGAACATTGTCTTTGATTATTGTAATTTTTTGCTTCATTTATTTTTTGTATAAAATGGAGGACTTGTTTGATCAACTCCTGTGTCATCATCTAAAACATTTACACTACAAAAAAAAAACTATTATGACACTATGGATTTATCGCACTCTCGAGACTTAATTTTTCGACAATTAATTGATTACAATTTCCAGTATGACCTTTAAATGCCAATGTGTCGTTAAATATATATTCAAATATATATTTATGTATATATATTCCGTATGTATATATGTACACTGTATCGTTCGATCGACGAAGGTTTCGATTACTCAGGAAAAAAAAATTTAGCTTTCAGTTTCCCCGATAAAAATAAAAAACCTAAAATTTTATTGTTAATTCAATCTTCAAATGATAGATGATTCCTTTAAAATAAAAGAAACTCATTCAATTCTACAGCTATTATAAATACAATTCAAGGAGAAATAATATTTACTGTCGATTTCATTAGCAATGTCAGTGTTTAGTCGATGCAGTGTTTCAAGAAAAAAAAAAGATTTTCAATAGCAAAAACGCTTTTGGGTCTCGATATTCATTTCGGAATGTCTTGAGACATGATATCGGGGGTGGGAGGGGATATTATCATTAAAAAGAAGGGAAGCGCAATACAATGGCTTTTTCTCTCATCATTACAATAATTGTCAGGTCTTTGATATGAAGGATTCTTTGAGCAAAATTGTAAATCATAATGCTAAAAGTTGCCTCTTTTCACATTTCATGTTTTTTTTTATTTCGTTACACTCACTCTCACTCATTCGCGAAAATTCTTCATTAAAAATCCTACGCTAACGACTATATCGACACTCTGTGCCTCACGGAGAAAATTATTTCGTTGATACATTATTTTTAATCATTTTTTGTTTGTTTAAGAGTAAACAAGAAATTGAAAATACATTCACAATTTGCTTCGATTTAATCTCTCTCCTCTACGATCATAATTAATCATTAATTAATTGTAATATTAGCCAAGGGGGCGTAATGCAGAGTGGGGTATACTTCGGTTTTTTTTTCTTTCAAAATAAATAATCTTAACCGCGGAATTATACGTAAGAAATACTTAACTCTTCATTATCATTCATTGAGTCTTTAAATGGTGTATCAACTATTTCTATCATCTGGCCACCGATCGAATTGAAAAAAAATCACGACCCTCAATGAATCTCGTTTAATTAAAAGTAAGATCGCCAATGATGATGATGATATAACGAGAAATACAAAAATATTAATAATATTAATTGTAACAATCACATACCGATCTCACGAGTCACCAAGTCCCGATCGATATTCACTAATTGAAGAAAGAAAGAAAATGTATTTCTTCGTCCCAATCGCCACACAATTACCAATCCGAGGGATGAATCGAGCTTTTCGTCAGCCTTGAGCACAGCCAGTGCCACTGAAAATCGATTGGCACACTGAGAGTTCGCCCGAAGGTACCACAGTGAGTAGCACTGATGAATATGGATCTCAACGGATAAATAAAAAGCCTCGAAATAAACCTTAAACAAGAATTACTCTCGTTCCACCAGTTAAACCCTCGTATTTTACTTTTTTCTCGCAGCCTTCTCAGCTTTTCGCCTCATTCTCTCCATCTCCTTGCGCTCCTTGCGCTCCCGTTCCGCCTGTGTCCGGAGTTCCTTGAGCTTTCGCTTGAGATGAACCTTCTCGTCCCCAGATATGCCGAGAGTCTTCAGATCTCTCGACTCCAGGCGCAGCAGGCTGCTCCCATTAATTCCATTATCCATAAAACGCAATGAAAATCTCTCGAGACCAATGCCAGTAAGCCACTGGCAGACCTGCTCCTTTGACCAATCAGTGATGCAAGCTGTCTGCCAAAAGAGGGATTTTTTATCGAGTCCAAAGTCACCTGGATTTGGTGGCATCCACACCTCCGCCGAGTCAACACTGCCAATCTTGGATGGACAAGGCTCGACTGCTGTTGGACTGACAGAGCCCCCCGAGGATAAACTGGAGGGCGAGCCCCCCTGGTGATGCCATGGTGTATTGCCAGTTGGCACTGGTGCCGAGACCTTCTTCACCCTCTGGCTCGCCTCGTTAACCGCCTGCCTGATCTCCTCAACGAGATGATGTGTGACTAGTGTTGTATTATCGTTGCCATGTGGATTATTTAAATCACTGAAGTCCCCAGAGCTCTCCCTCGACGATGACATGTCATTGGAGCCGAGTCTCCGTTCACGTTCAGCTAAAACTTGTTTGAGCTGTTCGGCCAGTGATGCAGGTGGTCCACTCAGACTTTTTTGCCCCGTTGTACTCGGCCAACTCTGCTCAGTCATGGCACGTACCTGTGAACTTATCGTACTGTGCTGTCTAATTGTCGTCGAGTGAGTTGACTCAAAATACTGTTTACTCTTCTGAGAGCTTATTGATGAGCTGCTCGAGTAAGAGCTCAAGTTGCAGTGCTTTGTGGACTCGTTTGATCGCACGCTCATGTCGTGTGATGCCCCTATTTTTGATGAGTCCTCGGTATCAGTGTTGTCGCCAGACTCGTCGAGTCCGTAGTCAGAACTGCTGTTACTGAGACCACCAGAGCGCTTTGGCAATTGCCGATTGGCTAGACCTCCTCTACTCGCCAATTCAGCTTTACTCTTGCCAGCTGAGTTATCCAGGAGTCGGTGGGCCGGCACTGCCCTGTCCAATTCCTCTTTTATGGGAATTGGTAGGGGAAGTTTACGCTCTACTGTTGCTGTTTTGTCACCGTCGTCGGGACTACTCAGGTCCGAGGTCTCTGTATCGGATAACTGACAATTTGCTGACGATGGGGGCGGTGGTAATTGACGACGCGATAGCTGGGGGGTCACTATACCTTTGGTGGAGCCGTCGTACGGTAATCGCACGGGGAGGCCAAAACGTGTGTGGGTCTCGGTGAGCTCCAGTTCCAATTTTATTACCTGGGGAAATAGTTTTGGTTATTTGGATTGGGTAATTACGAGTGAAGAGGGAAGCAGTCATTCCCTCGACAGCAAAACAACAATGTTAAAGTTAATGTTTTGATATTGAACATTATAATAAATTCTAGAACGGAATAATGAAGGGATTTTCTTTTATTGTAAAGGTCAGTTTAGCATATCTGATCAACTCCTGCGTCATCATCTCAAGCATTTGTAACGAACTGTGTTGAAGACAATTTATTTCAACGTGTGAAGCGCCAGTTTACTGGAAGATTTCGTTACTTGTTTCTCACGGGATTTATGTGGTTCACATTTCTCTTCATTACCAGAAGAAACTGTCGATATTTTGTTTTCTATTCTTTATTACAAAAAATTCACCGAAGATATTGATTCCTATGATAAATTGTGCCTGAATTGTTTTCAATCAATTTGTTGGAAAAACAGTTACACTAGTGCTGCCTTTGGCTGCTCAATGATAAAAGAAAAACAAAATGTTCTCATGAAAAACAGTGTTTTGTGTTTTTATTATTTTCCACACAATTATACTCAAAGCGGACGAGTTACAAAGGACAATTTGAGCGTTGAAAATGTTTGAAAAATGGTAGAGGTCAGTTCAGCATATTTATGGAACATTGTCCTTGATTATTGTAATTTTTTGCTTCATTTATTTTTTGTATAAAATGGAGGACTTGTTTGATCAACTCCTGTGTCATCATCTGAAACATTTACACTACAAAAATAAACTATTATGACACTATGGATTTATCGCACTCTCGAGACTCAATTTTTCGACAATTAATTGATTGCAATTTTCAGTATGACCTTTAAATGCCAGTATGTCGTTAAATATATATTCAAATATATATTTATGTATATATATTCAGTATGTATATATGTACACTGTATCGTTCGATCGACGAAGGTTTCGATTACTCTGGAAAAAAAATTTAGCTTTCAGTTTCTCCGATAAAAATAAAAATCCTAAAATTGTATTGTTAATTCAATGTTCAAATGATGGATGATTCCTTCGAAATAAAAGAAACTCACTCAATTCTACAGCTATTGTAAATACAATTCAAGGAGAATAATATTTACTGTCGATTTCATTTGCAATGTCAGTGTTTATTCGATGCAGTGTTTCAGGAAAACAAAGATTTTCAATATCAAAAACGCTTTTTGGTCTCGATATTCATTTCGGAAAGTCTTGAGACATGATATCGGAGTGGGGAGGGAGGGGATATTATCATTAAAAAGAAGGGAATCGCGATATAATGGCTTTTTCTCTCATCATTACGATAATTGTCAGGTCTTTCATGCGAAGGATTCTTTGAGCAAAATTGTCAATCATAATGCTAAAAGTTGCCTCTTTTTATATTTCATGTTTTTTCTTATTCCGTCATACTAATTTTCACGGAGAAAATTATTTCGTTGATGCATTATCTTTAATCATTTTCTTTTTGTTGAAGAGTAAATAAAAAATTGAAAATACATTCTCAATTAGCTTCGATTCACTCTCTCTCTCTCCTCTACCATCATAATTAATCATTAATTAATTTGACTAATGCAGAGTGGGATGTACGTCGATTTTATTCCTTTCAAAATTGTTCATTCCTTCTACAAGAAAACAACATTAAACCGCAATAAATTCTAGACCCGAATAACGCAGGTATTATTCGAAAAGTTAGCAATATTAATTCATCTGCGATGAATTGCATAATGGGAAAACCACTGAGGATAACTTGCAGAATTATTCCCACCGAAAAGTTATGGATTATTCAGTTTATCTGAGGTACAGTCGGAATAAATTTGCTCAACTCACCCTGTCTTTCAAAGTTTTCACCAGTGCATTGTATTCAGTATCCTTTTCCTGCAACAACTGCTGATAGAATTCATCCCTCGCAGCAATATCAGTTCGAAGTTCTCTGGCGGCTCGCCTGGCACGTGCATATTTTTGTTGCATCGCTGCGGTTTGTGATGTTGCCTGTTGAAGCATTTCTCTCGTTGTTGAGAGTTCCTGTCTCGTCTGACCCAGCGCTCTCTCCGACTCGTGCAATCTAAGCCTAGAATCGCGCAATTTTGCCGCGTACTCCTCACTTCCGGCTCCATTATTCTCCAGTTCCACAAGCTACAACAGGTTTCATTGAATTTTAAACTTGAATTAGGAGTTATTAGAGAAAGTGCTTGAGGGTGGAGGGAAAGAGGAATGAAGACATTCAATGGCTGCACCAATTACTGTTTCATCTGATTTTTATTCTGATTGATAGCCGTCGCAATATTCTTGGATACGATCAAGGGAAAAACGAACTGATTTTAAAGCTATTGATTCAACCATTTTCAATCATCAAATTTGGCTAAATTGCGTGAGAAAAATTTAAGGAAAATCATGAATATTCAGCGTCATTAAAATTACGTTTTGCACAGAATTATTATTTTTTAAACACTCATTGTTTATAAATAAATAATTAAAACTGTTTAAAATTTTGTAAACGTTTTTTTAAGCATAAAATCGATTTCTGATAAAATTCTGAATATGAATACATTTTTCTCACGATTCTGGACAAATGATTTTTACGTAGAAAAATTCGTTATTTATAAATTATTTACAGAAAATGCTCGTAATTTTAAAAAATTACAATTTTTTAAATTATTTCATCAATCTTCCTCCGAAAGTAAACTTGCGAAAGCACTTCACTGTTAAAAAAAATAGGCAAAGTCTCGAATTATCCTTGATTTTTTTTCACGAAAATACAAAAAACGCAAAAAAATTTAATTTCGCAGAACCCCATTTAATCGCAGGGTATCTTCAACTGTAGCTTTTATGAAATGGTAATTCCGCCGATAAGAATTTGCCTAGCATAAAAAAAAGCCCTTAAAAATATCGAAACTCATTTTAAAAAAAGTAACTGGTGCAGTTGAAATTACACATGCATGAAAATTCATAGGGCCGAGTTGTAATGAACATTACCTTTGCTTTGAGTTTCTCGACCTCTTCATTGGCCAGAGCGAACTTATACTGACTCTGCAAGCATTCAACAACGACACACAAATATGCATAAGCAAAACAAAAACTCGATATCACTACAAAAATGTACTGAATTTAACGTAGATCAGTAGCAAAGCGTTTTTTACGAATATCTCCGAATCCAAGGGAGATAGTGAAATTTTCGTAATGACCTTTTTCGCAGCTCTCCATTTTCGCTACAAAAAAGGTTATAACAAAAATTTCGCTATTTGCCTCAGATCTCGAGATATTCATTAAAAACCGACCAATAAAATGACGAAAAGTTCAATTTTTCCATTTCCGTGAATTCCCGCAGAAAAAAAAAGTTTTCATTGCCAGAAATAAAACTGAAATCCACAAATCGAGTAAATACAGAGTAAATAAATGAGAGGCCTCTCACCACAATTAATTGTAGCAAAATAACGACAAGTGCATTTTCAATCTCGTATTAGAAAAAAATTGACGTAAACATTACGACGAAAAACGTAAATAAATAACGAAATTAAATATACAAGTAGAAACACACGTGCTGCAAGAGCAAACGAATACAAAATCATTATTTACATCACAGAGAGAATTGAAGTGTTCACATACTGAAATGCAAATTCACGATGAAAAATATGAAAAATCCAGGGTAAATATACCTCTTGCAGCAGCTGACGGAGGCTCTCGACATCACTTTGAGTGGTGACATGTGGCCCTGAGGAGCTGATAATCGGCGATCTACTTCTTGTCGTTGGTGAGAGATAACTTTCAATGGGACTGTGAGGTGGCTCACCCTCGGAGCACGATGACATTGCTGGTGAGCCTGGTATCCCTGGAAATCCACTGACACTGCTGATAGAATGGTCGTCTCTCTGCTGGCATTCGCCAGATGTATCCGAGAAATTCAATTTCCTGGATAGGATTAAACGTGGCGATGTGAAATTCGTGAGATAAAGGGGGTTTATGAATTTTCTCTAGTTATTCTTTGGGTGTTTGTATTATCCCTCAGCGCCCCGGGAGGCCTCGGGCTCGTCCCAGGGGGGCTGTTATTGTCGTCATGATTAATTTTGCGAGCAAGGATGTGCCATCATTGGGAAATACAGGGGGATTAATTAAATTCTGTCGTTTGCGAGGGGCTGTTAATCATTGATAGTTTTTTAATGTGAAATGCCCCATTTGGTTCTAAATTTCAAGCATTTTTTTATCATTCAATCAATTTTTAGAATGATTTTATTATTTAAACTTCGCATTTCTGAATATGAATGTCGATATTAAATCGTTAGAAAACATTTTTAAAATGAAGGAAAATTGGTAAAATAATTTAATTGCAATTTTTTAAAATTATGCATATTTAAATAAAATCTCATTCTATTGAATTTCGAAACATTATCCAAAAATTGACTGTGAAAAAATTGAAAATTGGAAATTTGATAATCACAAACAATCAATTGGCGTTAAGGATATCCCAAAATTTCTGGAAATTTTATAATTATAATTTTCAGAAAATTACTATTTTATTATTTAAATTTGAAAAATTAAAAAAAATTGGTAAGTTTGCTTTTGAAGAAAGATTGATGAAATAATTAAAAAATTGCAATTTTTGAAACCAAAAATCCATTTCATGCCTAAAAAAAATTAATTTCCGAAAATTTAAACAATTCTAACGATTTATTTATAAACAACGAACGTTTAAAAAACTAATAATTCTGTGCAAAATGTAATTTCAACACCTCTGAATATTCGAATATTTTTCACGCAATTTAATTGCCAAATTTGATGATTAAAAATCGTTAAATCTACAGCGTGCTCTTTACCAAACTAAAAAAAACTTGAATATCCTTAACTATACGACAGAAACAACTCTTTTCCTATTTTTCGTTCGTTATCCTCGCGATTTTCTCAAGAATCTAAAAACGAGAAAGATTGCGAGGAAAATCGTATTAAGAGATTCCGGAAATATCCAATCCCACGTTCTGCGAAAAATTCAATTTTCCTTCATTGCTCATTCGAATATCGAGTCTCCGACTTTCTTTCTTCCCTCAAAAGTCCGTCCCGCAGATACCCCGGGATTTAGCTGAAGAAAATAGATCGACTGATACCAAATGAGTTGGGAAATCTGTGAATTCCTAATGAAAATCTCTTCATAGTGCTATTTTGATTCAGCCGTTTGTGAAAAATTCTCATAAATGAATTCCCATTATTTTCCTCCAGAATAAAAACTCCCTCAACACTCGCCCCCATTCCCTTAAATAAATTAAAAGCTCTCACCTATTAGCATGATGCGCATGTTCCCTCTCAGCATCGGCCTCCAAGCTCTGCCTAATGAGCATAGCAACCTCGGAATTCTTGGGATCCTTTTCCCTCCCAATAACAAACCTCACAAGTCCCGAAGTGTTCCTAAGTACCCTAGCAGCATAAGCCTGGGTAACACCCACCAACGACTTTCCATCCACCTCAACAATCTGATCATTAACCTGAATCCTGCCCTCCCTAGCAGCAGCCCCTTTCTCCGTAATAGTCTTAACGAAAATCCCCAGCTTCTCAAGACCAGCATCAGCCCCCACCCCCATCCCAATGATACTGAGTCCAAGTCCCTCAGGACCCTTCATCAACTCCACCGGGAAGACCTCCATTTTCTCCACTCTCTTCTCAAGCTCATACTCAGCACTGGCAGCAACAGGATCAACATCCTCATTCCTCCTGTCATACTCCGACACCGAGTGAGTCGAGTAGACCTTCATGGGCCCCGAGTCAAAAGACACTTTTCCATTCTTCTTTGGTAAAACACTCCCCAGATCCTCCTCGCCATCGGACTCCGGCAGGCCCTCCACCTCCATCCAAAAGTGTCCATCCTCAAAAAAGTGTTTGCCATTCTCCACGAGAATTATTTTACCAGGTACAGGTGTGTAATCGTCACGCTGCTCAGTCTCAGTGTCGTCGTTGGTCTGTGTGTCATTGAGACTGCTGACAGAGCCCAACAATCCACTTTCGCTGCCTGTAACCGAGCCAATCTGGCTCTCAGTCAACGAGTCAATGGTCAAATCACTCCTGGATCTCTGGGACAAACTGTAATCCTGAGTTGTGCTGTTGATAATACTCGAGTCCTGAGCTGAAAGAACGTCTGACAGCCAGTCTGGGGTGTTGTCGAGCTCCTCCTTGTCCAGTTTCTCCTTCTCCTGTCCCAGGTCCTTCTCAAGTGTGTGCTCCTCCGAGGACGGATCCAACGTCGGCGAGAGGAGTCTCGCAATCTCCTGAGCCTCCTCATCAGACAGCAACGCCGACCCCTGTCTGATCTTCTTCTCCAGAATTCGTGAGCTCAGTAAATTCTCAGCCTCGTCAGCTGTCATTGTGTCTGGCGTAACAGCAGCCGCTGGATTACTGCTTCTGGAGGGCGTTTCAAACCTTTTGTTAGACATTTCTGATGATATTAAACTTTCGACGTTGGTTATTGTCTTTGCTTCGCTGGAGTCGGTGTCCTCCAGCAAACTGTTTTCCCTGGACTCCCTGGGCTCGTCGGGATCGTCTTTGGGGGGGACTGGGGATGAGGAGACAGTAACTAGGGGGGTTTTCACAGGAATTTTCGAGGGATCTAGGGGCTCTGAGGCTCTCAGTGCAGCCAGTTGATCAGCTTTTTGTTTTTCGAGCTCCCAGGTCGTCTGGATCTGCTCGGGGGAGACTGGAGCCTTGTCAGGGACATCTGGGGCCAAATTATTCTTCAGAGATATTTTCTCTTTGCTGTCCACGAGCTCCAGCTGCACCTGACTACTGGGCTTCTCTGATTCCGTGAAGGACGAGCGTTTCTCCGTAACTTCGTCCTTATTTCTCGCTAATTTCTCACGCATTGAGACTTTAATTTGATCGTTCTTAGCATTTGATACTGTCTTTTGGCACGTTAAGTCGTTGATCTGTTTCTCCTTCTCGAGTGCATTCTTCACTGCTATCACACGGGAGTTTGATACCTCTCGGGGGGCTTCTGACTTTGATTGGACTTGGGAACGAGCATTGGCTTCTTGTTGGAGGCGTTTTGCATAGGGGGATGGCACGGGTATCTCTTTGTGCTCCAACGCTGGAAACTCCTGGTCGGAACTTATTACTGAGGGGGGACGCTGGCCTAAACCTGCTGCTGGCATGTCCATTCTCACGTGGGATCGACGCACCACTGTTGCAACGTCAGTCTCAACAAATTTTTCAGCTGCACTGCCATCCTCCTCGTCCTCTTCCTCACTGGGGAGGGCCTCGGCTGGGGGTTCGGTCTTCTCAGGGACTTCTTGCTCGAGATCATAACTGTTTCGACCTGAAATTTTAATGAGATAACGTCATTATTAGTATTGAGGAATTGAAATTATTTTTAATTGCACATTTGTCCTGGCTGTTTTTGGTTTTCTCTTTTATATTAATGTATTTTGTTATGCAGGGGAGAATGACAAATGAAATTAAGGATATCCAAATATTTTGGCTATTTTTTTCTTTAGTGAAGTTCAGCATTCCTGCTTTTGGAATAAAATTAATGAAATAATTTATAACAATTTATAAAAAATTAATTTTCCAACATAAAAATCATTTATTCGAAATCGTAAAAAATTTATTCATATTCAGAATTTTACCAGAAATCCATCTCATGCCTAAAAAAATGATAATTCTGCGCAAAATGTAATTTTAATAACGCTGAATATTCCTGTTTTTTTTTTCAATTTTTTTCTGACGCAATTAAATTGACAAATTTACTGATTAAAAATTAAAAATTAAATTTATAGTATTGTCTGTATCAAATTGTAAGAGATACTTGGATATCCCCAATTTAATTGGATTAATTTCCATATTTTTACCTCGACAATCGATGCAAAACAGTCGCAGACACATGCTTCGACCAATCCTCACCGATTTACCGTATCGTTTTCGCTCCGTCGTAATAAATTAACAATTTTCCCCTCAAACTATAACAACGAATCGATACACCGATGAGGATAGACACTAGACAATGTCCATGGATAAACCGAAGATGATTATCTCCAGACGTAGGAGCTCATATCGTCAATGCCAAAATCTCCTCTAGATCCTAAAAATATCCTCCCTCCCATCAATCGCCAATTTCCACCGTGAAAACTGCTATTTCAAACTAAAAAAATTTATCTCAAACAGGAAAAAGTCCGATGCTCCAGCTAAAAATGGTCACACGCTGTTTGATTTTGAATCTCAAAACACGAAATAAGTGACTAATATTTTTAAAAATAGAAAAACTCCCGGAACTGACATCATAAGAGATTGTTTTCCCCTGGAATCACGTACGAAACGTCCATGATAATCACAATACTCCAAGTGGTTGAATGGAGAACATTTTTGTCAACCACTTGACCACTTATTACCATTAATTAAAAATTTCTCACTTGATGTTAACTTGTGTGTCCACGAAACCGAGTGAAAGCAACTGAATGAAGGGGATTTAAAGAGGTACGAGACGATGCCGAACGCACGCTCGCACTGATATCTATAAATAATACTAAACCGACAAGAGGTATCCCGTACACAGCGGACGGTAGGGGAGACATGAGAGTAAAAAGGAGCAGTTTCTTGAGTGAAATAAAATAGATGAAAAAATATTAGAACCGAGTGAAATTTGAAAACTTGTTTACGCACGTTTTTAGGACCTTTTTCCCATTTGGCAACAATCCAATATCATGAGAACATTAAATGTTTTCGTTTCGCGTGGGTGGTTCATTCATTGAAATCCATTCAGGCCAAAAATAATACAGAAAAGTGGAGCTGAGTAATAAGAGTGCGGATTAAGAATTTCCAAGTGGTGTGGTTTCTAAAATAATATTTCATTCTAGAGATTTTGGATTTTGGGGATTTTTTTCCGGTGGAAGAGGTTTATCGAGAATAATTAATTCGATTGATAATTAATTGTGTAGAGGAGATAATTATTTTGGTAGGGAGTGGATGTACTGTATGCGGATTATATTCGAGTATTTTTAATTGAATTCAATGATTCATTGGATTCTCATAGTATTACTTTCAATCACCCAATTTATTCTCATTTAATTCATCACTTGAATTATTCGTTATGAATTGAATTTTCGTTGACAAATTTTGGTTGAACGTTACAAGAAATATTAGTTAACCTCGTTTCTAATTCTTGAATTACCCGTAATTTTCTTGATTTAAGATTGGCTCAATGTTGGCAGCCAGCATTGCCCCAACATTCCCCCAATGTTGACCGCCAATATTGTCCCAGCGTTTCCCTGAAGATTAATTTCAAAATTTCCCCAATGTCGTCAGTCAACATTGCCCCAACACTGGCAGCCAACATTCCCCCAAAATTGGCAGCCAACATTCCCCCAACATTGACAGCCAACATTCCCCCAACACTCCCCACACCCTCTAACTCAACTAAATACTCAAAACCCATCAACTCCATTAAAAATTCCCCCAAAAATCACTAAAAAATCCCCTACCTTGAATCTTCTCGGGCAGTTCCTTCTCAGCCTTCTCCTCCCTGCTGTCCTTGGACGGTGAACTTGGCGAGCTCATGCTTGACGAGGCACTGTCAGTTCTCGAGGGTGGTCTAAGTTCATGATCAGGTTTAGCCCAGTCAGGCCGGCTGCTGGCGGCCGACCTCTCGACCCCATCGTCACCCGTCTTCACCTCTGAATTCTTCAAGATCTCCTCGTTCTTCGCCAACCAAACATTCCTCCACTCAGAGGTCTTGGGTGGTGGTGCCCGCTGGGGACTCGCAAGCCCCACATTGCCATCCTCAATCTCCAAATTCTCCCCCTTTTTCCTATCATCCTCAGACTCGTGACGATTTGGACTCAACTCCTTGGCTTGTTGTTCACGTGGACTAGATTTATCTTTCAACTTGGCTTCCAACCCCTTCTTCGAGCCCAAGGGTTTCTGTACTGTCGCATACTCTGGCATTGGCTCGTCAATCTTGACAATTGGTTTGCTCTTCTGCACAACAGCGTACTCTGGAATTGTTGGTGAACTGTCAAAGGATTTTGTAACAGTTGCATACTCAGGTGAAACAGGCGACTCTGAATCAGTTGACGATACAGCTGAAAAACTAACTGGTCTCTCTTTCCTCACGGCCGATGAATTTCTCGTCGGTGGTAATGGTGGCGGTGGTGACATTGTCGGCGATGGCCTCGAACTGCAGAATGACGCTGATCTCGTGGCAGGACATGGCTCCAGCGATTTTTTAAAATCAATCTCCTGGTAATCAGATTCTGTCGAGTCCAGTGAATCATCGACAATCAGTCTTTTAGAATTTTGATTTTGTATTGATGTTTGTACTTGTGATTTATTTGGATCTGAGTTATAACGACTTGGTCGTGTCTTTGAAAAATGACTTGTCCAATTTTTTTGCTTCTCAATGAGCTCTTTTGAGTTTAAACGGCGCTCAGGCTTTTCCGGCTTCTCGGGCTTCTCGTCGCGACGATTTTCTTTGCCATAATTTTTTTCATACTTCGAGGACACTCTTGGCTTCATACGCTCGCTATTATCGGTACCATGGTGACCATTTTCAAAGTGACGCTCAGCATTTAAGGCGGGAACACTTGCACTCCAATTGCTCAGGTGGTCTCGACAGCTGCCTGGTGGTGAGGGGGAGCAGGGACGTGGTGAGCGCGCTGGGGATGTACATCCTGACCCGGAATTTGCGGAACTCGAACGCGAACGGAGACCATGAAAATTCGTTGGCTTGGCTTGTCTGGAAAAAAACAATTTCATACTTCTTCATGGGGTAATTCGTAATTTTTCATTCGCTGGGAGAGGGGGGGGGGGGGGGGATTCATTAGTTGGCGTTGTTAAATTTTCCTCGAGGGGGAGATGATGAACTTCTTTTTGAACAAGTTTGTTGAGCACTCGAGAGAAATAAGTTTTGTCGATTTTTTTTTCCCAGCGAAAATTTATTCAACTTCTCTCAAATGATGGAGATGAACATTTTTAAGTTGCAATTTACTTCTGAATGGATATCGTTATTAGGGACATTTGGTGTGGCTCGAGTTATTGAGTTACCAAAATTATTTTAATTATGACTAATTTTTTTAAACATTCGTTGTTCAGAAATAAATAACTGAAATTGGTTAAAACAGATTTCTGGCAAAATTCGGAATATGAATAAATTCATTACAATTTCGGACAAATGATTTTGATAATGAAAAATTTATTGTTTATAAATTACTTATAAAAACTGCTGGTAATTCTAAAAAATTGCAATCTTCAAATAATTTAATCAATCTTTCTCCAAACGTAAACTTTTCTCTCTCTCTCTCATTTTTTTCAGATTTTAAAATATTTTTCTAACGATTCAATTCCGAAATTCAAATTGAAACCCTAAAAATTGGAATAATAAAATCATAGCAAAATGTCCGGAAACTTGAAACAAATAAAAGCTCTGACGTTCCACTCCAAAAGTAGAAGAGCATTTCACTGTCGAAAAAACAGCGAATGCAGTTGGATATCCTTAAACCGTTTTACCGCTCTCCGCCACTGAAACGTTTTGAAATGTCTTCCATTCAGAAGTAAAAACAATATTCTCATGCCATATTCACCAACCCCATTAGCCTAGAAAATTATAATACCGTAATATCTCTGCGAATGACTATATAAATTATCTTTTGTACTTACGGTCTATTAGATTTATTCTCCTCTCCAAGTTTTTCAAAGAGTGCTCGTGCATTATTAAACCTAGCCACATGGCTCTCAGTCCTGACCACAGTCACCTGCGTTGGTGAGTCCTTGAGTGGCACAGGGGGCTCTTTAAAACCATCTGGATGTATCGTTGTTGGACGATGAAGATGTCCAACGTCATGCTGTGGCTTTGATTGAAATATATTGGCTATTGCTGACACTTTGGTGCCAGCCACACGCTTCTTGTCCTCCACAGTTGACATAATCGACCCTTTAGTCGTATTATCTTTCTGCCGATTCAATGATTTTGTCAATTTTTTTAATGTACAGTGTACACGTATTGCCGAATTTATCAATTTACGTATTATGGTGGTGAAGGTGAGTGAGCGCAGGATATCGACCATACCTGGAACCTCCTCGACTGTTCTCATTTCAACAAACAATACCAGAAAACAGAATTCAGATTTTTATTTTTATCATTCTTGTTGGTTTACCTCTCATCAGCCAAATAATTAAGCACTTGCAAATCAAGGAAAATTAATTAACTCAATGAAATTATGATTTTCAGCTGGGCTTTCATTACGCAGGCAAAATTAAAAATGAATATTCGCAAATTAAGTAATAATACTGAAGACAAGTTCGATTTAACGTTTCAGAGATTTGTTTTTTGTCTGACAACACTGTAAATAATATGTTTGAAATTTTTGTTTAAACCGAATTAATAGTTCTGGAGATGATTAAATTTAGAGACAAGTGTTTTGGTGATTTCTTAAATAATTTTTCAACATTTCTGATTGAGTAGCAAAATTCCTCCTTCGTATTTTAAATAATAATAAACTAATAACAGAAAATGTTGGTATTTATGAAAATTAAGACTGCCCTTCATAAATAATTGATTATCTACACTAAGAATCAATTTATTCATTCAGTTATTTATAAGAAAAAACTCAAAATTAAAAAACTCTCAAATTAAAATTCCCAACAACAAAAAATGAGGAAAATGCATAATCACTAAAATGCTGGTATTCATGAAAATTAAGACAGTTTCACAAATAATTAACAGAAAATTAATCAACTACCCCAAGAGATAATCAATTAATCAATTAATTCATCTGTTGTTGAAGGATATATTCGAACAATTCCCACAATTCATTCATAAAAAAAAATATTAAAAAAGCAAACACATTGCAAAATAAATATTGAATACAAAACTCTAAAATTAAAATTCTCAGCCACAAAATAAATCGTCCACGACACATGAATTAACTCAACAACGCGTGTAAAACAGACTAGTTCAGCTGCGTTAAGCCACTTCACTCGAAAAATAAATTCTACCCTCTAATTTAAAAAAAATATATCTCACCTCTCTATCAGTTTTTAAATACGCGAATACTTTGCGAACATGACAGCACATTTATCATCACCTAACGAACATTTTCGCAAAAACTCAACGAGTCCCTCGTTTTCTTTATCACAAGAAGAAATAACTCAAATTATTCTCAAGTGTTGGTAAAATGAAAATTTTATCTCCCCGTTGTAAAAAAAACTTTAAAGTACCTGATGCACGTGCTCATTGCGTTACTTATTGATCGTCAGTACCCCAGTCTATTATTATTTCAAGTAAATACCGGTGTACCGGTATGTTTGAGGTCATTTCTCGTAAAAATGAGGGGAAAAAAACATCATCTACGTGATGAAGGAGGTGAGGAGGACTGCGATAGAGAGGATGAGAGAGGAAGAGAGAGAGAAAGAAAAAAAATGGTTAGAAAAATCTTTATGGTGTATGGATGCACGCACACGTGACGCCGGCAGAGTAGTCTGGGCTTCGCCATTTTCGCCCTCTTCCTCTCTCCCTCACGGTTTTACCCCGCGGCAGAACGGTACACTATGCTTTCTCCCCCTGCAATCAATACTTGAATCCTGGTCTGTGTGGCTGAACTTGAGGCGCTCTCAGCCCAAGAGGTGTATTCATCTCTCATTCCCTCTCGGCTTTATCCTCTCCCCCTCAATTTTACATTTTCAGAAACTTACAAAACCCCAGGGGAATGTATCGTGTTGGTAAATTTTAGGATTTTTTTTCGACATTTGGGGATAACTTGGTGGAAAACTACTGCGAAAGCTCGAGAGAGGGAAATTTTAATATCTTTTTTGTTGGAGCCAAAATTATGACAAATTTATTCAAGTCGTATCGTGTTGTTTGCGGATAATTAACAGTTGAGGATATCCAAGACCTTGGATTTCTGGACATTTTACAATGATTTTGTTATTTAAGAACTTCACAGGTTTGCATTTAAAAATGTGAAGAAAAATTAGAAAGTTGACTTTTGGAGGAAAATTGATGAAATGATTTAAAAATTGCAATTTTTGAAAATAACGAGCATTTTCTGTAAATAATTTATAAACAATCAATTTTCCATCAAAAATAATTTTTTCAGAATCGTAACAAATTTATTAATATTCAGAATTTTACCACAACTTGATTTCATGCCTAAAAAATAAGGTTTCTTAGGCATGAAATCAAGTTGTGGACGAATCAATTTCTGGACGATAAGCCGAAGGAAAAATTCAATCGAGAGTAATCGTAAAAATATAATTTCCCTCGTGGAGCCAAGGGAAATGGTAATTTTGCTATTCAAAAAGCGGAAATAGTCTCACGTGAGGCACCCAACAGCCCGATCTGAATGCCAAATGAATTGGAAATTCTTCCTCATGTGGTGCTCTATCCAGAAGCCGAACGACGCATTGCTTGCATTACTAATAACTGCTTAGAATTTATGAGAAATATGTGGCACTAATTTATTCAATTTTAGTGGCCCACTTGGTGTTATTAATTCAATGCATGAGACAATTTGTTATCGTTATTTCACACGCGTGTGCTATTATCTTTGTTCGTGGTTTATCGGGGATTTATTTATCTCGTTTAGCGATTGTTATCGCTGCATCATTCATCGAGATCACTCTTTTCTACTCCTTTTCCTCTGTTTGCTGAAAAGTTTGTCTGATAAAAATGTCTGCGGAGTAATGAGGCCTGATCTCAGCAATTAATTTAGATTAATCGGTTTGAAGTTCTTTCGAGAGATAAATTTTCAGATAGTTTGTGGCTTGAGGCGTCAAGTAATGAATTCGTCACGTGAGATTTCCACGCCTGATTTGTCTTTTAATTATAAACTCAGGAGACGAGTGGTGGCGTGCAGATTATAAATTTATTTTGAATTCAGTGGTTTTGTCGATTGTAACTATTTGCCGGTTTTCGATGAATATCTCGTAATCTAAGGGAGATGGGAAAAAAGTTGTCAGGACCTTTCTTGTAGGTCTCAATGTTCCCTACAAAAAAGGTCATAACAAAAATTTTGCCATCTGCCACAGATTCCGAGATATTCATGAAAAACTAATAGTCAAAAAGGATTTAAACAGTTTCGCCACCGAGTTTTCAGTAAATATCTCGGAATCTAAGGCAAATACGAAAATTTTTGTCATGACCTTTTTTGTAGAGCGCACTGAGATCTACAAAAAAGGTCATTACGAAAATTCCGCCATTTCCCTTAGATTCGGAGATATTCCTAAAAAACCGTTTTACAACTTCGTTGACATCCAAAAATCGAGTTGTTCTCTTCAGTACAATTTTACAACTCCATTCCTGAATTGAATCTCCATCGTCTCGATCATTCCCTCACCTCCCAGCCCCATCAATTAACTCAAAAACTCCTCTGCCTCGTTATTTGGCCAATAAAAGTATTTAAATCGTTTGCCCCCAATGAGTCCCCCAATTACTCCAGAAACTTCCCTTCGAAATTCCACAATTTCATTATCATGTTCTCTCCACTCCATTATTCCGAATAAAATGAGACTTGAGGAGGTGCCAGTAATTAGCTGTCATCCCATAATGATTTGATGATGATTTAAGGGGAGACCACTACGAGTTTTTAAAATCGCGGGCTATTGAAATAAGATTTCTCATAAAAACGAATAACTAGTGCAAAAAAACTATATGTTTAATGTTAAAAATAGTCCAGGGCCTCCAATTTTTGAGCTAGAGATATTTTTTTTCAAAAATTTTGAAAAAAAAACCTCTGTAGCTCAAAAACGGAAGGCCCTGGACTATTTCCAACATTTTAGGCGTCTGCGGAGCAAACGAAGAATAAACAATTAATTCTTTCGCATTAATTATTCGTTTTGAGACATAAAATCGACTTTCAATGCATGAGAAATCTCACTCCGACACCCCAGGACTTTTAGACCTCACAGTAGTCTCCCTCAACAACAATTTAAGTCCTAATCAAGGCCTCAACCAACATCGCGAATAAAAAACCAAATAAAAAAGCTCGCGAGCCATGCAAAACCGCCCCGAATGTCTCGGTCAATTGTTGAGCGTCGAATTTAATGTAAATTACATTCCAATCGACAGGCCGTTGACCGTTGAATTCAAGGCCGACTGTGAGAGTCCACCGAAAACGAAAAAGAGGGAGCTTTCGTCCTGAATTGGTGAGCCCCCAAAAGCTAAAGTGTAAAATGCAAAAAATCCCGAAACAACATGCACTAAAAGCACTAATGACCAGCGACAGACTGATAAAGGACTCACCAGAGATGTCACCATGTGCAATAAACCATTTCTCCGGCAATAACGGCGGAGACGAAGTGTCGCCGCTTCCGGAATGGAGGCAGTGGCTTCTTTTATTCCTCTTTATTTCACGATCCAATGGACATTGTTCTCAATAATGTGACTTGCGTCCTTATCCCACGATCGTTTAAAATGCCCCCCCTCAATCAATCGATCAATAATCGATGAGTAAATAGAGCAAATGAGGGATGCGAGGCTATTTCACTGCTGTTGATCACTGACGCGAGGTTTATTCACAGAAAAGACAAAATTGTCTCTCACTTTTTCATCACAATTTCAACGGTTATGAATTCAATCAACTGTTGGGGCTATTGTTGTTTGTTTTAATCGATTAACCTGTCGTGCGGTTGTTATTGTTGCTGAGGGGAACACACGCCGGCTGATCTGGGCTATTACTTTCGGCTTGCAATTAGGGGGGATAGTTTTGTTGAGGGCTTGAGAGGAGAGAGATGGGAAATTAAAAAAAACACTCCACCTTGGGACGGCATAAACCGGCCTGGGGAACTGCCCGTTGTCAACTGCCGCGGAAAAAATGCACTCTGTAGAGGCGATTCTTTTTACTGGATTCGGGGAACGAAATGGCGGCCGAAGGCTGCGCCCTCTGCGGCGGCCTGAGCTCTGTCGGCTCGGAAGGTTTCTTCGCGGTTCGGGGGAGACGCGAGTCGTCGCTCTCGGTTGGCTCCACTCTTCGCGTTTCGGGGTGAAAATATCAAGGAATAACAAGTGGATAACGAGGGCCACGTGCGTTTTGTTGACGGGGTATTTTATTGTTGCTGGGGCTTCGGTGGAGTGAGGATGGGGGATGAAGAGCTCCGGAGGATGCTGGAGGCGTCGCACTTGGGGAAGTTCAGACTCGCGGAATGTAAGTTTGAGATTTTTTGGGGTGTTGTGGCTGGGGGCGAAGGGGGAGTGTGGGGGGTTGGCGGTGCATTGAGGGGTGCAGGAGATTTTTTGAATACATGGACGGAGCGATTTAATGGGGACACTTTGCGGATTCGGTGGAAGATTCTGGGGGATTTGGGTTGAGCTTTATGTTAGGTTTTGGTTTTGTGACATGATCATGCAATAGAAGAAAATTGAGCTTCTGTTTTTTTTAATTCTATTCTAGGGGAGGGTGGGGTAAAACGGACACTTTAGAGTTTTTTTAAATTATTCATAACTCAGAAGCAAATTGATCAATTGAGCTTAGTTTAGGCTCGTCACAAAGGAAGAGAATTGTTTTTTGTATTGAAAAAAAATTATGAAATTTTATCAATATTTGAACCCCTCATTCACGTTTAACAAAAAGTCAAAAGTGTCCGCTGTGTTTTTCATTTTTTTTTCATTAAGAAAATCAAACACAAAAACTTGGAAAATTTGAGAGCCGAGGAAATTCTATAGAAAATCCCTCAATAGAATAAGATAGAAAAATCGAATTCTATTGACAAGCATGAAAAAAATTGAATGCAATTTTTTTTTTCATTCTGTTTTTTTTTTTCATTAAGAAAATTAAAACACAAAAACTTGGAAAATTTGAGGCGAGGAAATGGTATGAAAAATATCAAATATTTTCATGAGTTTAGGAGTTTTTCACGAATGAAATTTTAATGTGTTAATTTGTCTTCGTTATTAATTCATTTCATGAATTAGTATTCATGAAATTGATGAAATTGTGTTGGATTAATCACTCTTTTTGGAGCATTTTTTTTACTCATTTATTGTGGCTTTTTTATAGGGGGAGTGGGGCAAAATGAAACAGTCGAAAACTGTCTGACGCAATTCAAGCAAAAGAATTTTTTTTGTTAAATATTTGTTTTTATTAACTTCTTTTATTATTGAGAGTACTAATGAGAATAATAATTGTCTATTCCTCTTATAATTCAATTTGTTATAATTCAATTGACTAGATTAGGTCGATTAGACTTTTATTTTTTCATTCGATTTGAAATTCAGCATCACATTTCCCTTTTTCTCCCTCTGGGTCTCCTGGGCCTTCCTCTGGACTTTGGATTTTATTTCCCTTTCATTTTGTTTTCAATTAATTCACTGAAAAAAAAATTTCCCCCTCAAAACTGCCCTATAATTTCTCCGTTCACTCCACTGAACCGAAAATTATTATCCTCACTAGTATTCTCAAGAATAAAAAAAAATTGATAAAAAAAATTATCAAAAAAATTTTTTTGCTTGAATTTCTCGACTATTTCATTTTCCCCCACTTTCCCCAAAAATTTCGCTATCTCCCTTAAATTCAGAGAGACTCTACGGAAACTCAGCTAAAGACTAAGTCGTCTTAGACCGTTTCGCCGCTTCGTTACTGATTTTCTCCTATTGATTTTACATCGATTATTTATACTGATTGACACAGGGGCAAATTAGTAAAAGGCTACGTCGGACCAATGGTGGTTTCGAGGAGATAAATAAACCGGGAACTTGGCTAAATAAGCAGGAGGGCTGGGGGAGGGAGGGTTGTTTCGGAGGGAATGGAAAAGTTGGGGGATTCATCATTTTTTGAAGGGATGGGGGATTAACGAGGTCGTTTTTTAGATATTCATCAAATTTCCGGACAGTTTTTCAACAAAGTTTGAACGATATGTGAGGGGGGGAGGCTTTTTGGTTGTTTATTGATTACCTTTACGGCACATGGGCTTTTTTATACATTGCCATTACAATATTTGATGGGAGACGAAGTTCGTCGGTGATTGAATTTTTTTTACGGTTTTACGTATGACTTCAATTGGAAATTGAATTTATTTGGAAATTCTGCGTTACAGTGGAATTTTGGGAATACTTTTCTGCGGTTTCTAGATATTTCCAATGGTTATTTTGAAATAAATTTCCATTGAAAAAATTTGCTCTGGCGAAATTTAATATCTTTCATAATTTCATTTGAGCCCAAAAAAACATTCATATCTTGTCTGACAGCGCTGCTACAAACTCGGG